ATCCCTGACCCAGAGGTCTTGGATTGTCTACTATCAGGATCTATGAGCCTGTGGCAGGCTAACTTGTTAGCTTGTAAGAAGAGGGAAATCTCAGACTGTGATTTCCCTGTGATTATGCTGGTTACATATTGCTATATAAAAAACTGCCCTAAAATTTAGTTGCTTTAAACAATAACAATTAGAGTTTCATGTATACATCAATGGAATGAAATAGAGAATGCAGAAATAAAACCATACAAAGAAGATCTAATGACTTTTTTAGAAAAGTACAAAGGCACTTCATGGTGTAGAAATAATCCTTCAATGCGTAGTGCTGGGACAAATGACTGTGCGTATGCCAGAAAATAGGTGTACGCTGGCCCTTGTCTAACACCTTATATAAAAATTAACTCAAAGTAGACCATAGACATTACTTAAAATGTAAACCTATGAAACTTTTTGATCCACTCGTTTACTGATGGGCACTTAAGTTGCTTTCAGCGCTTGACTGTTATAAATTGTGCTGCTGTGAACATTGGGGTACACATAGGAGAAAAGCTTTGTGACCCTGAGTTAGGCCAACAGTTCTCAGATATGACCTCAAAGCACAATCAATAAAGAAATAATAATGAACTGAGCTTCATAAAAATTAAATATAAAAACCATTTGTTGTATGAAAGACATTGTTTTTTTCTTTCTTTTTTTTACTATTGTTCAAGTACAGTTGTCTCCCTTTTCCCCTCACCACTCCCCTCTGAAAGACATTGTTAAGACAAATCATAAACTGGGAGCATATGTACATAAGTAGTGTATTTGATAGAGGACTTCTATCCAGAATATATGTACAAAGAACTCTCAAGACTCAAAGGCAGAAAAATAAATAAGCAGTGTTTTATAGAGTAAGGAAAATATTTAGGGATAAACAAGCCACATTTTAAAAAACGGGCAAAGGAGCAAAGGACTATTTGATACAAATGAACAATTCAACCACTAAGATGTAAATATTGCTAAGAAACAATGAAAGGATACACAATCTTTTTTGCAGTCGTAGAATTGCAAATTAAAATAATAATATCAAGTGATGGTGAAGGGATGAAGAAGTGAACACTCACTCTTAGTTATACAATAGTATAACTGGTACATATTACTGAAGAATTAATTTGATAATCCTGTTATAACCCAAAATATTTCAATTTTAGCAATCTAGTCTATGAAAATAAAAGCATAAGAGTATAAAGAGGTATTGGTTTGGCCAAAAAGTCCATTTAGTGTTTTTCTGTAAAATAAAAGAAACATTTTTCATTTTCACCAATAAGTTTATTGATTTGGATATTTTGAGTATGTTGACTATCTCCCGCTATTGGCTTCTAGCTGGTAGAGGCCAGGGGTGCTGCATGTTCCAATGTATAAGACAGCCCCACAGCAAATAATTATTTGGCAAAATGTCAATAGTACTAAGAAACTTTACAAACCACTTTTGTCACATTCGATCAGTCACAGCACCTTCTCCCTACCCTGCACAAAGCTTTTTTGTGTGTTTCAGTTGGGTTTTTACGGCTCTTTAAATAACAAAGCATAATATACCAAAAATGTTGTGGATCTTCTTCCATCTTCAATATTAAAATTTATATTGAAAGTAAATTGACATTGATAATAATTGATTGATAATATTGATTGAAATTGATATTGAAAATAAAATTAAGCAATTTTGATATTTTTAATGCATGCTGATAAGACAACTGTCACAATACAATCCAACAAAATTGTTTTGAATAGAGGTAAAGACAACTAAGCACTATTAGAGCCATCATAAAGAAAAAAACTAAATGAACTTTTTGGTCAACCCAATAAATATATAAATGGATTTTTATAAGCTATATTAAAAATTTGACAACAATCTAAATATCCATAAAGGAATGGCTGAATAAACTACAATATAATCACATAGTTGAATTAGGCAGCCAATCTATAAAAAGAGGCAGATTTACATATTGATTTGTTAGTGTAAAAAGCAAATTGCACATCAAGTATAGAATAACTCTATTCTTGAATATATAAATGTGGCTAGTCTTTATATAGGCTTCTTGCATGCAACCAAGAAATGATCAGAAAGCAAATTAATATAAGCCACTTTAGGGAAGATAAAATGTAATGAGTAAGTGATATGGAACATTCACTTGACAACTTCAGTTGTTTTTTTCAAGAGTTGTGGAATTGTAGATGATTCTTCTCTTTGTTGTTTTGTAGCATTTTTCTAAAGTACACAGAATGATTGCTGGAGCAAGGTCCTGGAAAGTAAGGAATCAAGGGCATCATTGGAAGGATCTACCTCAGACCAGACAGAAAACTCATTCTCAGGAACTACATGAAAGGAGGCAATATTTGGTGGAGATATTGATCAGTTGGAATGCAGCTTGTTGGGTTGGAAGAACTGGGAAGGGGGATATCTTATCTGAATGCCCTGGTTTCTCAGTAAGGTTGCATGGACCCAGCCTTGAGGACAGTAGGCAAGGTTTGCAACAGTCATTGAAGGAAAGGGGAAGGCTGATGCCCAAGAGACAGGGAGGAAAAGTGCACCAGTGAGGTTTTTATTGTCCTGGCCTCGAAGTGGCAGCCTACATGCAAGGCAGGCTAAGAGTGTAGTCTTGCTTTCTGGCCAGAAAAAGGAAAATGGATTCAGATGGACTGTCATCAGTCCTTGTGGCACTGAGACTGCCTTAGATTTTTCTCTATAACTGAGATGGCTTTTCCCACCTCTTCACACATCCATCTTCTACTTAACACTCATCCATACTCAATTTTTAAAAATTAATTTTTTAGGATGTCATAGACATTGAAGTTGAAAGGAACCTTAGATATACTCTCACCTAATCTCCTCACTTTGTAAATGAGAAAATAGTGAATCACAAAGATAAATGATTTTCTAGTGTATAAATTATAAATGGTGGAGTTGGACTGACCTAGGTCAGTGCAGTTTCCATGAAGCCACACAACTTCTTTGTAATCATGATTAAAGAGAAAGGGATACTATGTGAACATGACGGACATAGCTACAAAATTAGAGACAAGATTTGTGCTTTGAAAATTAAATGTTCTATCTATTAAACAAAAATTACCCTGTTGAGGGTGATGGCATAATATGAACATACATGGCAATTGATTTTATATAAAATGACTATATAAGAAGTGAGAATTTGATGTATATTTCTAATAAAAGGACCTTCTCAGAATCCTAAAATTGGCACTACATTCAAGAACTGCAAAACACTATAAAGGCTTGGCCATACTTTTTGAAGGATTACAGTGCCCTCTGTAGGTTCAACAGAAATAAACAAGGTTTGGGTGGGAAAACAGTAAACATCAACGTGTGTGCAATTAACATACATGCCTCAGATAGTCACCTGACCTTCCCGAACTGAATAAAAATAGTTATGCAAAGATCACATATTAAGTAAAGTGCACCACAGCATGTACAGCAGGTATCTATTTATGTAAAAAGACATACAATACATAAAAAGAGGTAAGTGAATATGTGAATATCTGCAAATTAATTCGAATATAACACTCTAGGAAATTGCATTTGGCTTTGGAAAGACAGCCTTTTTTACCCTGGAATCAGATGTAGAAAGAAGGTTTATTTTTCACTGTGATTCTTCTTATACTACTGAAATTTTTCCATCACATGCATCTATTAATCTTTGAGGTAAGAAAAAAGTTAATGAAAAATTTAATCACCTTTTAGAGAAGTGGCATGCATGCAAATTTTAAAACACTCTCTAAATGTTCCATAACTTCAGACAAATTCTTTAATCTGTTAAAAACAAGTCAACAGGCCCAAAATGGAGATGCTCATGCTAAGCCCACGTCATCAAATTAAGACAGTTACATTCTGGCCTCTCGCTAAACTAATCGATTAGGAATCCCAAGTGACCACGAGTTAGGTAATCTTCCTGATAGGACTCTGTCATGAGGAAAGTAACTTTTTAATAACCAACCCAGTTTTTGGCCTCGTTATTTCCTTATTCCACTCCTTACCCATTCTGGGTAGGTCTCTGGAACTCTTTCCTATTTGCTGGATAACGTGCTGACCAATTTGAATCAATCGGTTGATTCAATCGTAATTTTATTTTTGCTAAAATAAACCTCAATTTTTTAAACGCGCTTCAATTCATCTTTAACAAATCTCTTTACCTTTCCTGACCACTCAATTTAAGTTAAAGCACAGCTCGCTTATTCTTATTAGATACAGCCCAGCATCTTCTACCTGGGCTAATAATCAAATTAACAGATTCTTAAAGTGGTGATTAAGCCAAGGCACCCTTCCTGAAGCAGGTTTCTCTGAATATGTTGAGCAGGAAAGGGGGAAGGGTTAAAGGTTCTTTCTGGATGTTTTCTCAATAAACCGATTAAAATCAGTATCCCAAAAGGCAGCCTCAGGGTGATGAAATTTTGATTCCATTGCAACAGGCAATGGGAAGAGGAGATTAAAGAGATTTAAAAAAGGGTGGGTGGGTGGGGGGAACATAACCCTGACCTTCTAAGGAGCACAAGATAGTTTCCAGGCTGGGCAGAGACTTTGAGGGTTTTTTTTGTTGGCCCTCCCTCCTCATCCCCCAACACTTAACAATGTGATCCTTCAAAGGTTGTAATTCCCTTCTGTGGGTTAAAAAACAAAAACAAAAACAAAAAAACTCTCTGACTGTTTTTTCCTACAGACTGCAAACTTTTAGGGTGGAAAGGAGGGCGATGTTTGCAAATGGCTGCCTGCACTGCCGTAGCTTCTCGCAGATAATAGCGATTTCTGCTATTACCAGGATAGGCGGTGCCCCCGCGCTTCTAGATCCCGGGCTGCCCAGCGGGACCCCACTCTCCTCCAGACCGTTTTCACTACCTGCCCCCCCAACACCACACTCGCAGGCGCGCCGACCGCCTCGCGCCCCGCCCCCCGCGACGCTGTGGAACGGGCCGTGACGTCACAAGGCCGCGCTCAATCAGCGGCGGCGTTTGGGAAAATTTAAACTTCAAGGCGGGGCGGTTCGTGCGATCGCAAGTACCCAGGCTGCAGGGGGTCTTCCCCTATTTCCCGACGGGATGGCGGAGGAAGGCGCGGTCGCCGTCTGCGTGCGCGTCCGGCCGCTCAACAGCAGGTAGGTGGGCCCGGCCTTGGCCGAGTAGAGTCCCGCGTCGCTTCTCTGAGCTGCCGCTTCCCGGCGTCGCTGCTCGGTAACTCGGCCGCTTACCCTCTCTGTGCCTGGGTTCCCTTTTCTGTCAAGGGACAGGAAAGGACCGGAGGATCTTAAGAGATACATTCCAGCTGCGGATTCTCTTCAATCGAGCATAACTCAGTCTCGCCAATTTAAGATTTAACCTTGCGGGGCTTTTTCCGGTCTGCGCCAACCCCACCCCACCCCCAAGGAAGTCGTGCCGAAAAGATCCTTACTGTCATTCATCAATCGTTTTACAGTTACCTGCCTCTCTCTGCTGTATCCTCCTCTAGAGCAAGTACCTGTCTTTTTTGCTTTGTATTTAGCACGCACTCAAGACTTCAGTGACTGAATACAACATGCAGAAGTTGAATGACTGATATTCATCAGTATGGATTCGTTAGTACAGTGTAGTGTACTCGTTGCCCTGTGGCTCTTAATTGGGGCAGTGTGGGGCCGGAGGAGACAAAATAAAGTAAAAAATACAGAATGTTAAACGTTGATATGGGAGTGAGAAATGCTATGCAGAAAAAGCAGGGAGGGGAAGTAATAAAGGTGTTTCTGTAGTCTAAGGCCTTCTCCCATAAGGATACTGTTAGGCTGCACCTTGACAAGTTTTAGGATAAGCAGATGGAGAGTGTGCTAGTCATAGTCCTTCGGTGAGATGACAGTTTGCAGGAGAGGCAGGGCTGCTGTCAGGAATCTCCTGACCCTTTTCACCAATGAAAAAATAAAGTTACTTAATGGAAGGGTTAATAAGGGTATTCCAGGCACAGACGGGTTGAATCTCTTATCTTGTGGAAACCTTCAAGTAGTCGATCTGTAGGGAGTTAGAATACACATAGGAATTTAGAAGATAAGGATGAAGAAAGAAATAAACATGATCAAGGTCTCATGTGCCATATGAAGGACTACAGCTGAATTTTTAAAGTTTTAAGGGTGAGGGACATAAGCAGTTTCATTTTGAATGTATCTTTTCAGCTGCCAGTATTGGGTAAGAGAGTGAGAGTGAAGAGCTTCTCAAAGAAAGGGCTGGAGGTTACTGAAGCCCTGGCCAGTGTGGCTTAGCTGGTTGGAGCACTGACCCATAGACCAAGGATTGGTTGGTTACAAGTTTGATCCCAATCACAAGCAATCCTGGTCGGGACGGGGAAGCATCTGATCGATGTTTCTCTCTCCTTTCCTTCCTCTCTCTCTAAAAGCAGTGATAAAATATCCTCAAGTGAGGATAAATAAAAATTAAAGTGTTGACCCATCAAAGGTGTATTTTTTATAATTCTCGATATGTTATTACCACCTTTTAAAATATTCTTTAGAAGGTGAAATATTTTAAATTATCTTTCATATATCATGGCTTCTATGACCCATTATAGTAAAATGTAGTGTTTTATTGTTTCAGAGAAGAAGCTCTTGGAGACGCTACCCAAGTTTATTGGAAAACTGGCAATAATACTGTTTATCAAGTGGATGGGAGTAAATCCTTCAGTTTTGGTAAGCTTATAATAGCATCAAAAGTTAACCTGTTATTCTGTTCCTATTAAGAGTACATAGGCTGCCCTGGCTGGTGTGGCTCAGCAGATTGAGTGCCGGCCTGTGAACCAGAGGGTCACTAGTTCAATTCCCAGTCAGGGCACATGCCTGGGCCAGGTCTCCATTTGGGGGCATGTGAGAGGTAACCAATTGATGTATCACATTGATGTTTTTCTCCCTCTCTTTGTCCCTTTTTCCCCCCTATCTCTAAAAATAAAACATTTTTTAAAAAAAGAGGGCAAAGGCTTATGAATAATAGTGGATTTGTCATTAAAAATGAGACTATACCTTCTGTTAACTGCTTCAGTGGAAACCTTAAAAAATTGTTCATCTAAATACGATAAGATAATAAAGAGGGCCTTATGACTAAAGCTATCATTTTTCCTAAGTCCAAAATATGTTACTTAATGTCAAGTCATCTTTAAGATCTTTCAATGTAATATTTTTTCCACAGTTATTTTCAAGAAATCTCTTTAAACAATAAATAGTGAAGATATTCCTTCTTTGCTAGAATACAGCAGGGACCCACCTCTGTTTTTGTGGAGCTTAGCATATGGTCAAAAGAAGGGCTTTAAACAAGGAATTACATTTCTGATGACATAAGCTCTGTGGAAATTTACATGAGGAAAGCTCACTAGTCCAGGTGTCTGTGGGATGAAGGGGAGCTAGCTAAGACAAAGGGACTTGGAGACCCTAAAGGTTGACTGAGCTGATTTGTTGTATTGGTTTAATATGTATATAGTGCTGCCAATGTGCCAGACACTGTTCTAAGCATTTCACAATATTAACTCATTTAATCCTCTAACAAGCCTCTGCAGTAGGTGCTATGTGATAGAAACTTTGCCATTTTAAAGTGGAACTAAAACAGAGAGGCCCAGAGTCACACAGCCAGCGAGTGGGAGTCAGTGTCCAGATCTACACTCCAGCCACACCGCCATGCTGTCACTTAGGCGTGGAGCCCTCTCAACAGCCTGAGGAGTAAGAGTGATTGGGTTGTCAAATTAATGTTAAAGTAGAAGGCCAGCATAAAAGGTTCTGGAGCAAAGATGTATAGTAGAGAAAATGATTCCTGGTAAAGGACTGTTTGAGGATGTTACAGTAATTTTTTAAAAGATAAAACAGACTTCCGCCAAGATGAAGGCGTAAGTGGAAACACTTTGCTTCCTTGCACAACCAAATTTAAAAACAACAAAGTTTTAACAACAATAAATGCAACCAAATCACAGAAAATCGAACAATACGGAGTCCGAAAACAATGAACAGCTCAGCTAAACTGGTGAGAGGGGCAAAGCCAGCAGCAGAGCGGGTCAGGCAAAAAAGATCCCCCAACCCGGGCGGCGCGCAAGCAGCCCAGGTGCGGGGCAACTACGGGAAGGCACAGCTCGGCAGTCAGGTCGCTCATTTGGATGCAGACAAACCAGTGAAGAGACCTGCATTGAGACAGACTGCACAGGCCCCGGTGCAGGGCGGCGGGCTCCCACATTTCCGTTCAGATAGACAGGCAGGGGGCAAGCGGGTGAGGCGACCCAGCGAGCGCAAGTGGAGAGGACTGCCGTGGCTCCCTCTCTGACTCTGCCCCCACATACAGCATCACAAACCCGGGACCCTGCCCTGGTGGCCCCACCCTTAAGGCACCTCTCCTCGTATGTAAGAGGCACAAACAGATCAAAACATGGCTCAAGAACAACTCAGAGCCCCAGAGCCAATACTTTTAAGCGATCAAGAAATAGCCAAACTTTCAGATGCACAGTTCAAAACACTGGTGATCAGGATGCTCAAAGAACTGGTTGATTTTAGTCACAAATTAGAGGAACATATGAAGGCTAAACTAATTGAAATGAATGGTAATGCACAGGAAACCAATAGTAATGGAAAGGAAACTGGGATTCAGATCAAGGGAGCAGACCAGAAGGAAGGAAAAAATGACCAAACAGAAAAATATGAAGAAACAAGAATTCAAAAAAATGAGGAGAGGTTTAGGAACCTCCAGGACATCTTTAAATGTTCCAACATCAGAATTATAGGGGTACCAGAAGGGGAAGAGGAACAGCCATGAGTAGAACACTTATTTGAACAAATAATAAAAGAAAACTTCCCCATTCTGGCAAAGGAAATAGACTTCCAGGAAATCCAGGAAGCTCAGAGAGTCCCAAAGAAGTTGGGCCCAAGGAGGAACACACCAAGGCACATCATCATTACATTAGCCAAGATTAAAATGAAGGAGAGAATCCTAGAAGCAGCAAGAGATAAGGGGACAGTCACCTACAAAGGAGTTTCCATCAGACTGTCAGCTGATTTCTCAAAAGAGACCTTACAGGCAAGAAGGGGCTGGAAAGAGGTATTCCAAGTCATGAAATCCAAAGACCTACACCAAGATTGCTCTATCCAGCAAAGCTTTAATTTAAAATGGAAGGACAGTTAGAGTGCTTCTCAGATAAGATCAAATTCAAGGAGTTCATCATCACCAAGCCCTTATTCTATGAAATGTTAAAGGGACTTACCTAAGTAAAAGGAGATGAAAACGATGAACAGTGAAAGGACAGCAAACTCACAGTTATTAACAACCACACCTAAAACAAAAGCAAACTAAGAGGACAGCTAGATCAGGAGTGAACCTTAGGAATGAAGATCACGTGGAGGATGAGCAACAGGGAAGTGGGAGAAGGAGAAGGGGGGAGAAGGTACAGAAAATAAGTAGCATAGACAGTAGATAGAAAATAGATAGGGGGGAGGGTAAGAATAGTAGAGGAAATATAGAATCTAAAGAACTTGAGACACGTGGTCATAAACTAAAGGGGGGATGGTGGGGGTGGGGTATGCAGGGTGAAGGGGAATGAAGGGGGGGATATTGAACAAATGTAATGGCATAATCAATAAAATAAAAAAAATTCAGACAGATGGGGAAAAAAAACATAAAACAGTATGCGCCAGAGATTGTAAAACCAAAAGTAAGGGGTACACAGACATTTTGACTCAGGTCCTACAGGTTCTCAGTAGCCATATATGCCTGTGGAGGCACTGACTCACCTATCTGAAGCAGACGGCATTAAGATTTGAATTAATCCGACATCTCTCCTTGCTCACAAATCATGATGCCTAAGCAGCGTTCGCTAGCACTTAGGTTTTCCATGTAATTCTGCCAACAGGACAGATGTGTGAGTGTGGAGCAAGCAGCGTGATCACTGAATTTCTCACCGCAGGTCAATACGTTCCCTCCTGAATCACAGATCCTTTTCATGTGAGGCTACCACTGCAAGAATGGCCCATTGTTAATGTGCTGACAGAAGCAGGGGGCCACTTCCTGGACTAGGGAATTCATCAGGGCAAATGCTATCCGAAACCCAGCCTTTAGCAACCAGCAAGCTGGTCATTCCCTCTAAATTCAGCTCTCTTTAGTACTTTTCTTCCAAATATTTTCATTTGTTGGTTTCGTTTGAGCTAAGCCTTCTGGCTAGATATGTTATAAACATTGAAATGTCTCAAAGAATAGTGGTATCAATAGTTCTCATTTCCTAAGCATTAACCAAATGTTTATAATAATTCTCTGAGGAAGATAATAATAGTGTACTGATTTTACAAATCAGAAGTGAGGCAAAAAGCCATCAACCCTCTTTCCCAAAGTCACATAGCTTGTAAGTCTCAGAACCAGGATTTGCAGAGAGTCTGATTCTAGACCCTGTGTTCAGCCCCTATGCCCTACCAGCTCTTGAAAGCACATGATGTAGATGACATGTACTTTTTCTGGGTGAGGACTGACGCATTTTACCTTAGAGAGAAGTGTATTTTTTAAAGACCCAAAAGTTGAAGAACGTAATGTGCCTTAAGTATTTTACACCATATCCTGACAATTTTATTTCGGCTAACTGCAAATTCCAAATGAAAATACAGTTTATTTGTCTGTTTTAACTTATGTGTGTTTTGTATTGTTTTGTTTTTCAGATCGTGTCTTTCATAGTAATGAAACCACTAAAAATGTTTATGAAGAAATAGCAGTGCCAATCATAGATTCTGCTATTCAAGGCTACAATGGTTTGTATTCACTGTAGAAACCTTTTTGTCCTGGGTATCTGTTCGACCAATATTGGTAGTTTCACACACTCTAGTCTCATTTTTAATCTCTGTACGTGTGTGTGTTTTGTCTTTGCAGGTACTATATTTGCCTATGGGCAGACCGCTTCAGGAAAAACATATACTATGATGGGTTCGGAAGATTATTTGGGAGTAATACCCAGGGCAATTCATGACATTTTCCAAAAAATTGAGAAGGTAAATAACTTAGCTAAATTTCCAGTTTGTACAGGAAAAAGTGGTAACAGGACAGTGACTTCAGGGTTCTCTTGTAATGATGAAAAGAAGTAGATTGACAAGTGTGTCTCAGTTATCCTCAGGGGGAGAAGAAAGGCGTCACATATATTCAGTGTTGCCTCACAAACTTGCTTCAGAGCGTAAAGTTCTTCATTCTTTGAGTTAAATTCTGAAATAGTAATACTCCCACTGCAAATGGACATTAAGGAGCAGGAAAGTCTTGTCAAAATTATTAGTTCCTTCGCCTTTGTTTAACTACCAGTGATTATCGAGAAGCAGTAAAAAAAATAGATGTAGATAAAAGGCAAGGGAAGCAGAGGGCCAAATGAGGCAACCTAAGTAGTTGAGTTGATTTATTTAAATTAGTTTTTCATTATTATTTTTATGATTTTTAAATCATTTAATGATGTTCATACTTGAACATCTGTGGGTAGGGTTTTAGTTTAAGCTTATAAAGTTGGACTGGGCACTCTTCTTTCTATGATACTATAATTTTCTTTTGCTTTTATATTTTTGTGTTTATCATTGTTAATACAGAACCGTAAGGGTATCTTGGGGCGGGGGTGAGGGGGTGTCTGTTTTACAAAGACAGTTTCTCAAATATTTTAATGTTAGCCCATAAGCATGTAGTGTTAGGTTTTCATAATTGGCTGATCTCTGATGTTTTTATATATTTTTTCTTCTAGTTCCCTGATAGGGAATTTCTCTTACGTGTGTCTTACATGGAGATATACAATGAAACCATTACAGATTTACTTTGTGACACACGAAAAATGAAGCCTTTAATAATTCGGGAAGACTTCAATGTGAGTAGCAGAGTTACCAAGTGGCTCAAAAAAGAGATTTATTTTGGGGATAATTGTTCTTGTACATTTACCTTTAATTTCTGTATATTTTTTAAGTGTCTCCTGTACCTATGCTTTGTTTCTTATTTTCTTTCTTAAGCATTTGTAGCAATCTTTTAAGCAATGCAGAGATGGGCAAAAGTAGGTTTACTATTGTAATATAAATAATACGGTAAACAATAATACAAAAATAAACTTGTTTTGCAAACTCACAACTGTAAACCCACCTTTGCCCACCCCTGTATGTATAGTTTTTAAATATTGACAGCTGTAATATATTGGTGTTTCCCTGACTGGTGTGGCTCAGTGGGTTGGGTGTTGTCCTGCAAACTGAAACGTTGCCAGTTCAATTCCCAGTCAGGGCACATACCTGGGTTGTGGGCCAGATCCCCAGTTGTGGGTGCGTGAAAGGCAACCAGTCCATCTTTCTCACATCGATGTTTCTAGTCCTCTCTTTCTCCCTCCCTTCCTCTCTCTCTAAAAGTAAATAAGTAAAATCTTTAAAAAAATACATTGGCGTCATAAGCGCCTAAAAAGAGCAAGATGGAAGATTCAAATTAGAATTTGGTGTGCTTTGAAATAGGAAATAAATTGAAAATATTACAGGTTTACCTGTTATTTCTATGCTGTAGTTTCCATTTTGCATTTTTAACTTCTACAAATGAATTCTATCATAGTTGTACCTTCTTTTAGATATGCAGGCTTTTAAGTGACTTCTATTTCTTTATTCTCTTCCCATAATTAAACTTGTTTCAGAGGAATGTATATGTGTCTGACCTCACAGAAGAAGTTGTTTATACATCAGAAATGGCTTTGAAGTGGATCACAAAGGGAGAAAGTAAGATTTTATGCTTTATTTCTTCAAAACATTGTAAAAACTATTCAACTGAATGTATTTAGGCTTCAGATCTCACTTTTCCTTTAAAGCTAAAATAAAAGTTAATGTTTTTCTTTGGATTTTAATATACACCGCTGAAATGTGACTCCTTTTTTTATAGAGAACAGGCATTATGGAATTACAAAAATGAATCAAAGAAGCAGTCGTTCTCATACCATTTTTAGGATGGTAGGTAATTCTTTCTCTGTTTGCTCTTTCCAATTAAGAATACATTAATTTTTCTACAAGTTGCCTTTTCCGTCTAGATTTTGGAAAGTAGAGAGAAAGGTGAACCTTCTAACTGTGAAGGATCTGTCAAGGTGTCCCATTTGGTGAGTGCTGATGACCCATGATAAACGTACCATTTAGGCCAAAGCAAAATTTAATTCAGCTGCTGGACGCTTGGTTTCATAGGAACTGTTAACTGAACCAAATAGTTAAAACCATCTATAAATTGGTAGTTTAACTAGTGTCATATGTAGCATGAAATTATGACTTCTACCTCCTAAAGTTTAGATGTTAGGACTATAGGAATTGAGGCTTTTTCTGACTGGTAATGGAGTGTTTGGGAGTTTGTTTTTTTCCTCAATACATATTTAAGAGTTAAAGTAATCTTGGAATTGGGGTGGAGGGAAGGTCTTTGTTTTTTGGCTTTTTAGTGTCAGCCAGTAGAATTGAGGCTTGTGAGATAAACAGAAAACTAAGTGGGATGGTTAAAAATAAATCACATTATTCCAGTTCATTCTTATGTACAATAAGAAAATATATTTTATATTATAAACACAATGTTTAGACTGTAAACCCCTTGAAAGGAAAAATAATATTCACCTTGTAGCCCCAACACATTGTACATAGCTTATATTCAGTACCTGTTGAATAAGCGACTACAAGCATTATACACACATTCGTTTTGGGTTTGCTTTTTTTTTTTCACATAAATAAACCTCACATTGCTGCACTATATTATTTCTGTCTCTTGTCATGTTTCCTTCCTATTCCTTATCATTTTTACTTTATTCTCTGTCTTCAGGGCCTAGATTTTCAGCCTGATGTGGGATATGATTTTGAGATTACTCTATTTGATTTGAAAACTTCAGGGGGAAATGTAATAAATCTATAATATATTTGTTCATTTTTAGATTTTGAAAAATTAGTCTTAATTAAATATCTAATTCTAGTTTGCCTTACTTTATTGTATAAGAACAAAATTTATTTTAGTAGATTAATCTTGCTTTAATTTAACAATAGCAAAAAAAACCCCACAAAACCTAACTTTCTGTTTTGTTTTCCAAACGTATCTTGGGACATTTCAATACAATTCCAACTTTTCTCTTAATAATTTAGCTTTGATACTCTTGGTGTATTCAGTGATCTACTTGGTGACTTTCTCATAGTGTTTGATGCCCTGTCATCTAGGGACCATAGATACCATCTGGTCCAACAACCTTCCAGCCCTCTTACTTACTCTGAAGTATCTTCTTCGGAAAAAGTCTTCCCCAAAGAGTCATTTTCTGGTTCTCTGTACGTGGCCTTTTACTGTCTCCTGGCCTTTCTGTGATAGCATCCAGGTTCTCTTAGCTGTGCTTCTTCTCTGTTCTCTTTTGTGGCCTCTTCTAACGAAAACACAGGCTGCTCTGTGGTCTTTCTTACTTCCCGGGCTTGCCCTCAGGCACTGTTATCGTTTCGGTGCTACGTGTTTTTTACATAGAGTCTCTGAGTTCTACAACATGTCTTAAAGGTAATTATAATTGTATGTCCCACTGTTGTCTCAAACTTCAGTGTGTCTAGAACCAAATTAATTTTTTCCTACTATAGCAAATATTCCTTTTTTCCAGTGGTACCTGCGTTATCCTGATCACCTGGGCTAGAAACCCAAGTCATTTTGACTTTTTCTTTCCGTTTTGTCCAGTTATTGCCATTTCTTCTCGATTCCATCTTTCAGTATTCTCCTGGGTATCATACTCACTTAGGTTCTCATGTCTCTTGAATTCCTCCATCATTCTCCTGGACCTGGCCTCCATGACTGCAGTCTTCCTCTTTTCAGTCTGTTGCGCAGATTTCGAATGTTATTAAGCACTGCTTTTGTTGTGTCACTTCCTTAGACAAGATCTGGCCACTCTTACCCATCTAACTTTACTTGCTTCTACTTCACATGAGCTCCTCTCTTTAAGATTGCCTGAGTTTCTTGTGTCTTTGAACAGTAATGCTTGTTCCTATCTTTATACCTTAATTCATGCTGCCTTCATCATCACTTTGCCCTGTTATGTACCATGGTCAACTGTGGTAGATACTCTAGAAGGAGGATTAGACTTCTCTGATTATTTTATGGGAGAAAGAAGAATCTGAAATAGAACTGTAAGGTAAGGGTACAGAGCTACCTGCCATCCCTGCAAGGCTCCATAGGAAGAAATATTATAAATCTCTGACTTTAAGTGCATTAAGAATATTTACTTAGTCTTTACCATGTTGTGAGCACAGAACTGGGTTCTCGAGATTAGAAGAATAAAGACATCCCTCCACTACTTACTGTGTTCACTGCTACCAGCCTAGAGCAAGCCACCATCTTGCATTCAGATTCCTGCACCAGCCTTCAGACTGGGCTCCCTGCTGCTACTCTTGCCCCCACCCCACCCCTGATCCTTTCTCCACCTAGGGTTCACAGTTGATCCTTCAGAAAGTTAAATCAAGGCATGGCGCTCTTCCATCAAGCCCTCGTGGTTTCCCATCAAGTTCTTACCTTTGCTTACCCTGTCTCGTCCTCTCTCGACTTCACTCTGCCGTGCTGCCCTTCTGTGTTTTGAATGCACTAAACTCATTATTGCTTTGTGACTGAGGGTACTGTTTTTCATTCTGGAGTGTTGTTCCCTTGGTCTTTGTATGGCCGGCTCCCCGTTCTGTCATTTCTTATCTTAGTTTAATGGGAGACCTTCCCCAAACACCCAGTCCGAAGAACCTCCTCTGTCTCTTCCTCTTTCTCTTCCCGTACTCTCTTTAAATTACCTGCATTATACTAACTATGATTGTCTGTTTGACTTTTTCTCTCTTCTCACCAACTTCCTCCTCTCCTTATCCCACCCCATGTAGAATATAAACTCAGTGAGAGCAGGGACCTGATTTGTCCAGTTCACTACTGTATCTCTAGTAGCTGCATACTGCCTGCAGCATGACAGTCAGTCACATTTTTTCAACAACATTTGAGAAATGAAAGAGCCCAGTGCTTTCAAAGATACTACAGAGTATTCAGACACAAATGACTAGCTCAACACTGTAAGAATAAGCCGTTGTCTATAAACACCTCTCAGTACACAACAGTTAAAGGAGCAATTCATTCAAGGTGTGGGGGATGAAGGATAAAATTGGCAAGGCAACATTGAGGAGGTAACATTTGGTCCTGAATTAAGAGTATGGGCATGCTAGAACATTCAAACTAAAAGGGAGTGGCAAAAGATAGCATTTGCTAGTGCAGAAGCACATGAGGGCATGCGGATTACAGTTCAGCATAATGTGTGGTTAAGAGTAAATAATGGGTAGATACAAGGCTGGAGCAGCACAAGTGCCAGATTATAAAGAATCATGTTCATCATGATAAGGCTTTGAATTTTGTATAGGAAATAGAGGACTTCTGCCAGCGTTATGGAAGATACATTGTAGATAAGGAACGAGGTATAGAGATCAGTTTGACTCAGAAAAGGGGAGGCCTAAACAGTGGAACAAGAGACAGGAGTACAGAGTGGTATTTTGATAAACCATGCATTAAAATGGTATTTCAAGCATCTGGATTTTATCCTTTCAAGTTGCCATTTCTACAGATGTATTTTCATCTACCTTTCAGAATTTGGTTGATCTTGCCGGCAGTGAAAGAGCTGCTCAAACAGGTGCTGAAGGTAACGAAAACTTATGCAGTGTGTTGGTCTGAATAATTTCCTGTTCTTTTACAGAATAAATGTCTTTAATGTAAAAGTCAGCTTCTGTATCTAGCTATTACTTCAGGCTACTGTAGCATCACTTTAAAAATTAAAACTATGCTGTTGATAGGATTGTCTAGCTGGAAAGCTCATGAGAGTAAATTTTCATAATCAGTAAGGGAATTCAGAAAGGTAGTGTGATACAAAATATGCCAACATTAGTAACTCTTATAATACAACCAGTTAGAATATTTAGTGTACAAAAAGACCTCATTTACAACACTGACTTAAATGATGTAATACCTAGGAAGAAACTCAAAAATTTCACAAGACCAAAATAAAGGAAACTAGTCCTTGTCAGATGGCTCAGTTGATAGGAGCATCATTCCATTCACCAAAAAGTTGCATGTTCAATTCCTAGTGAGGGCACATTACTAGGTTGTGGTTCAGTCCCTGGTCAGGGCATATACAGGAGTCAACCAGTCAAGGTTACTCTCTCACATCAGTGGGTCTCTCTCTCTCACTCTCCCTTCCTCTCTCGCTAAAATCAGTAAACAAATCCTCAGGTGAGGATTAAAAACAAAACTTTGAAACAGACCTAAAGGACATAACCAAATACTTAAGCAAATGTAAGACCATATTTAGATGGGAAGGTTCAAAAACATAAAGATGTCAGGCCTCTCTGTGTTAACTTCCTGCAGCCTGACACAGAGACACCCAGCTGAGAGTGGCCTACATCCACCCAACCAGTGAACTCTCAGACCTGGGGACAAGAAATAAACGTTTGTTGTTTTAAGCTGGTTTATTAAGCAGCAGTATTACAGCCATGCCTGAATAATGTGCCTGTGATATGTGGTAGATTGGAAACTTACATGTCCCTCAACAGGGTGCTGGGTAAATCAGTTCTTATACATTCATACAGTGGAATTCTGTGCAATAAAAAAGAATGAAAAAGATCAATGATTACTGATATGATATGTTGCCAAGTTAAAAAAAAGGCAGAGTGCAAAAATCACATATTTAGTGCGCTATTATTTGTATAAAAAGGAAAAGGGAGAAATCAATATATAGAGACTTGTATTTCTAAAAATCTCTAGAAGAATATACTAATAAAAGTGGTTTCCTGGTTTAGGAACAGAAATATGTGGAATGAAGCATAAAAGTGAGAGAAAACTTTTCATTGTGTACTTTTTTTAAATGTTTGAGCATTTGAGCTTATTAACAATTTTATAAAATGAAAACTTTTTTTAGTTGTGAGCCTGTAGGAACTGATTGGATTGTAAGTCTATAATTGCTTGCATTTGGAGGTTTGGAAAAAATAAATTTAAATTGAGTGAGAGACACTCTTTTAGGAAACGGGCTTTTCCTTCCTCTGATTCTTAGTCATCTTTTTCCTTTTGCCGTGTCTCTCAGGTGACAACTTTGCTGACTCACTGAATAGGGGAGGAATAGAGAGAGAGCTCCTTCTACCATTCTATGCCAAAGCATAGACTTTAGCATCTTACCTTTTAAATTCTAATTTCTCTTATAACTTACTGGTAAATAAGTTCATCAATTTGAAGAGATCGATTTTAGTTTTCACATTTGTTTAATAAATTCAGGTATGCGACTTAAGGAAGGATGTAATATAAATCGAAGTTTATTTATTTTGGGACAAGTGATCAAGAAACTGAGTGATGGACAAGTTGGGTAAGCCTATCCCATTGTACATTTACCTGTTAATGCTCATGTTCTTCGTTAGTCTGAAAATGGTAACAGTTCAGTGACAAATAAAAGTACGGATTTCTTCCATGTATTCAGAACTTTTGTGATTCTGTGAGCATGCATGACTTCTTATGACTGTGACTAAATTTACTTTCTTATTTTAAATATATTTTGTTAGTGATTTTATCTGCCTTCTTTAACCTATAAAGAATTTATTTTTAAAACTGTAGCTAATGTAAGGTTCTGCATTAGTAAACCAACCAGTTCTGTTAGATAAAAATTCTTATCCTTTTTCTTCCCAAACTCATTTCTCACTAAGTGGTTTCATAAATTACCGAGATAGCAAATTAACACGAATTCTCCAGAATTCCTTGGGAGGAAATGCCAAAACGCGTATTATCTGCACAATTACTCCAGTGTCTTTTGATGAAACTCTTAGTACTCTCCAGGTAAGTGTAATTTTGTTTTTTCAACTTAATATGGGGGGATCATCTTGGAAAAGAAAAATGTGACTACTAAGATTAACAGTAGTTTTTTTTAATTGACAAAAATTTTCTACAAAATAGCATTTAAAAATTTTTCCCAAACTTCAGTCATTCATACCTCATCTTTACAATTTTTGCCACATCCAACACTTTTATTGAAACTGACATGACATTTTTCTTTAAATGACTCGCTTTTTAATGTAATTTATTATAGAAGGAAACTTTATATCAGTCCTATAAATGAAAATTAGTATCACTTGCAACAAGTGGAAGGTGACTCAAAAAAGTGTGTGTTTTTATAACAATAATTCTTAAATCCCTGCTAGCTAATTGTTTCTTACCTTGACTCTGAGCTTAAGTCCTGCATGTTGTTTTCTTGTTATTTTTTTAAAACAGCTTTCTTGGTGAAGGATTTGGTGTTATGTAATGATCACCTTCACTTTCCCACTTAGAGTTGCTTCTGATACTCACACTCTAAGAAACATTGCTTTAAATAGCTGCTGAGCAGTGGATCAAAGTCCCGTCAGAAAAACATAGAAAATAGAGTTCCTGGCTTCACAGAGCTTATAGTCTTATAGGGAAGATTAGGCTGTCATTCAAGATGATTGCCATAGATTAATAGCTATGTGGCTAATGAGTAGGATAGGGTTCAAAGGAGGGACAGATGCTTTTGAGTGGAAGCAAAGCTTCAGGTAGGGGGAGTGTGTGCACTGGACTTTGAGGGGCAGATGGGATTCTAGTGTTTGTAGGTTTTCTGTCAGCACCTATCTTTCAGCTATTTCTTTGACTCTCCTGAAGACTCACAGCCAAAGTAAGTTACAGGCATTTGTGTTCAAAAGTATTAAGCCACCTGGAAAGAGCGTTGATTTTTCTCCATAAAACTTAATTACAAATAACCTAAATATTACTGACTAAAATAATTTTTTTAGTGTCAAGCACTAAACTCTTGTATTTTTCCAGTTTGCCAGTACTGCTAAATATATGAAGAATACTCCTTATGTTAATGAGGTATCGAGTGATGAAGCTCTCCTGAAAAGATATAGAAAAGAAATAATGGATCTTAAAAAACAGTTAGAAGAGGTATGTATGAACCATGTATTTCAGTAAGGAGTGGGAAAGAAATAGAATTGAGATCTGCCTAAATCCTCAGAAACGCTTATATCATATCTGAGTTATGCAACCTAACTTTAAAAGTTTTCAACTAAGAAGAAATCAACTCAAAAGTTTTAGTTTAATTTACTATAAACTGAAAGATTTAGTTTCTTGAAATTATTCTAGATTTCACTTTTCATTTCTAAAGGGCAAGATTCGAGGTTTTGAAATGGGCCAAGTTAGAGATAATTTTTCAAAAGTGTCACAATAAAGGTTAAAAAAAGAGATTATGTATGGTTACATGAAACTACTTTTTATAGTTCCATGTTATCTTGAATTCCTCTTCTAACCCTGCAAGAGCAATCTAATAAAATAGCGTAATCACTTGTCATTGTAACTTATTTGTTTTAATCATTATGGTCTTCTAGTGATCTTTTTAAAAATGAATTAAAATACCATATGGTAGATTTATATTAACATCTCTTCCTTTGTTCTAGGTATTCACATCTCTGCTTTTCTGACTTCTCTGCCTGTTATTTATATTTTTTAAGGCAATTAATAGAATTGCTCTGACAGCATGGTTATAATCTTATACACAGCACGTGGAGTATGCACATGAGAAGAACTGTATATTTTGTTATTATAAAATTCAGAAATTATTATAATAACTGTATTTTGGTGTTCTATAGATAGGGTATTATTTTATTTCAATAACATTAAAATTTTCATGGTTCCCCCAAAATCTATATTCTATTTTAAGTTACTTTCAAGGTTTTAAAACCTAGCTATATTTACTATTAACATAACCAAATATTCTGTAGGTTTCTTTAGAGACTCGGGCCCAGGCAATGGAAAAAGACCAGTTAGCCCAACTTTTGGAAGAAAAAGATTTGCTCCAAAAAGTGCAGATTGAGAAAATTCAAAACTTAACACGGATGTTGGTGACCTCTTCTTCCCTCACGTCACGACAGGAATTAAAGGTAAAATACTTTAAAATACTTTTAAAGTAGACAGCTTAAACTTGGTATATAGAGAATAGAATTGGCATTCCTGCATGTTTCTTTGATAGTTATATATTTCTTATTCTTAATATAGTATATTCAAGAAACCCAGAACTTTTTGTGTGTTTTGCCTGTACATCAACAACACCTAAGCGATTCATTGAAAATACCAGCTACTGATTCCCACATGTAGAGACCCACTTCTTATTCAAGAAGTTGGGAATACAGTCAAGGAATCTATTTGAAAGTTGCTTCTTAAGAAATTCTAATGAAATTGATTAGGTGATTGGGAACCACAGGTGTCTAGAGATGTGGGCATATTTTCTATTTAGACAAATACTAATTTCAGGAAAATTGATCTGGAATATAAGTCAACATATTCGATCAAAATTCTGCTCTGTATCTGCTATCCAATATCTGTTTTGGGTAGGTGTCATGGCTAAGAACGGCCTCTGGAGCTGGACTGCCTGTATTTGAATCCCTGTTCTGTCAGTTCCTAACTCCTGACCTTGAGCAATTTCTTAAATGTACTTTGCTGCAGTTTCCTAATCTGTGAAGCAGCTTGATCCCCACCACCTGGGACCGATGTGGGCAGTAATCTAGAATGTGCTTAATATTCCACAGAGCAAATCCTCAACAAATGTGTGCTATTAAGATTATAATTCATAGGCATTATGTTCAAATCGCCATGCTAGGTATAACAGAAGACACTGAAGAACTACATGTTGACTGGGTGATCAGTAGGAAGTAGCCCAATGGAAGGTATATGGATGACTGGTTCAGGAAGACATGTACGTGTACAGAATTTGTGAAAAAAATATATTTCTTGGACTTAAAATGTTCCGGTATTTTAAGTCCAAGACTTAAAACCACATTGAAGGTTTTGAACGCTGTGTTATGCTATGGACAGGAAAAAGTCTTGTAGGTAACATGATTGGAACTGCATTTTAGAAACGTGTAGCTGCTGTGCGCATCATGTTGATTGGGCCTCTACAAGGATGTGGCCCTGCAGATGGGAAATATTGGCTAGATTGAAGAGTTATTGGGAGGTAGGTTCAACAGGACTTTGTGATTGTGTAGATATGGGAGACAGGGAAAGGGATAAGGCAGTTTCCAAAATGACTCGCAGGTGTTGCTGGGCTCACTGGGTGGCTAGTAGCAGTATTCGCTGAGTTAAGGAACACTGAATGAAGAGCAGTGGAACTGCTCAGTTTTTAACTTGGCATATTTCCAGTTCAAGGTGTCAGATAGTTAAAAATGAAAATGTGCTAAATTAAGGTGAAATACCTGAGATGGAGATACCCATTTGGGCATTAGCTACTACAGATCCAAATAAAGTCTTGGGAATGGATGAGCTTGCCTTGGGAGCATATTGAGAATGCAAAGAACAGATGGCCAAAGACAAAACTTGAAGAAACAACAACTTTGTAGGTAAAGGCAGAAAAGAAGAATCCATAAAGCAGCCCAGGTTAGCTCTAGAATTATAGAAACTGGATGCATGTGGTAATGAGAAGAAGAGACTATTTCAGAGAAGCAGTGTGTCACATTCTGCCAAAAAGTTAAATAAGATATGTATAGACAATTTTTTTTTGGTTAAGAAATTTATTTGAAAAAGCAATTTGTGTTATGTGTTGGGAGTGAAAGCCACTTTGCAGTCGGTTGAGAGTTGAGATGTCCCAAAGGGGTGGGATCTTAAATACAGCAGAAGGGTCTGGCCTTAGATAAAGGGAGGAACACCCGTTCATTACAAGATAGACATCAGTACAAGTAGTGCTTCCATAAATTTGGGCTTACAGTTTCTTTGTGAAATAGGAGGTTTACTTTTTCTGTTATGGTGGCAGAAGATGGTAGAGACACAAATTTGCAGACATGCTAAGTATTTGAAATAGTTTAGCCTTTGTACGGAATGGAAAAGAAATTGTTGGCCAGCAGCATTAAGGACCCAGGTGATGTTGGCAGCCAGTCTTTCAGCTGATTTGATGAAATCAAATTTGGGCTTTAACACTGATTTGAAAATAATAGCAATTCTACCCAGCCAATTGTGTTTAAAAATGGAACTAGTTCCCTTATTATTATCTGAGTGAGGTAATTTTTATGTTTTCCCTCTGTAGGCTAAAATAAAAAGAAGAGTCACTTGGTGCCCTGGCAAAATTAACAAAATGAAGGACTCAAATTATATAAATGAATTTAATATACCAACAAATACACCAAAAAACCTTAAGACTTCTATAACTTTAGTAGGAGAAATTGATGAATGTGAGTGCTCTTATTTTATTTCCTTTTTATTGATTTTATTGGGGTGATACTGGTTAACAAAATTATACAGGTTTCAGGTGCACCGTTCCACAACAGATCATCTCTACACTGTATTGTGTTCACCAGCCCAAGGAAGGTCACCAACCATCACCATTTATCCCCCATCTTATACCCTCCTCCACCTCCCCTCAAACTGCCCTGCCCCCAGCAATCAGCACACCATTGTCCATGTTCATGAGTTTATTCTTTTTAATTATGAATGTACCCTACAATGGGAGACTTTACTTATAACTCAGTAAATGTGTAAACACATTTAAATAAAGTGTATGTATTTTATGCCATATGATCTCATTTACATGTGGCATCTAATGAACAAAATACACTGACAGACAAAATAGACAATACACAAACAAAATAGAAACAGAGGCATGGACACATGGAACAGACTGACAGCTGTCAGGGGGAAGGGTAGAAGGGGAACTGAAAAGAAGGTGAAAGGATTAGCCAAAGAAAATACAGGCATAGCCCATAGACACAGACAACAGTGTGGTGTTGGCTGGGGGCGGGAGGCAAAGTGGGGGGAAATGGGGGCACCTGTAATAGAGTCAACAATAAAAATAAAGTTTAAAAAATCAAAAATAAATCAATAAAATGTATGTAATTTAGATGTGATTACAATGGAAGTGATGATAAAAATAAATAAGAAAGTGAACATTTAAGCTTTCTTTTTCCAGATATTTTAAGAATGTTTCACTGTCATTAAAGCACATAAGACATATATTTTTATTGTTTTTTTCCTGTTCTAGTCATTATCCAATTAAATTAGTGTTCACAGAACATTTGCCTTAACCTTTGCTAATCTTGAAAAGGTGGAATTGACACAAGAAACTTTCAAAATTGTGTCTAACATTTTAAGTATTTTTAGTGGCATTTTAAAAACTATAAATACTTAGAGTGATCAAATCTCAAATGCAGAATTTCTTTTTACCTATATTAAGGATTAATTAATTATCACTAATTAAATGATCTTAATTCACAAAATAATAAATGATCTCATCTGTTGATATATTTTGGCTGTCATACTGTGAACATGTTTTAGCTAATTTGAGTTTATTACATTTGATCAGAATTTTTTAACATGTTTATTTATTGACTTTAGAGGAAAAGAGGGAGAAGCATGAATTTGTTGTTCTCCTTGTTTATATGTTCATTGGTTGATTTTTATACGTGCCCTGCCTGGGGATCTAACCTACAACCTTGGTGTATTGGGACAACGCTCCACCCAACTGAGTTACCCAGCCAAGACCTGATTAGAATTTTAAAGACAATCTTCATTTTTAGTTTTTGGAAACTTACTGGCATATTTATGGATAAATTTCTTTTCCCCCTAATTATAGCCATCTGCTCAGAGGCTGATGTTTTCAGTAACACCCTGGATATAGTAACTGACGTAGAGTGGAATCCAGCGACAAAGCTGCTAAGTCAGGTAACTTAAATGTATTTTACTGAACATCATTCTTTTACTCATTTTAAAATTCATTTGTTATTGGTGTTTACTGTTTTTGTAGCTCTGACTTAATTTCAGTATCCATTTTGGTCCTAATTAAGGCTTCCCCACTTGTTAGACTCCCAGTTGATAATGGCCACCCGGAGGGAAGCTAAAAACTCTTATCAAACATGTATATGGTAGTAGGTAAACTTTGCTCCTGTTGATTACCAGCAGATCTTGATAACTATGGTTCATTTTTTTCTTTTTTGCCTTGGAAAATCCCCTGAGGGTGAAAAAGAATGGATATTAAAAGTGTCAAAATTTTCAGGTATAGGATATATCAGGGAGAGGTAATATTGCCAAATAATAATGAAAAATGAAAGTAAATGTAATATAGGGGCTTATCACAACTTTAGAAATAAAAACTCCTATGGTGAATACCTTAGTAAATTTAGATTCCATGTTAGCTTTCAAGACTGTTAATGTTCAAAGAAATATTTTTAGTACTGTGTGTGTAATTTTTTTAAAGTTTCATTTCAATTTTAGAATAAAATTGCAGCCATTCTTGGGAATTATTATTAGCTAAGTACTATAATTTAGTCATAATTAGTTATTATAATTAGTTAAGTAGTATTGGTAAAGTGCTTTTATGTCCTTAAAGTATACTTCAGAAATTTGTTTTTTTGTAAAATCCTTGGTGATGTTAGTTTTTGTTTTCTCTGTTGAGTATGGTAAAACCTAGCAACAATTAGAGTTTTAGAGATCAATAGTTAATACCTCCGTTTCACTTCCTAAATTCACAGCCATCTGAAAAATAAAATAGGAATCAGACATGTAGAGAAGTAAATCATCAGCTTTATTCCTAAAGATCTTAAGGATCTGTGGTAAAATGGACTTCCCATTATTCACCCTACCTCCTACTCCTGACCAAACTTTTCCAGTCAGGCACAGGCAAAGCATTTGTTTACATGATTTTTTTTAAAATTCTGCCCCTTTCAAAATAGTCTTCTAATTTTAAGTTAGCTAGTTTACAAAAATGCAAACCCTTTATTTTACTGTGGATCAAGCCAAACTGTTAGGATGATATTAAAAAGGAGAATAGCCTAAACTACCAAATGATTCAAAGTTAAATTATTGACTAACCCAATTTTAGTTAAGGAAACAAACATATGATCTGAATTCTTTCTAACCTGAAAATCTGGTTTTGTTTATAATAGGAAAACTTAGAAAGTGAGTTGAATTCACTTCGTGCTGATTATGATAATTTAGTATTAGACTATGAAAGACTAAGAAAAGAAAATGAAGAAATGGAATTGAAATTAAAAGAAAAGAATGATTTGGATGAATTTGAGGCTCTTGAAAGAAAAGCAGAAAAAGATCAAGAGGTAAGGATGCGGAAACATGAAACTAAACTAAAACAACGCTTTTTAAAGAAGTATCATTCTCTTAAAGATTTATTTGTAAAGTTGAGCTTGAGGGTCCAGCCATTTTCCACATGCATACACAATTTAGAGAATCTAAAAAATAATTCATTTATACTGTTTTTAAAATAACTGAATCATATTTGTCTCACTTGTGCTTATACACAATAAGAAGGAATTCAAAACATCTTTGTGAAAGTTTAGCAAATCTTCCTATTAATGGATTTGCATTGGAGAAATTTTAATATCAAGCTGTATGTTTTATGCATGTACACTACATATTAATGGGATTTGTTTTCTTCAGAAAGCATATTACTAAATCAATAGTTAGAACATTATTAGAGTAGCTGGGGAAGCTAATTTTCCACGTTTCTTTTTTCATATAAGAGTTATAAAAATCAGTATAACTAATACTAAATAGTTTTAATGGAATTTTTAGAAATGAAACAGATCATTTATATTTTCTTAATGTATAATATTTGGCTCATGTTAAGAGAACCTGCCTAACTCAGAAACCATGAAACTTTGGAGACTTAAATGTTCCTAAAGATTCAAGAAATTTCTTAATGCAGAGAGTCCTTACTTTGAGTTCACAGACACTATGAATTCTTTTGCAGAATTTTTTAATGTGAATTTATTTTTCTGGAACAAGAATTCATAGCTGGTATTATACTTGTGAAGTGATCTGTGAATCCCCTGACAAAATAAGAGTCAGTGTTTTGGTGTAGTTCATTAAAATATGCATTCATTTGCAGCTACTTCTCTGGTTTTTATATAGATAATCCCAAAGGGACACAGTTATTTTTCCTCAATATCATTGTTTATTGTCTCACCCTCTTTACCTTTTTAGAGGGAAAAAAGGCTTCTGTGCCAAAACTATTATTCCTATTCTACCTACAAATTAAAGTTACTCCTATATTTCACAGGCATTTTATCCAGGGAGGTAAGAGTCAATAAGTTCCCTAGAGTTTCGGTTAACTTGTTTTAAAATTTGCATATTAACAAAATGTAAACTATCATGAAAAGAATACTAGGCTTCAATCAATGAAACCTGTTTCATTGAGAGGAGATGGTCTAGTGTCATGGTTAAGAGCCAGACTACCTGAATTTAAATCTGTTTTGCTACTGACCAGCTCACAGATTCAGACCTGGTGAATATTATTGGCATGGTCTTGAACAAGTCACTGAATCTCACAGGGCTTACTTCATGTATATCTCCATCCTTAGGGATAGTTCAGGGGCTTGCTAAGGTCCTTTCTAACTCCAAATTTTCATCTAATTTTGTATATATTTTTTGTTATAAATAATATGACAGAATTAACTTGGGACATGTAGCAATAATTTCTCTAATTTCTTCATATACCATTTATATATGCAATTAATAAAAAACTGAAGCTCACTGAATTGAATCACACACAAAAAGATCTCAAAATAACACAGAATCTATGACTTAAAATTCACATCTTGATTTTTTTCTCTTTTAACCACTATCTAGGGGGAAAATAATACCATTCTCTTTAGTTTTACTTGAACACAAACTGAAATTCTCAGCTCTGTAAGGTAACCTAAAAGATTAAGTAATAAAAACTAACTCTTGTCAAAGTCCATTTTACAATATCCTTTCCATGTTATACCAAAACCATAAGTCTACGTGCATAATAATGTTATGTGTGTACCATAAAATATGTTCCAAAATGTGCGTTTGGGGCAAAGTTGAACAAAAAAAGGAGTGACAGTCACTGATGGCCTTAGGGTACAGACCCTGGTTTGTCTTAGGGTTTCATGAAAAATCACCAAAGTTGTGGGTAATTTTCAAGTAGGAATAATGTAAATATCCTATGTTGCAGCAGGAAAAATAAACCAGGACAAATATCATCATGCTCAGAGAACAAGAGAAATTTCAATCCTCTACCTATTTTAACTTGATCTGTTTAATCTTATGATTTTCACAGCTTGGAGATTTTTGTCTTAAGAACTTAAATTTCATTTTATTTGCAGCAAATTATAGTTGAAATCTATAGTTGTTTTCTATGTAGCAATGGATTAACTTTTGATCATATTGTACATTTTGTCTTCGTGCTCAGCATCTTAAACAATATATCATTTACCAGTGACATTCAGATCATTACAAAAATCACTTAATCTTTTCCTGTTTCCAATACTTAAAATGAAGTGCCACTTCAGATAAAAGTGGGAGAATTTTTCTTTCTGAATGCTTTTAAAAATTAAGATTGATTATTTAGTTTCTTATCAGTAGATGTGATTTTCTTGCACAAAATTTAAAAACAGAAGAAAAAGTAAAAGACCAAATTTAAATTATAACCAATACAAATGTCTAAAATTTTGCTGAACACGAGGGTACCCACTAATTACATATGGCACTTGAGCACTTGAAATGGGGCCAGTCTGAATTGACTTAAGTATGAAAAAAAGAATTTAAAATATTTTCTTAATTATTATTGATTACACAAAACAATGATAATATTTCTTTTAAATAAGGTGCTATTTTTATAAGTCCCTAACATTCTATTGGAATTTGCATTTATACTTTAGACAGCTGAAAAATATAAAGCAAAAGCATTAACTTTACAGTATTTCCTCTAGAATAAACTAACAAGGTAATAGTCGGTAATCCCATTTATATCTCTGTAGCTTTGGTGAACAGTAATATTGTAAAAGTACCATGAAGCAACTCTAACCCAAACCTAAATTCTAAATCACAACTCACTAAAAACTATGCCAGTATAAAGCCAAGTATAATTTATGGGAAGAAAAAAATATTTTAGAATAAATACCTTTTTGTACTTATCCAAAACAGAGGTCTATTAGAAGTATATATTTTTAAAGTTTGACTACTACTTTATCTCCTCCAAGTGGTGCATGCTAATTTGCTTTTGAAGTTATTGTGCCTTTATTAACAGATGACAGATCTCTCATTTGGGTCATGCTAAAGTCTCTTGTTTGCCGGCATCCTGGGATTTTCATGTGGGACTTTCATATTTTTTTGTTTGGTTGATTGGGCTTGGTGTTTGATTTGGGTTTTGGGTTTTTTGTTTTGTTTTATACTTTTAAATAATGAGGTGTTCTGTTGACAGTAGCTTAAATAACTGATCTCTCAGTCCCTTCCTTACTGTGTTTGGTGATTCTGAAGTAGTAATTCAATACTTTTTTTTTTTTTGCTTTATTAACTATTGGTTTGCTCTGTTGCCTATTCACATGCTCTTACAGATGCAACTAATTCATGAAATTTCGAACTTAAAGAATTTAGTTAAGCATGCAGAAGTTTATAATCAAGATCTTGAGGTGAGCATTTATGTTGGTATTTCTACTGATAAGGAACTAAAAGTATAAAACAAATCATACGTAACTGAACATGATTTCAGGAAATAAAATTATATTTTTTAAATATCAGCTTTTTGAGTTTTACTATCTAGCAGTTTAAACCATTAAATATAAGTTCTTTTTAATCTCTTAGAATTCAAATACAATAAATTGTTTTACTCTCTTTTAATTTTTTTAGAATGAACTAAATTCAAAAGTAGATCTGCTTAAGGAAAAGGAAGACCAGATTAAGAAGCTACAGGAATACATCGACTCTCAGAAGTCAGAAAGTATGAAAATGGACTTGTCATACTCATTGGTAAAAATCAGGATTATTTTGTTGTGCGATCATATTAATATTTATAGTATACCATCATTATTATCATCATAGCAAATGCTTATATTGAGCCAACTGTGTGTCAGGCATTGTCTTAATTGTTTTAGGTATAGTATTTTATTTAATCTTGTCATTAACCCTGTCAGAATGAGACTGAATTAGGAACATTATCATTTTTACTGATAAAGACCCATTCATAGGGAGTTGAGGATGCCATCCTTTGAATGAATGCAAGTAAGTTAGTGAAGAGCTTCCATTCAAATTAGTAATTAAAAAATGTTTTAAAATTTTCAATATCTTTTATATAAATGCAGGCAGAAATGCATAGTCAATATCCTCAGGTGAGCATTTATGTTCTTGTTAAGTATCTGGAACCATAAAACATGTAATTAAGCATGTTTTCATTAATGTCCTTAATTTCCTTTTACTGATAGGAACACATTCTCATTATTATTTAAGTAACTTTTTAAGTTTGAGTATTTTTCTGAAACTGTTCTAGATGACTTTAGTTAGTATAAGATTGTGGCATTAAGTAAATTGAATTTCATGGTGAAATTTTTTCAAGAAAGTATCATTTAAATTCTAGTTTTTAGCATCTCTTTTTTAAAAGGTAACAGTTTCTAACCTGAATTTTTTAAATATTACTTTCTATTTTTTTGTTTTTGCTTGAGTTTTTCAGAGTACTCTTTTGTTACCTTCTGTTAGTACTTTTTTGTTCCTTCTGGTAGTGACAAATTGATTCTTTTTAAAAGTATTCTCACTGTTCTGAGGCCATGGATAAAAAAAAAAAAGGTGCTTTTATATAATCTTGGAGAGTAGGATTAATAGTAGCAAGCAAAATTCTTCACTGTTTAAAAATTTTTTATCTTTTATGTTTTATTCATTTCATTCATTCATTCATTCACGCATGCATGCATTCATTTATGCATTAATATTTTGCTAAGGACATATGGTTGAATTTAGGTAAGCTAAAGTCATGTTAACTGCCCCTTCTCGCTACAATGGGACTTCTGATTTTTTTTCAAGTACTTATAGGTATTTGCATTTTCTGTTCACTGGATTACCTGCTTATATTTTTTTCTTTATTTCCGTATTGAATTGTTTTTCTTTTATACTTAGGAATTAATATCCTTAATTTTAATTATTAACTACTTGCCTGTCATGTTTTGGAGAGAAAACTTAAAATAAAAATGCATAGGGAACTTTAGCATGCTAGCTGTGTGTGTATGTTTTCTAACTCTGAGAAAGTTAGATTCCACTAACTCCTCTTGTCGTGTGTTTAGGAAGACACTGAAGACCTAAAACAAAAAAAACAGACTCTGCTCGATGCTGAAACTGTAGCCCTAGATGCGAAGAGAGAATCAGCCTTCCTTAGGAGTGAAAATCTGGAGTTGAAAGAGAAAATGGTAGGTGGTTTTTGCAGTATTTATAATAAATATTTGTAATGATAAGTATATTTTTATGAACTTGCAATATTTCTCTCAATAGAAAGAACTTGAAAGTATATGCAAACAAATGGAAAATGATAATCAGTTACATCAAAGCCGGTTGGAGGCAAAAAAGAAAATACAAATTGATCTGGAGAAAGAATTACAATCTTCTTTTAATGAAATAACAAGACTCACCTCCCTTATAGATGGCAAAGTTCCAAAAGGTATTTTGTAATTTCAGACTACCTTTTTGCAAATCTGACTTTCTGTAAAAATGTATCCAAAGGATTTTGCAATTATATTCCAGTGATTAAAAAGCCATTGTTCTCTGGCTTTTAAATAACTTAATATTAACTTTCACATATTATTTGTATCAGTATGTACAAATGTTTCCATGGACTTCAAATCATAAAGGTTAAAAATTACTGCTCAGATAAATTGGACCTGATCTTGAGAAAACGGTAATTCAGGAACTATGGTTAGCATCTGTGGTAAAGCCCTGGCTGGTGTAGCTCAGTGGATTGAGCTTGGGCTGTGAACCAAAGTGTCACCAGTTCGATTCTCAGTCAGGGCACATGCCTAGGTTGCGGGCCAGGTCTCTAATGGGGGCCACGTGAGAGGCAACCACATATTGATATTTCTCTTCCTCTCATTCTCCCTTCCATCCCCTCTCTCTAAAAAGAAAAAAATAAAAATAAAATCTTTTAAAAAAAGAAACACACATCTATGGTGGTAGATAGACTAGGGGAACAGTCACTTTGTAGTGCTTACAAGTGTTATAATGTACACCCATAACTTACATTTTTTAAAAACTACATATTAATAATTAGATTAGCTGTTTGTCAACATTGGTTCTTTTTAAAATAAATTTATATAATCTGATTAAAAAATTAACTATATAGTTTAAGTGGACCCAGTAACTGCAGACTCTTTATTTAATTTACCAATAATTTCCTAGATTTGCTCTGTAACTTGGAATTGGAAAGAAAAGTTACAGATCTCCAGAAAGAACTGAAGAAAGAAGTTGAAGTAAATGAAGCCTTGCATAAAAAAGTTAATTTGCTCTCAGAATTGACATCTTTACCCTCAGAAGTAGAAATGCTAAGGAAAAAGGTAAAACATTTTAAAGCAAATAACTCTTATTTTGAGGGTAAAATTAAACCAGACAATATACTTGCTGTTAAAGGGATGTGATAATTAAAATTTTGCAGTTTCTCAGTCAAATCTTCACTTAATTTAAATGCCTCATTTTGCAGAAAAAGTTTTTTTCTGAAACTGCTTCATTACGTCATGCATTGTTAACATACCTAAGTATTCCTTTTTTTCCCCCATAGGTCAATGATAAATCTGAAGAGCTATATCTCATGACATCAGAAAAGGATAAATTATTTTCTGAATTAACTCATAAAGAGAGTAGAATTCAAGATTTACTTGAAGAAATAACGAAAACTAAAGGTGACCTAGCATCTACCCAGTTGAATTATAAAAAGATGGATCAAGAATTCCAAGATTTTAAAAATTGTCATATTGAGTTTGAACAAAAGTATAACATGGCCCTAGAAGAGAATGCAAGAATAAATCAGGAAATAGAAAATCTCACTAAACACAGAACCCAAGAACTTCAGCGGAGTCAAGAGTTAAATGAAGTAGAAGAGCTGAAGGAACAATTAGCAAGTAGAGACTCTAGTCTGCAAACTGTAGAAAGGGAGAAAACACTGATTACTGAGAAGCTTCAGCAAACCTTAGAAGAAGTACGAGCCTTAACCCTAGAAAGAGATGCCTTCAGACAAGTCCAAGAGAGCCTGCAAATTGAGAGAGACCAACTCAGAAGCGACATTGAAGATACTGTGCACATGGTAAGCTTTTGACAGATTAAATGTTGAAAACTCAGGGCCTCTTTAAAAACATTACAGGAGTCATTGTTTATTATTTATTATCAAGTAGAAACTACAAAATTATTTTCACTGTTTCACCTTATTCTAATGGAAACGGTTTCTTATTTCTTTGACAAAGAACATAGACACCCAAGAACAGTTACGAAATGCTCTTGAGTCTTTGAAGCAGCACCAAGAAACTATTAACACACTAAAAATGAAAATTTCTGAGGAAAGCTCCAAGAATTCACATATAGAGGAAAACACAGAAAAAACTAAGGATGAATTTCAGGAAGAGGTAAAGAGTTTCTGTTCAAAGTTTTAATATATTTATGTATGAGCTTTCTTCTTACCCTCAAACACTTAAGTTCATGATGGTAATTCCAGTCTTATTTATCACTCACAGTGGGAATAACTAACAATAATTCATAAGCTTCACACTGATATCTTCGAGTAACTTGAAATATAACTGCTTACAATCAATTCGAAAATGGAAAGGCAAAAACAATTATAGCTAAAATGTTTATGTCAGACTTTATGTACTAAACTTGTCCAGAGTTTACTGTAAAATCGATGTATGTATCATATTTTTGTCTATTTCTAGGTCTTCAGCCATAATTTTACTACTGAGTGCTTAAATCTCACCTTAATTTATTCTAGGTAGTATGGTTCATTTTTTTTCTTGGAGTGTAGGAGAATAAGTACTTTACTAGTTATTTAATTTATATACAAGAAAGGCTAAAATGCTAATGCTGATTTTTTCTTTTTAAGGGAGGTATGCCCTGGCCAGTGTGGCTAAATTTGTTGGGCATCCCTCAAACCTAAAGGTCATAGCTTCAATTCCCAGTCTGAGCGTGTGCCCTGGGTGCGAGTTCAGTCCCTGGCTGGATGCATGCAGGAGGCAGCCCATAATGTTTCTCTCTTACATTGATGTTTCTCTCTCTCTCTCCCCCCCCACCCCCTTCCTCTTTCTCTAAAAATCAGTGAGTATGTCCTCAGGCAGGGATAAAAAAATAAAGGCGGGTAGTACATTATAGTGTGCTAGGGCTGCCATAACAAAACGTAGACTGGGTGGCTAAAACAACAGAAATTTATCTTCTCCTACTCATGGAATCTAGAAGTCCAAGGTTAAGTTACCTGAAAATTCTGTTTTTCGAGTGGCCTCTTGTTCTGGATTGCAGATGGTGCCTTTTTTCTGCATCTTCTCCTGATCTTTCTTCAGTGCACTAGAGCCGAGAAAGTATCTGATATCTCTGCCTCTTAAAATATACCAGTCCCGGTGGATAACGGTCCCACCCTTATGACCTCATTTAACCTAATTACCTCCTTTAAGTGCCGTACCTTCCGCAGTTACCTTCCGGGGGGTTAGGGCGTCAACAAATTTTAGCACAAAACTCAGTCCATAATGAAGTAATTGGAAACAACTAAAAATTGTTCATAAATACTAACTATTGAAACAAACAGTTTTGAATATTTTCTTAAATGTTCAAAATTTAAGAAAATTTATTTTTATTAATAATAGAAAAAGCAATGCCATTTTATAGGAAAGGATGAAGCCAAAATACTATTTCTTTTCCTTCTTTAAATCTATTCCTTCAGCATCTCCTAAGGCACTACTATCTTCCTCACTGATTCAGTCAGAAACCTGGGGGTCATCTCACTCCCATGGCTCCTCCGCCCACTCTGTAATCCACACACCAAACCTTGTGGATTTCGAGGTGAGTGTGTGAAATCCTCCCACTTTCTCTGTGCTTTGCTAGCAACGTAACCCAGGCCACTGTTTCTCTTTTTCTCTGGCTGTCTGCAGTAGCCTCCCTACTTTACTTCTTACACTTCTCTGATTTATCTTTCATTCTAAGCCCAGGCGATATTTTCTTCTTAAACACTTTAATAGTGAATTGTTACTCTTGACATAAAGACTAGAATCCTTTCCAAGGCCTAGGAGGCCCCGGATCCCAGACCCTGCTGGTACTAGTGTTATTTCAGTTCTCTCTTCCTCCTGTTCTTTGTGCTCCAGCAACTCTACTCTGTTGCTCTTCCCCATTTCATGGCTTTCAGATGTTCTGGTCTGCCTACCTATAGTATTACCAGTTTTACCACACCACACCACACCTCCAAAACACCCACTGTGGTTTAGCTTTTCCACTAATCCCTTAGGAGAAATCAGTTTGGTAAGATTAGGCATAATGTCTACTTGCCCCCTAAAGTGTCTCAAAACAGCAGAGATTCTGTAGGTCTCATTTCCTGTTTTATCTCCAGCCTATAATAGCACACTGACATCGCAGTGAGCCCTCCATAAATAAGTGCTAAATACCTGAAAAATGGAAGAATGGGGAAGTGAGAAGATTGCTCTGTAAATGTACCATTAAATCCTGGCTTAGTTGTTTTAGAAAGTATCCTCATATCTTTTCCCCTAAAATAAAATAGAGTATTTTTGGATATCAACTGTATTGTTTTATGATTGTCTTAAGATCCAAGAAGCTCAAGACATACAAGAACAGACCTTTAATGAGAAGGAAAAAACCAATGAGACTAAGAAAATAATCAGTGAGATGGAGCAATTGAAGGAGCAACTGAAAACTAAAGAGTCGGCTCTGCTAAGATTAGAAATGGAAAAGCATGAGTTGTCCGAGAGACTTCAGGAAAGTCACGAAGAAATGGAATCTATAGCTAAGGAGCGAGATGACCTGCAGAGGCTGCAGGAGGTCCTTCAGTCTAAAAACGGCCAACTCCAAGAAAACATGGAAGAAATTATAGCTAAGGTAGGTTGCATTCTCTTCCCTACATATGTGTGGTTTTCTTTTAAGTATTTTGTAAGCAAAAATTTTTGTAGAAACTAAGCCTTTGGGAGAAGGAACTAGAACGTAGTGGTTACCATTTTTCTCTAAAGTTCTTACAATTTCTTCTATTTAATAAAGCACCTAGAAACCGAAGAGGAGCTTAAAGTTGCCCATCGTCACCTGGCAGAACAGGAGGAAACTATTGATAAACTGAGAGTGAATCTTTCAGAGAGGGAAACTGAACTGTCAAGCTTCCAGAAGGAATTAGAAACAACCAATGATGAATCACAGAAAAAGGTGAATCGGGGGTAAAGGAACAGCGGGGGGAAACCTCATGGAGGTAGCTAACTGAATTACTGAGACTACTTACTGTTTGTGAAATAATTTGAGGGGCATAGCATACTGCCATATGTATGTATATGTGTGTGTATATACACACACACACAGAACCAGAATTACCTTTTGGAGAGCGGGCCCCTTGTAGTACAGGCTATCCCTGCTAGATGAGTGTTCTGGAAACCCATCTGTGTGGGTATACAGCCGGCATTGTTGTGAGAGGCTGCATTCAGCTTCAGTGAATATTTTTGGAAGACTCTTGATTTGCATTTGCCCGTTTCATAATGGGTGATTCATGAGTGCACCTGCCCACACTGTGCTGAGCGTTCAGCAGTTTGTAACCAAAAACAGCATGACCCCCGTGCCTTCCCTCCCTATGCACCTGATCCTACCCCAGGTAGTTTTTTTGTTGTTGTCCTGGATGAAAAAATCCTCAAACGGAAACACTTTGCTTCCATGGAAGAGGTAAAACAAAAAACAGCAGAAGCACTAAAACGCATCAAAATCAATAAGTTCAAAAACTATTTTGAACAATGGAAAAAAATGTCTCCATAGGTGTGTTGCATCAAATGGGAAATGCTTTTTTAAGGTGACTGAAAATTAAACTTGTAAGAATACACAGTTTTTTATAGATAAGTTCTGGGGGTTTCTTTTGGTCTCCCCTCATATATATGCACATGTATATATATATATATACATATAAACACATCTTATTAATATTATATGTAATTTTTGGCTCTTATTATTTTAAGATGCAAGAGCTTCATGAGAAACAAGAACAATTTATTTGCCTCAAAGAAGAAATCAGTGAGACTCAGGAAAAAATGAGCGAACTGGCACAATTAAAGGAGCAACTCAAAGCCAAAGATTTTTCACTAGAAAGCATGGAAAGTGAGAGGCTCAAGTTAATTGAGAGACTTAAGGAAAGTCAGGAAGAAATAAAACTTATAATTAAAGAAAGAGATGAACTGAAAAGGATGCAAGAGACCCTTCAAATGGAAAGAGACCAACTCAAAGAAGATAATAAAGAAATTGTAGCTGAAGTAAGTTTCCCTCTTCTGATGTTTTTTTCACGTACAGAAATAGTGTGATAATGATGATGCTCACTGTTGTTTTATTATTTTGCTTCAATCATAAAGGCAGAGAAAATCAAAGAGGAACTAAAAAGTACTTATACTGTTCTGAAGGAGTACCAAGAAACTATTAATACAAGGGATATATCAGAGAAGACAGATCAAGGAGCAAATATTCAGAGAGATTTAGAAAATTCAGATAATGAATTATGGGGAAAGGTAGGTCTTTTTGAGTTGGAAAATGACATCTGATTCTTATGTTCCTCATATCCCTGTGGAAGAAAATAATACATACATTATACTAAATGGAAACATGATTCATTTAATTTAGGAACAAATCTCCTTTTTCCTAAAAACTCTGCTTTGTCCCAACTTGTTTTGTGATTTTTTTCAGATTCAAGAATTTCAGGAAAAAGAGCATCAAATTCTTGAAATGAAAGCTGTAAATGAGACTCAGGAAATGTGTGAAATAGAATATTTGAAGAAGCAACTTGACACCCAAAAGTCAACTCTGGAAAACCTAGAAATGGAGAACGTAAGGTTAACTAAGAGACTCCAGGACAACCTTGAAGAAATACAATCTGTTACGAAAGAAAGAGATGACCTTAGGAGTGTGGAGGAGACTCTCAAAGTAGAGAGAGATCAGCTCAAGGAAAACCTAAGAGAAACTGTAGTTCGAGTGAGTGACCTTCTTTCCCCCTTGTTAATATGACATTGTGTCCCAAAAGAACCATGGGCGATAGGTTTTGTCAGGAATGTGAAATAAGTCCAATGCTGGGGAAGGTTGAAGGGGGAAAGGGGGGTGTGTTTGATAATATCTTCCAAATATTTTAATAGGTTTATTCACTGATCCAAAAAGTTCAGCTGTGGCTATCCTGCATACGTTAGCACACTTGTGCAAAGATATTTGTAGAATAGTCATTGCAGTAAGTTGCGATAACAAAATAAACAAAAAGAAAATCAGGAAAGTTCTAACTGCCCGTTACTAGTAGGGTACTGGTTAAACGAGTGCAACACCAGGCCACGGGGGAGGAGCGAAGTGGAGCCGTGGTGCTGATTTGGGCGCATCCTAATAGGGAAGTGGGAGGGTGTGTCTGGCGTGTGTTAACATCTGAAAGTCACTTAGAGGATGAGCACTAGGAGGGGAATTTTTACTGCTTACCTGTGCTTTTCTACATATAGTTTGAATTGTGTTACTCTGAACATATTATTTTTCTTTCTCTAATAACAAAGGACCTCGAAAAACAAGAGGAATTAAAGATTGCTAACATATATCTGAAGGAGCACCAGGAAACTATCGATGAACTCAGAAGGATTATTTCTGAGAAGACAGATGAAATATCAAATATGCAAAAGGACTTCGAAAACAAAAATAGTGCCTTAAAAGCACAGGTATTTCTTTTAAGTTGTTACCTAAGTAACAGTGTGAATCAAGACTTGTGTGTGATGAAGCAGGCAGGATATGAATTAGCCTAATATTGAGGATAGGTAGAGATTTGTGTACATAATTTAGAAACTGTTGTTTAGCTTTTTATCAATATCTGTTCATATTTTAATCTCTTGTATGATTATTTCAAGAGCCAAGAACTTCAGGAGAAAGAACATCAACTTCTGAAGGTAAAAAATGATCTCAGGGAAAATATGTATCAAACAGAGCAACTGAAGAAGCAATTGGAGGCCCAGCATTCACTCTTGGAAAGTACTGAAACAGAGAAGTTAAGGTTGACTAAGCAGCTTCATGAAAACCTCGAAGAAGTAAGATGCGTCACGGAGGAAAGAGATAGCCTAAGACGAATGGAAGGGACCCTCAGAATGGAGGGAGACCAGCTCAGAGAAAGCCTCCGAGAAGCAGAAGCTAAGGTAAGTCACGCTCCTGCTTCTTCTGTGTTTTTCTGACAGCAGCGAACCCTTTGATACAAACACACGTGTAAACCACAGCTGTTCATTGTAACAATTTGTAATAAAAATTGGGAAACAGCCTAAGTGTCCATCAGAAGGAAACTGGGTAAAGATAAGCAATATGTCAGAATACTAGGGTAAAAAAAAAAGAAATGAAATAGACTCAGGTGTCCTAATTTGGAACTCAAAATGACTCTTGGTGGGAAAAGCGAGCTGTAAAATCAAATTGTATGTGTATGTCTTTGCCTCTGGAAAGGAGGAGAAGGGGAAGGTCGTGGCGGGGAGAAGACAGGACGGGGAAAAGCATATAACTTTCTAGCAATGAAAGTATAGACTAAGAAGTAATAGTTTTATTATTTTTTACTAAGAAAATGTATCACTGTCATTGAAAAATACTAGTTAACATTAAGGTAAGTCACTGTTCTTAAAATTTCTCTAAAGATAAAGAATCTGGGAAAAGAGGAGCTAGGAGCTGCTCACAGGCATCTGGAGGAGCACTGGGAAACTGATGACCAGAAGGGTTATTTCGGAGAAGACAGATGAAGTATCTAACAAGCACATAACAGAAAGTTAAACACTGTTACAAGGGCTTAGAAAGTTTAAACACTGTTATAAGAAAAGGTGGGGTTGGACAGGGAGGGCTTTGATTAGATATCTGTTTTCTTTATCCATTAGGGATGTAAAATGGTTTAGCTGGAAAACAGCTTGGCAGTTTTTAACTAACTCTAAACATTCACCTGCTTGTGGCTCAGTACAGCTGCTTCTTGGGTATGTACCTAAGGGCAGAGAGCGAATACTTCAACAGAATGATATGTAAAAGAATGTTCGTAACACCACTGGTCATAATAGAGAAAAACTGAAAACAACTCAAATGCCTACCAACAGGAGAATGGATAAACTACGTTGTGATTTATACGATCAAAAGCAGGCAAAACTCATCTAGGATGAGAAAAGTCAGATAATGAGTGTAGCATAAGAAATGTGCACTTTATAGGGTGTTAGAAAGGGCGTATATTTTAATTGGGGTTGTAAGTACATAGATGTATACATATGTGAAGAATAATTGAGCTGTATACTTCAGAGCACTTATGTATATTATAACTCAAAAGAAAATAATTTCTGTGTGGAACTTTGCAGAGTATTCGTAAGAGTGACATGGAAAAACTATTCTTAACCAATTTAGAAACTATTCTTTATCCTTCCCTTAACAACCATCTGTGTCCTAACATGTTATTTTATGATTGACCTAAGATCCAAGAACTTAAGGCAAATGAACATCAGTTCTTGAAGTTAAAAGAAGAGGTCAGTGAAACACAGAAAAAAGTATCTGAAATGGAGGAATTAAAGAAACAAATAAAAGCCCAAAGTTTAACTCTGGATAAAATAGAAATGGAGAATTTAAATTTGGCTCAGAAATTTCACGAAAACCTGGAGGAAATGAAATCCATAATGAAAGAAAGAGATAATCTAAGAAGAGTAGAAGAGAGTCTCAAACTGGAAAGAGACCAACTCAAGGCAGACCTGCAAGAAACCATAGCTAGAGTAAGTTGTTCTTCTTTCTATCCAGTAAACATGTTTTTAATACAAGAGGCTTCCTTCTTTGAAAATAAATGATACTGTTGTTGAAATGTAAATGTATGTAACCTTTTAAGAAGATAGTTTGACACATCTTATTAACAGTGCATCAGCATGTACATTTACTATAGCAGTTTCACGTCTACAAATTTACCCCACCAGTATATTCACACATTTGGGTAGACATAGTGTTTCCACTGTCCACCAAGAAAGCACTGGCTCCTCTGAACACTCGAATACTATATGTGAGAATGAGGCGTGGGATATTGATTGAGAAAGATGTCCACGTGGTATGAAAGGTGAAAAGTAAATGGCAGTGTTCAAAGGCAGCAGGACGGGGGTTGGTTTGGCTCAGCGAGGGAACTTTTTATAGCCTCCTGCACTGTTCTGATTTAGTGGTGGAATGGTGGTTGTTTTAACTATAAGTGTGCATTTTTTAAGATTTTGTTTAACTAGCTCATGATAAGGACAGTGTTTCTTTATATTATCATTTCTCAATTTCTAATAATAAAGGATCTGGAAACACAACAGGAACTAAAAATTGCTCGTATGCATTTGAAAGAGCACCAAGAAACTATTGATAAATTTAAAGAAACAGTTTCAGAGAAAACAACTCAGATTTCAAATATGAAAAAGGATTTAAATAAATCAGAAGATGATTTACAGAAAAAGGTATGTGTTGTTTTGTTCTTTGGGAATGTCCAAAATTATTTGTGAAATAAGAGAGGATATAGATAAAGATATGTAGACATAGAATATATATGTACATATATACAATAAATAGACACTAATTAACTTCCTTGAAGGAGCTCTGTTTGTTTTCTAATTTGTTTTATAATTATCTCAAGATCCAAGAGCTTCAGAAAAAAGAGCTTCAGCTTCTCAAAATGAAAGAAGTTATCAATAAAACTCATAAAAAAATGAATGAAATGGAACGAGTGAAGAAGCAATTTGAGGCTCAAATTTTATCTGTACAAAATGTGGAAATGGATAACTCATACATGACTAAGAAACTTCATGAAAGCCTTGAAGAAATAAGAATTGTAGCTAAGGAAAGAGATGAGCTAAGAAAAATAAAAGAGTCTCTCAAAATGGAAAGAGACCAATTCAGAGAAACCTTAAGAAAAACGATAGCTAGAGTGAGTTCAGAATCTTCCCCTATCTAGTAACTATTTGTAAAAATCAAGCTTTGGGGGGTTTTGTTGGGGTTTTTTTGGGGGGGGGTTGGTTTTGGTTTTTTTTGTTTTTTTTTTTTTTAGTTTTTAGTTTTTAGTTTTTAGTTTTTATTTCCATGACCATGTATCCCCCCATACCCTCTTCTACCTCCACCCCCTCACCCCTGCAATCACCACACTGTTGTCCATATCCATGAGTTCATTCTCTTTTTTTCTTTTTTGTTCATTTTTTTAAAATGGTGACAGTGGTTTGTTGTTTTTTTGCAAATATCTACCGACAATAAAGTATAACAGAGAAACCTACATAATTTTTTACACAAATAGGAAATACAATTTTCTTTTAAAAAAACCAAAATGTTTTTTAAACGGATTTAAAAGCAAGAAATAGTATTATTCTCAATGGAGAAATATTTGAAGGATTTGATCTGTAAAATGTGAAATATCCCATTTCACTGCCTCTACATGACAGAGTGTTAGACATGGGCTCCTGTTAATGGAGTTAGAAGGAAAAAGGCAAGATAAATACAAAAACAGGATGTTGTTCTAGTATACGGTTTAATTTGAATATCTAAAAAACCAGTCAAGAAATTGTATGAAATCTACAAAAGATCTTTTTTATTCTCATATTTCAATAATAAAGAATAAAGTGGAAAATAACATCATTTGTAATCTCAATAGAAATATTAGACACTTGGGAGTCATTTTTATGTTGACTTGACCTAACTAAATTTACAAAGAAATTTAAATCACTCAAAAAATATTTTATTGAGCCCTGGCTGGTGTAGCTCAGTGGATTGAGTGCGGGCCTGCGAACCAGACGATCGCGGTTCGATTCCCAGTCCGGGCACATGCCTGGGTTGCAGGCCAGTTCCTAGCAGAGGATGCATGAGAGGCAACCGTACATTGATATTTCTCTCCCTCTCTCCTTCCCTTCCCCTCTAAAGATAAATTAGTAAAGTATTTTTTAAAAATTATTTTATTGAACAATTACTCATTCTTTTAGGTACTATAATGAACCAGATAAAAGGGAGAAAATATTTTTTTTATTTTACAGAAATAAAAATGTCAAGAGGATATGAGTTTTCTGTCAAAAAGCTAGGAAGAAGATGTTAGTAGGGCTCAGAACACCACAGATAGTACAGATGGTTTTGCTAGTATGCGTAGTTGGCAGCAGTGATTCTTATTCAGAGACTTGGAAGAGTAGGCACCAGAGATAAATCTAAAATCTAATTTGACACTATGAAGCTTACAGGAACAAATTCTATCTGCAAAAAGTACGCGGTTCTGTATTTTTTGTTTCCTAATGAATTGAGGTCACTCACCACAAGACTTAGTGGTACTATTATTCTTTTTCTGACCATTTTTAACATTGCTTTTGAATTACAAGTATAATATTTAATTCCACTATTAAAACTTTATATACAGTATGCAATTGAAAAAATATAAGTAGACATTACCTGTGAATGTAGTTATGACTGAAGCTTTATTTTTTCCTTTGTGTCAAAGCAGGCTCAACAGAACGACAGAGAGGTAGTAAAATATGAAAAAAAGTTACTGTGTGATGGAAAACAGTACCCTACAGAAAGCCTAAGAAAAAAGTGCTTTCGGATAAAAGTAAGTGCCCTCTGTTAAAATTACAAATCAATACTGTGCCTGTTAAAGGTCTATGGGCAGTGATTGTCACATGGCGCGCCACAAGGATTTTTAAAACATGTGATACCTGATTGTTTAGTCAGGGGCACGGACCTCTTTGCCCTTAGATTGTCAAATGAAAAATTGACAACAGCCACCACAACAATAGCCATCTATCTGGTATGAATTAATCAAAGTTACACCTATTTGTTTTGTCAGATCAGCAAACAATGTAAAATTCTTTTTGGTGTGCCACAGAATTTTAGTAATTAGTTTATGAGTGCCATGAGATGAAAAAGGTTAAAAATAGTTGGTCTGCAGAATCAGAGGAACTTCTGCAGAATGAAATGATAATACTCAATATGTTTCTAAACTTCCTAGTGCAGATATGCACTGGGAATTGGAAAGATGATATTTGAGCAAATACCTGAAAGAGGTGAAGGTTCAAGCCATACAGGTATCTGCAGGACAGGTAGCATTGGCAGGGGGAACATACTGAGCTCCTGTGGGGAGCTTGGAGTATGGGTTCCAGGAACACCATGAAGGGAGAAACCTGGTAAGAAATGAGGTCAGAGAGCTAATGGGGAGGAGGCAGCTGTGGGAACTTTGGATTTTACTCTGAAGAAGACAGAGATCCGTTGCAGAGTTTTGACCATTTTTCATGATCAGAGACATGATCTGACTTAAATTTTAAAGGGATGACTCTAACTGTTGTGTTGAAAATAGAGTGGAAAGCAGGAAGACCATTTGTAATCCAGGCAAAAGGATGGTGGCTCAGCCCAGGAGGTAGCAGAGGAAGCAGTGAGAGGTGTTTTGTTTGGAATCTGTATGTTGAGGGTAAAACCAGCAAGATTCCCTCTCACCCGTATTAGAATGCAAGATCCCTAAAGACTTTTGTGTTTAGCATGTTCCTAACAGAAGTCAACTTTCTATACATATCTATTAAAAGTGTAAGTGAATGACTTCTCCCTACCATAATGTGATTTATCTTAAGGTCAAAGGCAGGAATCCCCTCTCCAACATCCCAAATTAATGAACATCTAGCTAGCTTTTCTTTAAATTATGAAAAGGAGCTCATTAATATCAAAACAGCCTAAACTAAATGTTATTTATTTTGTGATTGTATCAACTTGAACCTAGAGTGTTTCTCCACTTATACTCAGACCACTGGGTCACCTGCGTTGCTTCCAGTCATTTGAGCTGATGGGTCCAGGCTTATTGAGTGTCTACCACATGGCAGGCATTATATTTGGTGCTTCATTTTATGAAATGGGGTTTATTGTTCCATTTATAAACTGACGTTGAGAAAGGAAGTTTAGTAGTTTTCCAAGGTCTTTTAGTAGTTTTACAGGCAAATAAATTGGTAGAATTGGGATTTAAAACCAAATCTAAGTTTAAAACTTGGATATAGAAGTATTTTTATGACTATAATTTTATTTCCTTTAACATATAATGTGCGTATATTTTATAGATTACATAGATACAGATATAGATAGTATGAAATATTTTACTTGATTCATCTTGTAGACTTTGTGGCAATTATTGTGGTCTTTATTTTGTGGTTGAGGAAATGTCTGGATGATTTCCCCCATCAGGAAGGAGCAGAGCTAGACCTGAACTCTGTGAAAAGCTAGAAACTCAGATTTTCTAACAAGTAGACAAATATAGCCTCTTCACACCTTTCTATTTGTCCAGAAAGGTGTGAAGAGGCTGTATCTAGCAAATAGCATTTTGATTCTTACTCAGTTGTTTTATCTGCTAACTTACACTGCCTCTTGTAAACATAAGGCAGCATTCAGCCGTGAGCTACAGTACATACTAGGTTGAATTCACTCAAATTTTCCTTCAGACTGTGTGAATGCCAATTCAAATCATGGATGTTCAAAAGACTGGAAAAAATATCAAAATGACAAAAATGGTTATTTCTGGTTTTTTTATATTTGTTTAATTTTTTTAATTTTCACAATGATTGTATGTCATTTCTATATTCTGAAATCAATAGTATCTGTTTCCCTTTTTTTAACACAATATTCTTAATTTATTATTCTCCAACAGAAAACGTTAAAGTATAAGTTTTGTTAGAATATTAAGGATAGAACTATTTGTTGTTAAATTAGAATCATTTGTTAAATTGAATGAATTCTAATATTCTTTAGGAGCTTCTGAAGAAATACTCAGAGATGGATAATCAATATGAATTCCTAAATAGACTGTCTGTTGAATTGGAGAAGGAGATTGAAACCCAAAAGGAGCTTTCAATTAAAATAAAAGCAACCCTGTCACTTCCGTATCCGCAGACGAAACAGATTCATAAACTTCTCACTGTAAACCAGAGGTGTTCCATGGAATTCTACCGAGTCATGAAGAATCTTAAGGTAACACCCTTTACTAATGTCTTTGTAACTATTGCAATAAATTTTGCTTACACACTTCAGTATAGCATGCTGCTTTGCAACTGCTGACTGAATGAAAGATTGTGTGGGTCTAAGAATTTCATGTGCAACATTTTCAATGCACCCAGGACCTGATAATTCAACAAAACCTGAGCTCTGCCTATGGGCCTAGACACTGTGTTAAGGTACTCGGGGGACAGGTATGGATAACTCTCAAATATTTCTAGTGAGTGAGCTGGATATATAGACAGATAATAGTAAGTGCAGTGATAGAAGCATGTGCAGATTATATGACATACTAGAAAAAAAGTTAAAGAAGATAGACTAGCTGAAGACAGACTCAGGCAATAAAGCTTCGATGGAGTTCATTTTGCAAATGGTGGGGAGCCACTGGATAGTTGTTTTAAGTGGTGGCAGTAACATGATCAGATTGCCATTGTTGATATTTCACAAACTCAGATAAAGAACAGATGAGTTTGCACAGGACAAGCCTAGTGGCAGAGAGAGAAGAGGCAGTTACAGTTGTCTGGATGAAATCACGTGGGTGACTATATTACCAGGGAAGGATGAGTAGGGACAGAAAGGATGAAAGAAGTTAAAGAGGTATTTAGAAGCTTAAAATAATCAGTCCATGTGATTGATAGTGGAGTAAGGGAGAGAAGTTTAGATTGCTTTCCAGGATTTGGGCCTTGCCAAGTTTCTGGGTAGTGGAAATAGAAATTTGTGGAAAAAAGGAAGAGTGATGAAGCAGGAGGAGAAATCAGGTGTTTACTGTGAGATGTTTTGAGGCAGACATACCTATGATGGAACATCCAAGAAGAGAAACTCAGAAGGCTTTGTCAGCTGGTGGTCACTGGTGCCAATTCAACACCAACAGGAATCTCCAATTTGGGGTGTGGTGAAGGAAACTTTATCCGGTACAGAAAAGCTCAGTTGTGATATAACCTAGTGATGAAAACAGCACAGCTGTGAATAGCTCAATTGTCATAGAGCACAACTGTGAAAACACAATGCTTGTAGGAAAGTTCTGGGGCCAGGTGGCCCTGGAATCAGGCCCCTCTCCAACTAGACAGCTCTACTCTTAAGCTCAGCCAAGGAGACACCAACTTCAGTCTTAAGTGGAAAAGGAGAGCGTGCTCTTTAGAGGGGAGCTGGCTTATATAGGCAGAAGTCCCTGCCCCTGAACCCTGATTGGTCTGTCCTCATGCAAATTAAGTGCTCCAAATTCTCAGCTTGGTTATTCCAAAAAGCACTGTTCTGATTGCTCAGATTACAGCTGCTCTGATTGGCCAGAGTTGCACAGTTCTGACTGGATGGGGAAAGCCTCAGTCCTAATGGTTGAAATAGGATTTCAGAAACTACTTTATAAGGGCTGGCTCAGCCAGCAGAAATAGTGAGGACGGGCCGTTCAGTGCAGGCTTCTTTGTGAAAAGTGCAATTTGCATGAGAAGCCCCTGTGCAGAAATGGCTGCTAGGCTCTGTTTATTAAAATGACAAATAATTTAGACAGCCAGAATAGGGACTGAAGAGATCTTCTCAATTTGATAATAATAGAGTTCATTGGTGGCCTTTGTCAGAGCAGTTTTAGTTGAGTGGTTAAGGAAGAGGCCAAGTAATAAGAGGTTAAGGAACAGTAGAAGTTGAGGAAATAGGGAGCAGGTTTTCTGCCCTACCTCATTAAATTGCCCCTCAGGTTCTGACAGTCTTTCACGAATCCTGACAATCACATATCCGGTATTTATAATGAAGTCCATGGAACATATAGCATTGTCACCTTGACAAATTATTGTCACCTTGAAGTCAAACATCTAAATATGCTTGACAAGTAGTCTTGAGTCATGGCACACCCATATTGGTTACTGAACCAAGACAAGCAGAAGAGGATGTTGAAAATGAGTATCAGGTATGTAGCTGAGGAAACTGGTTGATTGAGGACAATAAAAAAAGTTGGGTTTTTAATGGGGGGAGATCATGTCACATTTTAAACATTGAATCTGAGGTATTTTTAGTACATCCATGCGGATGTTCATCCTATAGGGTGCTGGAAATCAGGAACCAGAAATTACTCTTCCAAGATGCTGAGTTGGGAATAGAGAGAGGCTCTTTCCTTTTTCCTCACTTATCAGAGGATTTAGGTAAATAACATGATATCACACCATTAGTCCTTGTCTTAAATGTTTAAAATATTCTCTAAGTTTAATTTCCCAATTTGTTTGTTTCTCTGCAAGTATGTGTTAAGCAATGTTATAATGATAAAGAAAGAACAACACGAATCCATAAATAAATTTGAAATGGTTTTTATTGATGAAGTGGAAAAGCAAAATGAATTGCTGGTTAAACTTCAGCACCTTCCACAAGATTATGATGTTCCATCCAGAGAATTAAGGGACCTCAGATTGAGCCAGAAGGTGGATCTACATATCGAGGTATAATTTTTTTAAATGAACTTAATTAGATTGTAAGCCTTTTTATCAAGTAGAAAGGTACCTTTTCCTGTTACTAGAGGCATTTTCATTTACCAAACATTAAAAATAAGCTGCATATAGATGATATCTTGTAGACTTGTGTACCTGAAACCTATTTAATTTTATTAAACAGTATAACCCCAATAAACATACATACATACATACACAAATACGTAAACAAATAATAGCTGGCCAGATGTAAAGAGTGCCAAGTAATGGAGTGGCCTTCTTTCAGAATCCATGAATACAGAAAAATGTACTTCTTATCAGCAAGTGGGAATTCATGGAACCGCAGAATAAGTTTCTAAATGCCTTTGAAAACTTCTTATAAGGGTCAGAAACATTTTTATTGTGGCAGTTCCACATGTCATGTCCTGTTGTCAACCAGAGTTGTATGGTTAGCATCTCATTCCTAACACTCCTGAAAGGCCTGCTGTATGCACAGAAAAGTTACATCCAGAAGCATGTCATATATTGTAATTATTAGTCAGGTTTATAGTTTTTTAGATTTTAATTCTAACAGGCAGAATTTGTAGGCCTGTGTTACATAGCCTATACTGCCAAAAACTTTATTATTCAAATAACTAGAATAAAGCTTTAAATTATAATTTTATCTCTAATTAGAATAACTACATCTGTATTTACTTCAAAAATATTAAGAATGAGAGTTCAGTAAGGAATTTTCCTCTTTTTATAATTGTATGATGTTTAGATAAAAACTTCTCTATGTTCATACAATTCAATACTTATTTTTTAACACAGGAAATTCTCAAAGATTTTTCAGAAAGTGACTTCCACAGCATAAAGACTGAATTTCAACAAGTGCTAAGTAATAGGAAAGAAATGACCCAGTTTTTGGAAGAGTGGTTAAAGACACATTTTGATACAGAAGAGCTCAAAAGTGGCATCCAGAAAGAAAATGATAGGGTTTTTCAAGTGAATAAATTCTATAATAACAGAATAATTGTAAGTAGAAATTTTTATTACGCTACTGCATTCTTTTTGTGGTTGTTTGTTTTAATTTTTCTACTTCATTCTTAAAGGGACTTAGAGCAACTGGATTTTAACTGTTTCATTTATTCATATATGCTTTGTGAAAAAACTAACAACTTCCTCTAACATATTATGCTTCCTTAAGCCACTTAAGTATATCACTTTATACTTGTAAAGAGGATAACAAAAACATGGCTATGTAATAATCAGTTTCCACTCGGGAAATCTTGAATCTTCTTACCACTCTCCTTTTTCATTTCTCACTGCTTCTTCAGGAATTGATCCTTTTCCATAAGAGCAGCCTTAGACAAGGTGACGCAGGAGTCATGATGGTACAGCCAGACAAGCCTGGCGAGCTACTTTAGTAAGGTCTTGTATGCTTTTCAGCTCAGTGGGTCACTATCATATGCACTGGCCTTCAACTTGATGTTCAGAAATGTGGTTTGTGTCATTGTTCCCAAGGCAATTGGCCCTAGTAGACAGATTCATAAGAAGCAGCATTGCTTAAGATCAGTTTATTAATGTGTTGCACTTTTCACTGATCAGAATATTAATTTTGCTTTCTGAAGTAATCTCCACTTTATGTCTGATAAAATATGTAGTAATCAGAAAGTTGCTTCTTATATATACAGTTGGAACAAAGGCAGCTGGAGTGTACAGTTTGTAAGATTGGTTTATTTCATGTGTTTGGGTAGTTCTTTCCTAACACTTTGATTTCATTTGGAAACTATACTTAAATCACATTGAAATATAGATCTTGTTTAATGGATAGTTAATCTAATTTGTTGAATACCCGGAGCAAGCAAAATAGTAAATGGACTTTAAAAAATAAGTCTACAATCAATAGAGAAAAAAATAAAAACCATGTTTAGATAAGGTAAAGTCCATATAATTCTGATAAACTCCATATAATCTTCTTATACTATTGAGAGTCTAGTTGTATCTGGAAAGCAGGGATTTCTACCATGTGGATCAGCATGGGTACTTAGCTTCTTTCATCATTCTGACAGTAAGAATTGGTAACTGTATGGTGTGAGGTCAATAGGGAACCGAATGCTTTGAAAGCCAGTACTGGAGAGGCAGGTGCTGATGTAAAGGAAAGTGGTTTTATTCAGGTACCAGCCACCTGGAAATTGGGTGACGCCCATCTTAAAGCCCATCTTAGCATCTCAGGTGTCCTGGCTAGTTCTTTAGGGAACCACGGAAAGAGGGGACTAACGAATTTCTGGTGATGTGAAGTTTCTCAGCTCTTCCCTGGGGTGGTTTCAATGTTACTTCCTGCGAGCATCATCCAGTAGTTTCATTGCTCCATCTGCAGTTCTACTGCTGATATCTGGGAAGAGGACATGCAAGCAGCATGCTGCTTCTGAAATGAGCCGCTGATACCCAGTTCTTGTGGTCAGGGTCATCCCCTGGTTAAGGGAACTGCAACTACTGATGTCTATAAAATACTTGTAAGGAAACCTTTAAAACATGAATCTTCTATGAGTTGGTTAGTACAGCCTATATTCTATAATTACCACCTGATTAGTATATTATGTTTATTTTAGTCACTGTTAAAATTAGTCCAGAAACACGGAGAGTCCAAGGTGCCAGCAAGAATACAACTAACTTAGGGTCCAAGTCTGATAGGATGACCATAAAGCCAGGAAGCAAGTTGAAGACCAATAGGCCATTTGTGATGAGAACAAAAAGAATATCCTACAGGAATTAGGAAGTAAAAGGATGACATAAGTAATTTCTGACTTAGTTATCCTTCTGATGTAAAAGACAGTATTGATTGTAATTCACTGCACAGATATATAAAATTTTCAGATTAATTATTAAAAGTCAATGAATTCTTTTTCTTATAATGGAATGAAACAGGAAAATTGATTGTTTTTAAATATACTGGGTGTGCTCTGCTATTAGATGTCAGTTAATGTTTTGTAATGAGCCATAACATGTAAAGACTTTAACCTCCAAAAACCTGTAAATTCCTTTTCGTATGTTTGTACTGATCTAGGAACAAGATTATCATCTTCCAAATCAGTTTGAATCCTCTCCAGTCCTTATTCTCCTTTCACTCTCCTCACCAACATCCAACATCAGCTGAAATTTCAGGAACCAGTGCACCATAAAGAATGTTCACATTCTTTTATGTTGTTCACATACTGTTCTAGAATGTTCTAAAACTGAATTTCAACATATACCTTATCCTAGAGTTTTAGTATTTTTCAGTGTTTTTTAGCATGTATTACTTTAACATGTAAAGTATGTATTTGTGGTTTTACTATTCAATAGGCTATAGTGAATGAATCAACAGAGTTTGAGCAAAGAAGTGCCAACTTAGCCAAAGAATGGGAGCATGACCTGAAATCAATGAAAGAGGAAAATGAAAAACTGTTCAAAAACTACCAAACTTTGGAGATCTCTCAGACACCTGGTGCCCTTGCTAATCCTACTACACAAGACTATAAGAATCTTCATGTTACATCAAGAGCCAAACAACAAATTACAGATGTATGTGATTTTTAAATATTTTTACAAGTTTCACCTTAATAACAGAGTTAAAAATGTATCTTATATAACATTCGGAGCAGAATTATAGTATTGAATGTATTAATTGAAGAACATGGATTATCTGTGCATGTGAGTGTGTATGTGTATGTGTGATGGGCTTTGTTTTTTAAATAGAGTTCTGTTGTGACTATCACTCAATTAGATTAAGCTAGATATTTTATAAGGTCTTCCCTTCAGATTATACAACAAGTAACTAATAGCTTAATTTTTAAGTGTATATTATTGATTATGTTATTATATTAGTCCCAATTTTTCCTCCTTTGGCCCCCTCACCCAGTACCCTCATTTCTTCCCACTGTACCCCCTTAGTTCATGTCCAAGGGTCATGCATATAAGTTCTTTGGCTTCTTTATTTCCTGTACTGTTCTTAACATACTCCTGTTTATTCTGTAGCTACCAATTATACTTTTTAATCCCTGTACATTTTCCCCCATATCTCCCAGCTGATAACTCTCCAAATGATCTCCAAACCTTTAATTCTGTTCTTGTTCTTATTGTTTGTTTAGTTAATTTGTTTAGATTCAGTTGTTGTTCTGAATTTGTTATTTTTAATGTTCATAGTTTTGATCTTCTTTTTCTTAGATAAGTTCCTTTAACATTTCATATAATAAGGGCTTAGTGATGATGAACTCCTTTAACTTGACTTTATCTGGGAAGTACTTTATCTTTATCTGCCCTTACATTCTAAATGATAGCTTTGCTGGATAGAGTAATCTTGGGTGTAGTCCTTGCCTTTCATGACTTTGAATACTTCTTGCCAATCCCTTCTTGCCTGCAAAGTTTCTTTTGAGAAATCAATTCCTTTGTAGGTAACTCTTTTCTCTTACTGCTTTTTAAAGATTATCTCTTTATCTTTATTCTTTGTCTACTTGAGTCACATGCATCTTGGTGTGTTCCTCTTTGGGTCCAACTTGTTTGGGACTCTCTGTACTTCCTGGATTTATATGTCTATTTCCTTCACCAAATTAGGGAAGTTTTCTTTCATTATTTTTCAAATAAGTTTTCGATTTCTTGCTTTTTCTTTTTTCTTTCTGGCACTCCTATGATTTGGATGTTAGCACATTTGGAGATGCCCCAGAGTCTTCCTATACTATCCTCATTTTTTAAAATTCTTGTTTCCTCTTGCTGTTCTGGTTGAATGTTTATTTCTTCCTTGTGTTCCAAATCATTGATTTGCATCCCATCTTCTTCCCCTTCACTGTTGGTTCCCTGTAGATTTTTCTTTATTTCACTTAGTATAACCTTCATGTTTTCCTTTATGTTGTTGCCCTACTCTATGAGTTATTTGAATATCCTGGTCAGCAGTGTTTTGAACTCTACCTGTGATTGGTTGACTATCTCTGTTTTGTTTAGTTCTTTTTCTGGGATCTTGTTCTATTCTTTCATTTGGCCCATATTTCTTTGTCTCCTCAATTTGGCAGCATCCGGGTGTTTGTTTCTGTGTATTAGGTAGAACTGCTTTGACTCCTTCTTAGCAGAATGTCCTGTTGTAGAAAACACACCATAAATTGTGTGGGGCAGAGTCTTAGGTAATCTCCAGGGCAAGCAACCCACTTCACTGTTCTGTGGCTCTGTGTGGGGGGACTCGCAGAGAGGACTGTGCCACTGCCTGGCTTCTGGAGGTTTTCCAGCACTCGCCCCATTTCCAGTCACTTTACCCACTCCCCGTATGCGACTGGCATCCTTCCAGCTGTTGCCCTGGTATTGAATCCCAGAGCGAGTGTGTTTGTGTACACTTTAAGACCTTGGGAGCCCTTAGAGCGAGGTTGCCTGAAAATTCAGCAGTTTCTTCCACCTTCCCAACTGCCACTGGTTTTTACATCTTGAAGTTATGGGGATTTATCTGCCCAGCACAAGAACCCCGTGCTGTGTGATCACACCTGGGCCGTGTGATCTGGCTTAGGGTGGGGGTTACTCGCTCCCAAGGTACCCCTTCCAATTTTTATCCACCGCACGTGATGCAGTACTGCCATGCCCGTTTTACCTCTATGCACCATACTGCATTTCCTCACCTCTCCGCCTCATCTCCGCCCCTTTTACCCATCTGGATGAGTGTGGCTTCTTTAAATCCTTGGGTATCGGTCTTCCATACAGCTCAATTTTCTGACAGTTGTGGCTGTTATTCGTTTTGAGATTTAGTTGTAATTTCTTTTTGTGGTTGTATGAGGAGGCAAAACGTGTCTACCTACACCTCCATCTTCTCTGGAAGTCCTCATAGCTTAATTTAAATAATGACTATATGTGCCATGTAAGGTGTTATTACCCTACGTTATAAATTTCCTCAAGTGTTTGACTTTTTATTAAACTGTGTCTGTATATAGAACTAGCTTAGAGGGAAAGACCAACTTCAGTTTTTCCAATTAGTATTTATGCTTTTAATATTGGTTAATATTATAATCAAAAATATAATAGATTTGTTATACAGATTAACCTGTGTTCAAAAATTTGTACTTATTTGAATAATCCACTTACTTTATTCATATTAAAGATTTTATTTATTTATTTTTAGAAACAGGGATAGAGAGGAAGACAGAGAGGGTGGGAAACATCATTGTGGGAGAGACTGTCTCTCACATGTGCCCCAGCCAGGGACCGAACCCACAACCCAGTCGCCTGCCCTGACCAGGAATTGGTCCAGCAAGAGTTTTCGGGCCAGTGCCCTGCCTGGCAGGGCCATTCAGTCACTTTATTAACCTCCCTCATTTGGGAACCTATAAAGCAAACTATTTTATGTTGCTATTTTATGTTGTTAGCCTACAAAATGAGTAGTGGGAACCAAGAGTAAATTATATTTGTCATTTTTACCATAATAAATACTTACAATAAGTCATTAACCACTAGTTTAATAATTACCACTGGAAACTAGAAGAACCTGAGTATATAGTTTATTAATTTGCTGATCACAACAGACTTTAGTCAACTGGTAGATATAAAAATAGTGGAAATATGAAACTTATCTACCAAAACATAACATAAAGAAGAAGAAGGAAATTCCATCTTCAGTTACCCCAGGAAAAATACCCCACCAGTAATAAAATATATACTTTTAGTTTGGTACTTAAGCCAAATTAGAGCGGCGTAGAGTATTTTGGTTACAATGCAGGAATAGGCTAACAGAGCAGTGGAACAGCATGGGGAGTTCAGCAGTGCGTTTAATACATGGTCACGATAACCTTCGACTCAGTGGGGAAAGGGTGATCTACTCGGGATTTGATTCAGAACAACCAGACAGCCATCTGGCAGAAAATAGGTCTGGATTCCTACCTTACTCATTGAACCAGAATAAATTCTGTGTGGGCCAAAAGAAGCAGACATTCTCCAGGACAATCTGCATGTGTGTAGATGAGAATGATCTTATAAATGTGAACAAATTCAGGTACTTTTGTACTTGTAAAAAACCAGAAAATAACCTAAATGTTCACCACTAGGTGATGAGTTAACTAATTTATGGTATTTCCATGAAACAGGATATATATATGTATGAAAATAAAAATGTAAGCTGTCTGTATGTGTTGGTAATGGAAAGTTCAGAAAAGTATATTATCAAGTTATAAAAAAGATGTAGTAGTATATGTTTAGTATGTTTCTATTATATGTATGACTGACTATTTTTGTAAATTGTGTCTTTATGTATGCGTAGATACACAGAAAGTTTCTGGGAGAACACTTGAAAGTGTTTAATAGTCATTGATTGGGGTCTGTGGTAGGGAAACAGCCAACATTTTATGCAGTTGAATTTTTCCACATGCTTGTGTTTTTCAGTTGGAAATCTAGATAATGACAATAAAGGGAGCGATACATGTATTACTTTAGAGGAGCAATTAACAAATATACTTTCTTTAATGTTAATTTAAAATGTGAATGAAAATTTAGTATGCTTAGGACTTTACTGTGCCAACCAGTAAATAAAATAAACACTAAATATAATGTAAAATCTGAGCATTTTTAGTCCAAAAATCATCAGCTTCTAAATAAAGAAATAATATGTGTTTAAATTGTATGAGATTTGGCTTCTCTTCTACCTTTTGCTAATGCAATTTGTCAAAAATTAATATCTCTATATGATCATCTTTGTCTTAAACCTACATAATATGATTCTGTCTTCATGGCAGACCTTATATATCTGTCCTTTTTTTGACAGAAAATTGAAGAGCTGGAAACTTCATTACGTGAAGCTAAAGAAAGTGCTATGCATAAGGAAGACAAGATTATAAAGATGCAGAAAGAACTTGAAATGACTAATGATGTAGTAGCAAAACTTCAAGATCAAGTTAATGAATCAAATAAGTGCCTTGAAAAGTCAAAAGAAATGATCCAAGTACTTGAGGTAACTTCACAAACTTATTTTATAAATAAAAGGGGTTGTTTTTTTTCTTTTACTGAATTTAGCAGATCATTTGAAAAATCTAATCTTTTACCCAACTTTCTATTAGCTATGTATGTGTCCTGTTCAGTATTCAAGCTTTGAAAAAGCAATTGACAACTTAGAAGTGAAATGCAGGAGTATATTATCATACAAAATAATGATTTTTTTATCTTTCTAGACAAATAATTTTTAAAAGACAGAGAGGTACTATTCTTTATAGTTTAAGATGTATGTTCATTTTTTTAAATACTTCTTATCTAAATATGTAACACTCCTTATTGGATAAATATATTTTAAAATTCTTCTTTATTTTTTTTCTATTTGATGCCCTTGTTATTGAGTCCCACCCTGTAGGTGGTAGCCTATGGGCCGAATCTGGCCTGTTTCCTTATAGAAATAACAGGCATTTCAGTGTTTTTCAACTTGAATGTCATTGCACATCACACTCTCATGCATCTCATCCTTACCACTCCCTTCTGATTTAGCCCCAGCCGCATCTCACATTTCTGCTACTTGAATCTGACCCTAAGTGCCTTGTCCTTCCTCTTAAAATTAGAAAGTCAAGAATGCCTTCTCTTTTCACTACTGAACATTTATTTGATGAGACATTATTCATTAAAAAAAGAATTATGTGTGTATATATTTATATGTGAATAATTTTTTTCTGAGTGGAAAGTAGATATATTTATGTCACTGGAGTGAACCATGTTTGCATATAAAATATCCCCAATATGCTGCATAATACTTTATGCCTTTAATTCAGTTCTAGTTTTATGTTGTTATTCTGACATGTTTTTATTTCATTTTTCTGATTACCTTTATTTATCCATTTTATTACCTTCAACCTTTTTGTTTCATTTTATCATTTTTAATTGGGAAAAGAATTTGTTTTAAGAAATAAAATTTATATGTTCTCTAATTACATGTTAGTTTCTTATAGCTTCAAATATATTTCACATCAAATATCTATTTGTTATTTATTTAGCATTAAAATTTGCCTTTCCTACTTTTTAAATATCTAGAGTTTACCAATTTAAAATGTTTCTACCAAATAAAAACAGTCACAATTCTTTGAAACTGCTCCAATATTGTTTTTTTCTCTAAAAAATTTAGGACAAAGTTGCTTTAGGAACAAAACCCTATAAAGAAGAAATTGAAGATCTCAAAATGAAGCTGGTGAAAATAGACCTAGAGAAGATGAAAACTGCCAAGGAGTTTGAGAAGGAGTATGTCCTTGCCTTAACTGAACATGACTAATAGCTTAAGTTTTCTTACTAATAATATATTTCTTTTCATTGGTTAAGTTTTAAAAATATCTGAGAATATTGTTATTGCTTTCTTAAAGTAAGTACAAACAGCCACAGATTTTAAATTTATTAAACTCTCATTACAAATGCAAAGATTTTTTTAAGTAAGCACAATTCTGATCAATTGTAACACACTGTGTCTTTGGATGCTTCTTGCTTAATCAGATATAAAAGTTTACAGCGGCCTTTTTATGCTTAACATTTTATGTTTTTGTGTAAAGATTATATAGGGTGGGGCAAAAGTTAGTTTTACAGTTGTTTATGTGGAAAATAATACAGTAATTCACAAAAATACAAGAATAAGCTGTTTCACATACAACTGTAAACCTACTTTTGCCACACCCTGTAATTCCTTTGAAATTATAGTACCTCGTGCCCAAGAGCATGTTTTTCATTGATTTATTTATATATAGCACTATACATAATAGCATGCCTAAAGTTTTCTGTGGTATACCATAATGAAAAGCACATTAAACAGAGTCAGAGAAACTGATTTAGAAATACAGTGTTGCTATTTATTAATATATCACATATGCAAGTTGTCTAATCTCTCTGCTCCTCACAGACATAATCAATAAAAGGGTAGGTTTGTATAGAGGATTTCTTAAGATTCCTTCTGGTTCCAACACTTTATTCATCCTATAAATCCTTAATAAACATTTAATAGTGATACCCAATTTTGATCAGAAGTAAGCCCTGTGAATCTTTATGCATTCTAACCAGACTTCCATTGATAAGACTGTTGGTTTTAATGTAACTTAATCCATACTGAGTTCTTCATTATAAAAACAATTTTACTTATAAAACAGAATCAGCGGATACTTCCCATCCCTAAGAAAGGCAGAAAGTCTTATCGTTTATTATTACTGATTAATGCTTAAGCCCACAGTTCATAGTGTATCTTTCTAGAGGGGAATAATGAGCAGAATTTTACTTTTTACTGTATCACCTTAAACCAGGGCTGCACCCAGGGCTGGCTCTCCTGACAGTGTAGAAAGGAAGCTGCCTTTCACTTTCAGGTTCTGGTAATTGTCATATCCTTGAGATCTTTCTAAAACCTTGTGGTAACGGCCCAGTTATTTTATGGTGCCTTCAAACATGATTTTGCTCAGTGTCCAATTAATAGCTATGGAGCTTCCAGAAATTTCAGAAGAATTGGTTTCTTGATGCTAATATTGACACCACAACCAAACATACTTCAAATGTGGCGTTGTTATAGCTACAAAGTGCATGGTACAAGGGAGGATGTCATGCAGGCTGCTACTTACCCACTGCTACTTACGGATATTATGTCAGTGTGATGTCTCTTACAGAGAATTCTTGGCAACAGTCCTGTGTAGTCTTCCTTTAAAAGTTAGTTGCTGGGCTTTTACATATTCCTATTGTTGTTTTTATTAGAATTGCTTCTACAAAAGCCACTGTAGAATATCAAAAAGAAGTTATAAGGGTATTGAGAGAAAATCTTAGAAGAAATCAACAAGCCCAAGACACCTCAAGTAAGTAGCAAATGTTGGGATTTCCAGATCCTGTCCATTTTGCTTCTCACTGCACTTCTGTGTTTTGAGGACTACTTGATACATGGGACAGTCAAGAATGAACTTAGGTTCATCACTAATTCATAAAAACTACTTCTAAAATGAATTCATTGCAGTTATATTTATCCTGTGACAGCTCCTTAGTTTTACTATAATGTCAGCCATTATAGATTCTTGAAAAATAGGAATTTTACCTTTGAATTATCAGATCTTTACATAGTGAAGATACCCACAGTACTATAAAAGAATGATGTACCTATCAAAGTAGAAATACCCTTCTCAATAAAAATCCAAACACATCTTAATAGAATTTTAACAATATGCATAGTAAAAACACCCCATATTTAGCCGTGTTAAATGGTCACCCATGTATAATGTTCACCCATGTTTTAGTGAGCATTATACATGGGATTATTATACCCATTATTCTAGCCATGGTGTGTAGTGATTACACCCAGGTACAACGCACATCCTTATTTCTTCTTCAAAAATTTGGGCAAGCTCTGACTGGTGTAGCTCAGTGGATTGAGTGCGGGCCTGCAAACAAAAGGATCGAGGTTCGATTCCCAGTCGGGGCACGTGCCTGGGTTGCAGGCCAGTTCCCAGCAGGGGACACACGAGAGGCCACCACACATTGATATTTCTCTCCCTCTCTCCTTCCCTTCCCCTCTAAAGATAAATAAATAAAATCTTTTAAAATTTTTGGGCAAAAAAAAGGTATGGATTATACATAGCAAAATATGATAATCAGTGCACAGTACAAATAAGTAAACATCCTACTTGTTCCTAATACTAAAAATAGAGAGTTTGGTGCTTACTTGTAAACTCTTTAAAATTTATCTTAAGTATAGTTCTCAAATCTAATGATCAAATTTCTGCAAGTACATTCCTCAAACTATATCTTTTTCCCTATCTCTACTTCCTGTGTGTCCTCTTCCGAGAGAGAGTGCTGAACAGGGGCAGTTTTGTGTTACAGAACAGGCATCGATCTAAAAGTCAGGGGTTGCCCTCCCTGAATGGCTGAGAAATCATGGGACCACACTTGACCTCCTAGCAAATGTGTGCTTTGTTGTAAGCATCACACTAAAAGCGGTGTGTGAAAGCACACTTAAAATTCTAAATGGCAAGCAAACCTAGGATGATATTTGTGTGTATTGTCTACTTATTCAAAACAGAAATTAGAGATAGTGTTAAAGATTTGCCAAGTCCATACTTAGTTTGACCATCCCTAGTGTCTGTTGCAGCTCCTACCTGGAAAACTTCAAGGAATAGAAATTGAACCAAGGACTCTTTGTTGTTACATTAGGGCCATGATGATGGTTCTTGATTTGTAAGTAACTTTCAGATACACAGTGTGTCTGAATTCAAAAGAAAAGGGACATTGAGTATCTTCACCACACCGTACTGTTTTGTAAATCGTCAGTGATTTGGTGGACTATGCAACTTTAGAAGCTCCTCACATTTCTATGCAATTTTACCTCAAATTTACAAAACAGTTCCTTGTAATACTTTCTGTGCACATAGTGTAGAATATGTGATAATATATGCTTTAATGCTATCCTGAGGTTTGTTTGGTTAACAAGTACGTGTTGAGTGGAGTCTCACTGACTGGGGTGCAGCCCCCACACACTCTGTTGGAAGAAGTGCTTCTGGGCTCCCACTGACGTGTGGAAGGTCGGTCAGTGGAGGAAAGCTCTAACTGGAGGGGTTGCTGCTGCTGCATCCATGGTGAACGGTCTTAGCAGGATTATGGAATCGGAAGTGGTGGGTGGAGAGTAGCCGAGAGGGTTCTAGCAATATTTAGAGTTGATGATGGAATAGGATTGGGAGTCCGTAGAAGGAGGAATTCAAGGATGGTTTCCAGAAAGATGGTAGTTGAGATGCATGGGGATTTATGGTGACTTACTGCACTTAGGATTGTTTCCTTTATTTTGAACTTCAGAGATAATTAAAATCGTCACCTGTCTGTGTTTTTGACCCCACAGTGGTATCAGAAGAGAATAATGATTCTCAGCCTCTCAACAAGCCCCTGACCTGTGGAGGCGGCAGTGGCATTGTACAAAGCACCAAAGCTCTTATCTTGAAAAGTGAATATGCACGACTGAAAAAGGAAATTTCTAAGTTGAAGCAGCAAAATGAACAGCTAATAAAGCAAAAGAGTAAACTGTCGAGGTAAGATCTGTTTACATGATACAGAAATTAGGCTTATGGCTGGTACACGTGGGGGAGGATGATAATATGCACATACAAATGGGGATTTTTTGCAGTTAGCAGCCCTTTACATAAAAAGGGTAATTTTTACAGCTCATGTAATGTGTAAGTCCATATACCAAAGTCAACACGTCTGTGCTCAAAAGAGAACTTCGTAGGTTCACTGTTACAACCTATTTCCTTTTACTTTATAAACAATTTTAATAAACTTATTTGGCTTCTGCTGAGGGTTAGAATCTTGCACTAATCTCTACTAATGATACTGCAAAAGAAAGATAGGTGTTAAACAAATAATTATACAAATAACCACGTCTTTGTAATAAGTGCTGTTAAACAACAGAAACAACAAGTGAAACATTGTGAAAGGGTATACCAGAGGGGCCAGACCTTATATCTAAGCATGGGGAAGGGTGGTGATCAAGAGACTGATCTATGAGGAGATCTAAAAAATCAGTGCAACGTAGGCCAGGTGAAAGGAGAGACAGGTCAGCCTTCTGGGCCGGGAGTCAGGAAGAGGAACCAGAGGGTGGACTGAAAGACATCCGCTGTGGTGAGAGCTTGGAGAATGAGGCAAATGCAAGATAAGAGCCACAGGTAACTGGTCTAAGTTCCACAGGCCCTTATGGATCAATCTGAGGAAGTTTGAGTGGTGTCCTAACAAGCCAGGAGGGTCACCTACCCTGGAGGGTTTTAAGTCAGGGCCCTGTAGGATCAGATAACATGCCTGGTGTCCAGAGCACCATAAGGGAACCCAGCTTAGGAATCTTATTTGTTATAGTCCAGGCCAGTAAACAAAATGAAAAATGGTGATGGGGGAGAATAAAAATACGGAGATGAATTTGGGGGATAAGGAAGGAGAGCAGGGTCTCTAGGATGGCTTCCCTCGCATCTCTGGAGGAACCAGGTAAAGGCTGGTGGGGTTCTGTAAGATCACACAGCATCATAGTTTAAAGTAACGAAGGCACGTTAAAGATCCACTGGCCCAGAAGGACAAGTTCATCAGTAGAGAAGTCACTCCAGGTACCTAGTTTACTTGAAAACCCGGGTCACACCCTGAGCTTTCTTCTCGGGACTCCGTGCTCACAGGATTACCTGCGTTTATGGGGACCTCGTTTCCTTCTCTGGGCCGTAGAGATACACCAAACAAAGCAGTGGGTTAACATTAGCATATAAATATGATAAAATAGTGATTATGTGTTATGTTTATCTTACCATAGTTTTTAGTGTTTATGTGCGTGTTTCAGGAAATGAACAGTCTTACAGTCTCCTTTCTTCCCCCCACCTCTTCCCAGTTTAAGCAACAGTCATCTTTCCAGTGAGGTTCTCAAAGGAGTAGCCTGTGAGAGTTCTCCAAAGTCCCCAGAAGCGGCCGTAACGGCCTCTGAAAAGAGACAGCGCACGCCCTCGCATTGCAGGGAACGGAATGTGCAAGACCCCGTGCCAAAGGAATCTCCAAAGTCTTGGTTTTTTGACAGCCGATCGAAGTCTTTCCCATCCCCACATCCAGTTCGCTATTTTGATAACTCGGGTTTAGGCCTTTGTCCAGGTGGGTGAATATGTATGTAATGGTTACTTGGAAATCAGGGGTAGACCAACTGGAAGTTAGTGTGTGTCCCCAAAGGGCAGGTTTAGATGAGAAAAGAATTAGGCAAGCAAGTGACAGGGCACGGACTTCATTTGCTGTCTCTTTCTGAGTTTCTCCAAATCACGGCACTGAGGTCCAGGCACTTTCTACCGCAAGTGAGCGCTTTAGTCTGCCCCTTAAACCCTCAAGCTTTTCCCAAGGAGAGAGAAGCAACTCTCCCCGGACATAAAGACATTAGCTTCTAAACACAACTTCTACTGAAAAAGACTAGTTCTCATCAATTCAATGGGCCAGTATTCCCAATAGCATTATAGACTTGTATCATTTACTTATTCATTCATTCATTCAAAAACCAATTTTGTGATCAACTATGTGTCACATATTAGACCCCGATGGTACACTGATGAGCAAAAGCAGACATGGTGCCTGCCCTACCAGAGCTTACAGTCTAATCAGAAACACAGCTGATAATCAGGTGGTCAGAAAAAGGTAAAATTCTAGAATGCAAAAAAGCCTTTCAGGCTTACTGATGGGTTTTTATTACAGGAATATTAAGGGAACTGAGGTGTAAGAGATGAATGTGAATTAGCTTAGCAAAGAAGGGAGGGAGAAGCCTTCAGGCAGGTCGAACATGACAGCCCGAGCCAGGACAAGGTGGCACGGAACCCGGTGTGGCCGGAGCACGGTGACCACAGGCCTGCGTGGGGGAGTCAGGGAAGCCAGGGAGGAAAGAGCCAAGGGTCTGGGGCTTTGTAGACCATACAAAGGAATTCTTACTTATTCTTTCCTCTTCCTGACAGCATGTAGAGAGAGTCTTTGAAAGATATTTAAGCAACAGCAAGGGCACATAATGAGTTAAACATTTTGAAAACATTACCTTCTGTGTGAGGTAACCAACAAAATAGTAAGAGCAAGAGTTTGAAACAGTTGCCGAAACAAGAGGGACAGTAGGGTGGACTTGGGCAGGTGCAGCAGAGATGGAGAGAAGTAGCCAGGAGAGATTTGGGAGTGAAATCAGCAGTGCTGGGCATCTAACTGGACGAAGTGGGGCGGTGGGCAGTGTCAGCGGTCAGCCCAGCCCTGCAGGGTGCTGCACACAGGTGGGATCCTTGTGAGGGGGTTCTGTCATGTCCTGTGGCTGGCACTCTTTCCCACCAAGTGCTCCGGGTGTGCACGGTGGCGCTCTTGGTGACAGTGTCTGCCTGTCTGAAATGCCCTCATACACACGCAGCTGTAGATGTCTAAAGCAACAAAATTGTACACTAAGAAAGGCACCTTCCAAGTTGCTTAAAGCCCTGACCAAAGAAAGAAGACATTAGTCAGTTCTCATCAACGACACATTAGAATTTGATCAAGCCAGCAGTCTGAAAAGTGCTCTTGGAAGTATTGCAAAGCACAAAACCATTCAGAAACTTCTTTTAACCATCCCCTTCATGGAATACTATTTAACAAATATTTAAGGACCTTCGGTTAGCTAATATTGCTGTATACATACACACCATTTTAGAAGAGTTTTGAAAAACTGACAAACGTTTATAATCACCATTTTTATTTTAGTTGATAGTGCCTGAGGCACAGGCATAATATGAATTAATCCAACCACAAATAAAACTGTTTAAGTCTGTTTATCAATATGTGGATCTCCTGGTACTACTTTTCAGTGAAATGAACAGAAGAGTAGGCTGGAGGAATGCAGAAATCCATAAACTGACCAGTTCACAATTAAAGGACATACTCCCAACTTAATTAGTAGAATATCAGTCTAAAAAAACCTGTCTGTCTTTCATTTTAATTATAAGAGGGACTCTAAATTATCTCAAGAATTTAATTGGCAAGACCAGTTATGCTGGATTTACCGTTGACCCTTGAACGGTTGGGGGGGCAGGGGTGCTGACTGCCCTACACATGCAAAAATCCACGGGCAACTTTAGGCTCCCCCAGAAATTCAGCTGTCAAGAGCCACGTGTGGACTGGAAGCCTTACTGGTAACGTAAAGAGTCAATTAACCCATTTTATATGTATTATATACTGTATTCTTAAAGTAAGCTAGAGAAAAGCAAATGTTAAGATAATCATAAGGAAGAGAAAATAATTTATCATACTTACTGAAAAAAATTCACACGTAAGTGTTCCTGTGCAGTTCAAACCTGTTGTTCAGAGGTCACCTGTACTTTTATAAATATAATAATTCGAATATATATTGTTAAATAAATGCAGCTGAAGTCCTTTTAAAGGCTAAAAGTTTTCCAAAGATGTCTAAATATTCTCTAAAATGCGTAATATTTTAGCACACCATCTTTTTTCTAAAAATGGGACAAAAGCCAGACTCAATCCATGTTTGGTTTACTTTGTGTCTCAAGTTTATAAATTCAAATAAGACTTCATCACCTCTTGGTTTTATGTACAACGTAGTGCTTCACGCAGTTCATTTTCCGAGAACACAGGTGTGAACTTGCCCATCTCTGGTGATGCACCTTCTGAGTGTCCGGGCTGAGGCAGTCAGTGGTCACGTTGCCACATTTCATTTTTCATGTCTCTACTAGCTTAACACCCTGTGCACTTCCAGCTGCATTTGGTTTTTGTATATATTTTTAATAAGATTGCTTTTGTTTGTTTTTTCTCTCCGCAGAAGAGCCACCTGCTGGAGAAGAGAATGTGGTTCCTCGGTCAGGTTCTTGTCAGACCTTTCCAGAAAAAGACCTGCCCGAGTGCAAGATCCAGTAGGACCCTCCTCCGTCGCCCTCCTGAGGCCCAGCACTCCTTGGTCGTTACTTTGTGTGTCTAACCCTGGCAATTATGTTACAGTCCACTCAATTTCAATTCAGTTTTAATTTTGCCGCTAGAATTGGAAGGTGAAAGGACAGGAGATTAATGCATTCTCATCGTTTAGAATGGCGATAGCAGTGTTGTCTTGAACGTGGTAATACTTCAGAAGCTGAACTGTCATATTTATTTATATATTTTTTAAAGAATAAAGTTATTAAGGAAATTTCTAATCAAACTGTACCCATTTTTATTACTGTAAATTTATCAACATGTGACTTAAGAGAATTATAACTCCTTGTTTAGTACCTTAAACATTCAATAAATATTTCATTAGTACTGAATCACAACTCCTGTAATGTTTATTAATAGTCCTTCAGGGGGGTACCCAGGGTGGAGTTGGTTCTCTTGTTTGGTGACACATAAGAGTTTTGCTCTGAAAATACACATGTGCTTTCTGGGTTTAAGTTGTAGGATAACAAGTACCCTGACCTTTCATTTTCTAGTCTTAGTCTTCCTTTGCTGTAGTCACTACAGAAGCTCTTTTCTGTCCCGCCCCCCCACACACACACACACTGTACGACACTCAGAACTGGTTAGTTTGTTATTGAAACTTGTGCTCTGTGGTACTCCATGCTCAGCCAAAAGAACTTCATATATCATATAGTTTACCCTTTCATTGTAGACATGAGGAAACAGCACCAGAGTTTCTATCAAAGTTCACTGTTCTAACCCCGGGGCCCCACATGAATAAGGCGGCTACGAATGGGCCTCCTGCAGTCTACAACCCCTGGGAAAATTGTGTCGCCTTCTGTGTGGACTCGTTTTCCCGGGATACTCAGGTTCATATTTATCATATTCTCAAGGGGCCCTATAACTCTGTCAGAGGTCAAGAACTGTTTTTAGAGAGAATCTGACATTTTATATCACATGCCTGAAAAATCACATAAAACAGGAAGTTACAAAAAGTTCAGAACAGGGTTGGTCATTTCAAGGCATTCTTGGCTTTTTGATAAGACTCACTTAAGAAGAAATTATGAACGGCATCCCAGCTTTCATTTTCAGTCTGCGCACTGGATACTTGCCGTTAGCATCGTGTCAGGAATTCCCTAGGGCTAAGGAGCAACTGTCTCTTCCTAAAAGCCTCTCCCCCAGGAGGGCCTGTACCTCAGGGGTGTTTCTCCTTTCCACCCTTCCCCGAACGGGACGCGGTAACGGGGCTGCGGATCTGATTCTTCACCGTGTTCTCCCCTCTGCTGAACAACAGTAATGCAAAGTAGTAGGGAAGTACATCTGGGTACAAAAATTACCTTAAGGCCAGTAAAACTATAACCAGTCGTCAGGTACCCAGTCTAGTAGAAAGTCGCTTAACTCTTGAACGTGGACGTCCACCTCCTCCCTCAGAGGCCTGTTGTGCATGATTTGGTCCGCACGCTGGTGTCACCCAAGTGCCTCCGGCTCTTCACTTCTTTCCCTTTTTTCTTCTGTGGATAATTTCAAATGACCTGTCTTCAACTCTGTAGATTCTTCTGCTTGACCAAGTCTGCCCTGAGCCCTTCTAGTGTATTTTTTCTGTTTCCTCAGCTCCAGAATTTCTGTTTGGTTCTTTTTTGTAGTTTCTGTCTCTTAGTTGCTGCTCTGACTTTATGCTCTATTTGCCTGGTTTCACCGAGTTGTGTTCTCGTATCTGTCATTGAGCTTCTTTAAAACTTCGAATTCTTCGTCAGGCAATTCAGAGATCACCGTTTCTTTGGAGTTTGTTTCTGGAGATTTATTTTGTTCCTCTTATTGGGCCATGTTTCTCTGTTTCTTTGTGTGCCCCCTGAGCTTTGTTGAGTTTTATGCATTCAAAAAAGTTAGCTTCTCTTCCATGTCTGTGGACTGTTTTGTGGAGGGGGAGACCTGCACCATCAGCCTGGTTAGAGATTCTGGGGGGCGTCTGAAATTTGGGGGGAGAACGTGACTTGTCTGGGCTTGAGTGTGTAGTTTGCTGTTTAGAGAGTTTTTCCAGTTTCTTTTTCAGGGCCCCCTGCTCCCTCTGTTGTCCTAGCAGCACTGCTGGTTCTTTGGTGCTACGCAGGGAAGCCACCCCACGCTCCGATGTCCTCATTGGCCCTAGGAAGCACCCTGCTTCCCGTCAGCACCCCGAGTAAAGCAAGGCAGACACCAGTCCCACGGGCAGCCCTCCAAAAACCTGAAACACCAGAGACGCGGTTGTTCTCTCTCCCCACCGAGAATGACGCTCCGAGTTGAGCTCTTCCTTCTGACTGTGCCGAGCCACGCCAGCCGTGGCCTGGAGCACTGCAGACCCTCTGGCTGCCAGACTGCCAGTTCCAGCAGTGCTCCCAGTGAGGCAAGACCGAAACCAGTCACTTGGGCAGCCTCCCAAAATGTTGGACTTCGGGTGAACTTGCCCTTCCACTCCCCCTACTTCCCACAGTGGAGAAATCACAGGGCAGCGGCGTAGCTGTGCTAGTTCCGGGCAGGGGTGGTGGCAGGGACAGTGAGTCAGCCCTTGCTGTTTCCCTGTGGCCGTTCTCAGCTTTGCTCGTGCCTCGGGGACTGCAACTTGTAAGAAGTTGTAAGAAGTACCCGGTTCTGAAGTTCTCACAAAGGTCTTCTGAACCGGGTATTGTTAAGTTGGTGACTCTGTGGGGGAAAGAGCTGGAAATTCCCACGCCTCCATCCTGTTGCTCTCTCTCTCAGAACATTTAAGTCTTATGATCTGAATTTTAATATCGTGACATATGATTGTGAAGGAATGATGATGAAAATCAGCAATGGAAACCGGCAAAAATGTTGAGAACAATATGGTCAGACAACACTAAATGGCCCGAAAGCAAAGTCAGGCCCAGAAAAGACAAAGTATATTTATTCGTAGGAAACATTTTCTTGAGAGTCTGACAGAATTATATTCAGGAAACTTTTTTTAAGAGACTACCATTCATACTCAGCAAATATCAAGTGACCACCTACTACGTGCAGATCATTGGTGTAAGCACCAGAAGGCACTGCCTTTGTGGAAATCATACTGTGTTTGGAAAACAAACATGTACTTTTAATTTGAGCTGACAATATGTAACAGTGAAAAAGATAAGGACCCCAGCCTTGAAGAAATGTAGTCCACTGACAGTATAGATGGGTAAGAAATGTCTGCAGAACCTCATGGCCTAGGCTGGTGTAGACGAAACCTTATTGTTGAAGATCAGTGGATGAAAAGAGGCTGAGGGAAACTGCAGCAAAAAAGTATCAGACTTGGCCCACATTAGAAAACTGTCATACCCATGAAGTCTATTCTATTTACATAATGGAATACTACTCAGCCATAAAAAAAGATTTTACCCTTTGCAACAGCATGGATGGACCTGGAGAACATTATGCTAAGTGAAATAAGCCAGTCAGAGAAAGACAAATACCATATGATTTCACTCGGATGTGGAATCTAATGAACAGAGTGAACTAACAAGAAAGATGGGGACAGACTCATAGATGGAGAGCAGATGCCAGCCTGGGGGGGCATGTTAGAGGATGGAAGGATTGAGTAAAATGGAGTAAGGACTCATGGACATGGACAACAGTGTGCTGATTGCTGGAGAAATGGGAGTAAAAGGGGACTAAATGGTAATGAAAAAAATATAAAGATTAATTTTTTTTTAATTCTCAAAAGTCGGAAAGGAAAGCATTGTTAAAGCAAGGGGCACAGCTGAATATCACTACAGGTCATTACACCCAGCACTAGAAGCTAAAGTGTGGTAACGAGGCTCAGTTTTAGCAAAGACCGCATGTGGGCACATGCACGAACTAAGGTCAGGGTTTTAAAATTTTTAAAGGACAATTTTTGTGACCCATTATAACTGAATTTCTGATCATTATTAACATTTATGAACACATTGTGCTGATGGTCCCACGTGCTCAGTCCTTGCTCCTGGAGACGTCCTTGAGGTAGATGCTGTAGTTACCTTCATGTCACAGATGAGAAAACGGGTTTGGAAAGTTAAGTGACCTAACTATTGAGGGAAAAATACGGGACCCACCTTCATCCTTCCAACTCCACAGTGTTTGTTCTTAACCACTGCGACGGTTGTGAATACACTTAGCACTAAGGACAAAAAAACCTAAAGAAAAAAAGTACTCTGAAGTTCATTTTTCTCACATAAGAAGTCCAGGGGAGTTAGTCTAGGTCTCTTATCTTGGGGCTGTCTTCAAAGAACCAGGTCCCTTTTCTTGCTGCACTATCGTTAATGCGTGCCTCTGACCTCATGCCGAGTCTCATGGCTCTGTCCCAAGGCATTGTGTCTACCTTCTGGGAGGAAAAAAGGGGAAAGAGCAAAAGCCAAAAGCCTTTCAGAGAGGCCTCACATTTGCAAGAGAGAAGCCCTCCGAAATTCCAGATGACGTTTCGTTGGCAGCCAGCTCTGGCAGCTCAGGAGCCTAGGAATTCCGAGCTGTGCTCTCTGGCTTTTCTAAAGGGAAAGGCAGGGGAGGGTGTGTTGGCTGAGTGCTGAGCGAGCCTCCTTAAGCTCTACATATGCAAATAACCTGCACCTTCACCCTGACCAACTACATGCCCGATAAAATGGAAGTTATTAGGCCTAGCATAGAGGGGTCCCATGACCTGGTGCTTTCTTTTCAATCTGTTCTCTGCAGCCAACCTTGATTGTTCTCTTATCCAACATGTACTTACACCAAAGTTTCCCTACCCAGCCCCTCAGTGCAGTCAAGATGGCTGGCTGCCTTCTGCCACTAAACACGTATGAGTGTTAGAATAGACTGAGTGTGACAAAATAACCACAACTATACCTTCAACATGAGAGAATTTTTATTTCCCTCCCTCAAAACAATCTAGGTCAAAGGCCAGAAAGGAAGGTACCAATATCTTCAATGACCTGGGTTCCTTCTATTTTGTTGCTCTGCTATCTTCCATGGGCAATTTCTGGCTCATTCAATCTTCAGTACCCCCAGAACAGCACATAGTAGGTGCAAACAAATGACAAGGAGTAAGAGTGATTACAGTGAAGGAAATGATTTCCACGTTCTGAGTAAGCTATTAAATGCTTGTCCACTTTGCACCTTCTGTTGTGCTTGGACTTGACAATTCTACCAGAGCTCCACTAGATGGCAGCACTTACACAAATACAGTATATGAATGTGAGACTCCTCTTAAAAACTGAGGGAACCTGAACTACAATCCCAGCATGCACTGTTTAGCACCTGACTTTCTTCTGCACGAAGTTTTCAGGTTTGTTGCTGGCTGAGTGAGCAGGAGGACGCCATCCATTTGCTGCTCTAAAGTAAGAGTTCCTAAAGTATTTTAATGAAACTTTGGACTGGGAAACAGAAGGTTGAATTTTTACATGTTGCTTTGTTCTGCACATTATCTATTTCAGGATTAATTTTAGCAGTTAGATCTGGATAAGTGAGGGTGGGTTTTTAAAGAGTTTGAAACTCTGGTGTATTAGTAAGTTTTTCCAAATAGCCAAAAAAGAGGGAATTTTACAGTGTCTTATGTGAACTTTTTTCTTCCTGGTTCATCGAGACAGAGTTCCTGAAAATTCTGTTTGTGTCTCTGTGAGTCGGAAATTAACATTTCGACTGCAGTATTTACAGTAGGAAAGGCATCGTGTGTGGTTTCCACATTGGATATATTGAAAGTTGCCTCATTCTCCACCACAGGCCATGTTTGCACTTATTCTCCGAGATAAATGTTTCAGTTTGGCGGTGCAGTTTTACCTAACAGTAAGGCTTTGACTACAAAGTCTGGTCACAGAAAGACAGGGAGGGCAGCTAGGGAAAGGTTTAGACAGGGAGCAGAAGGGCTGCTTGTGCTTCAACAGGTTTTCCGTAAGTGCTTCTCAGGGTGTCAAGGGGAAACTTTGGTCGCCTTCACAGCGCCATGTGCCGTAAGTCTCTGATAACAATAGTGTGAACTAACAGCCCCCGTTTGTAGGAGGGTAAAGATGATTAGAATCTCTTACTTTCTAAAGTGTATATTGAATATATCTCTTAACTCTTTTCATCTTTAAAATGAAAATGTATCACCTGTGTAAGAAGGAAAAGCAACAGTGCAAAGTCATTGCATCAAAGGTCAGGCACCGTAACAGCTCAGCTTCTCCATTGTGTAACAAATGTGCACTCGACCAGAGAGCAGGCATGGGTTTTACCAGGGGAAATGGTGGTGTGCGGGAATCCGAGGAGGGAGCCAGGTACGGCCGGAAGAGCCGGCGCCAACGGGGTGGGGGCGAGATGCCAGGCTGTGTGGGAGCTTTTGCAGGAGCGTCGCCGAGGCCCGTGGGAGGAGACTTGTGTCTACTAGAAATGCGTCTGCCTTTGTGTTCATACCACTCTCAGGCACTGGCCCGCAGGAAGGTGGCTTCAGCACTGATGCGGCATGGGCTTGAGAGCGCAGGCGGCCTATTGGTCAGTCACCAGTACCCAGGTCCAGGAGGCTCAGGGCCCTGGCCCTGCATGGGGTCCACCGTGTGTGCAAGGTCCTGAGGAGAACAATCCGAACCAGGTTCCCTCGAACCTGCAGTCTAGCCTGGGTTTGAATTCATAGCTGGGAAACCCTGGGCAAAGCACATAATCTCTTTGAAGTTAGTGCATTGGTGAGACTGGTCTCATCACCCACCCCTTGTCCCTGCCCAGCTCTATCCTCCACAGTGATTTTTCTAGAGTGCATGTCTGATCCTATCACACTCTCCCATAAATCCTTCAGGGCCCATTGCCCACAGGAGCAGCTAGCTGCTCTTAGTGTAGAGGCTTAACTGGAAGCACCCATTGAGTACAGCAAAAAGTCAAGTAGGGCTGAAGAAAACAGAGATAAGGAATAGCCCTGACTGATGTGGCTCAGCGGATTGAGTGCTGGTCTGTGAACCAAAGGGTTTGATTCCCAGTCAGGACACATATCTGGGTTGTGGGCCAGGTCCCCAGTAGGGGGCACACAAAAGGCAACCACACATTGATGTTTCTCTCCCTCTCTTTCTCCTTCCCTTCCCCTCTCTCTAAAAATAAATAAATAAAATCTTTTTTTTAAAAAAGGAAGGAATAGATCATGTGAGCCCTCTACACAGACTAGCTAGCTACCTATACTTTCTCAAGCAGGTAGTTGTGCAGAGGGGTTGTTTAGGTTAGTTGTGCATGCACTGTTCAGGTCGGTTCACTCAACACCCACCTGACTCACCACCACCCGCCCCTTTTTTGCCTGGCCGCCTACCGTGATGCATTGGGACGAAGCAGCGCAGCCGTCCTGTGGCTCGGTCAGAGGCTCACATTAGAGACAGCAGAGTAAGAGAAGCCACCCGGTTCCCTGAAGACAGCATCATTTAATCACCAACTCTTTACCACCCCCAGGCTCATCACTAGCCATTCCTCACCATAAATCGACAAGCCAAGCACTGGCCAAATACCTCATGCGCATTCTCTTTCCCCTATGTCAGAATTTCTCAGTCTTCCCTTTTCAAAATGACTGACTATGTCCATTAAAGTGTCACTGCTGCAGGGTTAAACTTTAAAAGAGGACTGGCAGCCTCGTGGATGGAAGAAGAGCCAGGAGGCCAGAGTTTAGCTCCAGCCGAGCCGTCGACCTGCTCCGTGACTTTGAGTGGGCCCGGTCAGTTTCCTCCTCTGTAGAATCAGGGTATTGGTCACGATTTGGTTTTCCAGCTCCTCGGCTCCATGGTTCTCTGAGGCCAATCATGACATCTTTATAAGGCACAAGGAAAAAGCATAGACGACTGGTAGCCCAAACCCTGCCCATCCAGGGCAGTAGGAAGGGTGGTGGCTGTAGTGAAGGGAAGGACTCCACTCCTGCTGGATCAGCCGCAGAGTCCCTCTTCTTCAGGTTCTGAAGAAATGAAAGGTAGGTTCAAGTCCAATGTCGGCCTCAGTTACCACGTCAATGGATTCTACTAAATGTTTTTTATATGCAAATCTAGGTATTTAGAGTATCAGATGATGGGACTGTCTGTCCAGAGGTCCTGCCTTCGAGTTCTGAAAGGTGTATACATTGAACCATCTGGGTGTTACTGCTGGCACAGGACCGAGTGCTATTGTGCAAGCCATTAAATAAACCTGACTTTAGATTAAACCACAGGTTCCATGATGAGGCGACTCGACGGGAAAGTCATCATCGTCACAGCCGCTGCTCAGGGGATCGGCCGGGCAGCGGCCTTAGTAAGTCACCATCTCTTGTTTACTCGCCACCTGTTGAAGTGTTGAAGTGTGTGGACAGATTGCGTGGTTGGCTGATTCTGCTCTACTTTTTGTGTTTGTTTTTGTTTCATTGACTCTGGTGCTTCTGTTGTCTAAAGTTACAAAAAGAAAAAGTCACTCCTCCTGACCCCAGGCAGATGAAAGAATAAACGCCTCACGTGTTGGTTACGTGGCGCTGCAGATAGCCTTTGATTCTGAGAAACGGACTTTCTCCTCTCAGGTGGCGCCACGTGAACTCACTGAGGGGCCCGACAGAGGCGCACAGCTCTCTGAAATGAGGCCAGTTCAGATAAAGGACTTCGGGGCGAGGCCCGTGGAGTCACCTCCCCTCCCCTCCCCCACAATGACTTCTCACACGTCACACCCCACGCCCGAGCTAATACCGTGCACTGTGAGCATAATGGCAGGGGATAGTTTGTCACTTATGAAAATAGTAGTATACGAGGAAAAGTGTTAAAATGACCCATTTTCCTCTTATTATTTGGAACATGATAAGAAATGAAATATAGTCAGAACCTGCTCAGAAATGGAATACAGGCTAGCAAGTCACAGAACAGTATTTTGAGTGGTGTTAATACCAGAGCTGTAGTTTTATTAAAACACATCTATTTTACATTACTTAAGGGGATCAAGTTAGATGACAAACACAATATATTTCATGCTGTTCTAATTAATGATAAAAACAGCAATGGGAAGGTGAGGTGAGACTAGTTTGAAACTCCACATATTTTATTGTGGGGGGGTGAGTAGCAATGAAAATAGGATGAAGGGGGAAAGACTGAGTGACTCGCCATTCATGAGAGCAGTTTAACCAGTAAACAAAGCATTTATTTGTGTATTGTGTCTACCAGGCTTTTGCAGGAGAAGGTGCCAAAGTCATAGCCACAGATATCAACGAGTACAAACTGCAGGAACTGGAAAAGTACCCCGGTAAGCAACTCGGCCGCTCGAACTTGGGATTCCGAGTCCACAGGGCGTTACCCAGCAACACTGCTCAGGTTCGGAAAGAGAATCCCTTCGCTGCTCGGCTCCACGGGCCCCCTTTGTAGAGAAGACTCGGTGGCAACCAAATTCATATTCCCTGAACCTACCGACACAATCGGTGTAGTTAAAGGTGTACATGAAAGTCTAGGTCATGTTTCAATTACCCAACACGTTGAAGGATTCAGTACCTAATAAGAAAGTTGTATGTGGAAGTTTTACAGTTTTTTACTCTTTAAGACAGTATTCTGCTCCTGCACCCTCCCCTCCTAGGAGTGGCGCCGCCCCGTGGGCCGCACCTATTATTTTAGGTTTTCCGGGGCCTGCATTTAAAAAGGCAAATGAGACAGGTGAAAATTCATTTAAACAAATGTACTTTGTTAAACTCCGTTTACTCAGTAAGAGTTATTAATGGAATAGTTTACATTCTTTCTTTTCCTACTGCACCTTCGCCGTCCACGTGCATTTCACTCTGGCTAAGGGTTCCCACAGGGGAGACAGCTCTGCCCTAAGTCCCACGTCATGGTCGGAACCCAGGGAGATCACCCAAAGTATTCATGTGTTTGCCAGCCCTTCCTGCACCGCGCTGAGCCCAAATCCAACACCGAATCACTTCACTCGGAGTTACTCTGAAAGCAACCGAACAAAGCCCTCATTCCTCAGCGCCAGCACAAACAAGGCCATCGAACTGGTGCGCTGAGTTGGAGGGCGTTGTCACCGTTTCTCCAGCCCAAAGCAGAGCTGTTACACTGGGGAAGTGCAAAGGGGAGAGGAGTCTGCCCGACCCTCAATTGCAGGCTTCCCTGTCTTTGTTTATGCCTGTTTTTCCTTATATCCAAAAGAGAAAATAGACCATGTCGGTTTAAGAAAAAGACATAAAAATAACGGGTGCGGCTCTCGTTAGAGAACATCTGTCTTTTTCTAGTCACTAGTGCAGGGCACCTCTCCCAGCCTGCAGGCCGGATCTTTCAAGGCCTCCAGCGTTTCATCCCTCCGTCTGGCTTCATTTCCTCTCGCATTTTAGGCCAGAGAAGCGAGATGAGACCGTCAACCAACAAAGTCATGTCAATAAATAATGGGATTGTCATAAAAGTAAAACTCACACGTAGAAATCATCTCTTTTCCCACCACGCTGCCCTTGCACACACAGACAGCACTGAGAATTTCTGTACAAGCGACTCGACCCCTGCAGGAAAGAACGAGCTGAAAGAGCCCAAGTTCAGTTATTACTGCTTGCTTACCGAGGAGCATCTAGGGCAGATCATTTATATCTCCCCGGAAAGTCTTTGCTCAGACAAGACATTCATTAATCAATTCGGAGAATGGAGAGAGAGGAAGGAAGAGAAGTGTGTTACTGGGAAGTCCAGTGGAGAGGAATTTAAGATTTTGACTATTGAGATTCTTTAGACCCTGCTAATGATTAGCAGCCCCGTGTAGCCTAACTGGGCAGGTCCATGGTCCCCACACCCCCAAACAGCTAAGTCTCCAAGGCTAAATTTTTTTTTCTGGGTAAAACAGTGCCTTTTGTTTTATTTTTCAGGTATTCAAACACGGGCTCTTGATGTCACAAAGAAGAAACAAATCGATCAGTTTGCCAAAGAAGTCGAGAGACTTGATGTTCTCTTTAACGTTGCTGGGTAATTCAGAACCATTCGATTTCACTGTCCTCCAGAAAGTTTTCTGTGACTTTCATTAAAATAATTTTGATAATACGGCCAAATTATTCATCACAAACGACAATATACTCCTTGGGAAACATGGCTTGATTTGGGAACAGAATTTTTATTTCAAGCAGACAGCCAGAGAAGGGACTGACGCAGGTTCGGGGCCTGAAGGGAGTGAGGCCTGCTCAGGCAGCTGGTGCTGATGGAAAAGTGTTGATCTTCTTAAGGCTGGTGACAAGCTCACACCAATGGGCTTGTCACTGATGTCCCTCTAGGACTTATAAAATAAACTGAAAAACTGTTTTCCAGCAGAGTGTCTTTAAAACTAAGCATATTTATTATAAGCCAAGAACTCAGTTTATTGAAATGCAGATGTTCCCAGTTTTTGGCATAACATTCTACCGAGTCCCATATGCTGTCCTGAGCTCAGCATTTCCTATTAAGGACCACAGATCCCAGCATGCAGTTCCGTATCATTGCTTTGTACTCAGCAGGAACAGCACGGTTCCATTCAAGTTCCTAGGGTGGCACCAGACATGAATGACGAGACTGGAAGTGGAGCAGCTACCTGTGGATGCAGTGACTGCTAATACTGTGCCCTCTCGGGCATGACGGTAGGGAAGAGTTCCGCTGAGACTGACACAGAAGCTAAGCTGATACACTGTGAAACTCCACTCTTCTTGTGTAGTGTTATATTTGTACCCTGGGCTGCTGGAAAAATCCTAGAGCCTTCTAATATATATTTGTGTTTCTTCCTAACCATGCCTCAGAGCCAGGGGGGCCACAGGAGACCTCAATCTAGCCATAGTTTATCATGTATCACCATGTAGTTTATCATGTGTCACAAGGTATAGGAATTAAATCAAACTGATATTTTGTGATGACCTATTTTATAAACAACCTGCTCATCCCTCATATAAGAATGTATGCAGAGCCATGATGAAATCAGCTAGAAAAAATAGTTTTTGAGCATTTAATTAAATTTTCAGCTAAGTGAAGAGTATAGAAACAGACCCTGTGGTTCTTTCCGTCATTTGATTCAATTGGAAGTATAGTCACAACCAACGATATTGTATCATTAATTACATTATTTTGGTCCAGAGGACAGCGAAATTACTTAGGGTTCCAGTTTTTAGAAAGATTTCTGAAGGATTTTTTGTTAGGTTTATTCACAAAAAATCTTTTGTGTTGTTTTGCTCTGTTTACTCCATGTGTTAGAAGGGTACAGTAGCAATGTTAACTTTGCTGCCCCAGATGCGGTTTTCCTCGCAATCTTCGTTTCCCTCGACAATGTTAAGTCTGTGCCACCTGGTGGCGCTGTTGCTCCTGAAATAGGAGTCGGGACAGGCCTGTTTTGTTTTTGATGTTCCTTGTGCAGTTGGTATAGAGCTTCTCACGTTTGGTGACCCCAAATTCTCACCTTCTTCTTTTAAAAGAAGGATATTGTTTTTAAATAAATTTATTTAGCTTAGGTTATTGGGCTACTTACTAATGTATTAAGTGATACTTAACGTTTGAATTGTTAAAAATCTTGGTAAGGGAATGAGACAATGGTCTCGGTTAATACGTGATAATAAAAATGATGATGAAATTGACTAGAAATCTCTTTAAGTGATCGTTTCCCCATTGTTTGCTCACTGCTCCAGGTTTGTCCACCACGGAACCATCCTGGACTGCGAAGAGAGGGACTGGGACTTCTCGATGAACCTCAATGTCCGCAGCATGTACCTGATGATCAAGGCGTTTCTGCCCAAAGTAAGACCGTCTCCAGCAGGCTTAGCCCCGCTGGGTACTTAGGGGTCCTCGCTGCACATCTAGAGAGGGCCCCCACCACAGCTGACATAATGACTAACTTGTATTGAACGTTTATATCGAGGCATTTTAATATTAATTAACTCATTGATCCTTCCAGTTCATCCATTCAAGGAACAGTAAGCACGTTCTACACGCCGGCCTCCGTTCTAGGTGCGGAAGAGAACAGGACAAAGTCCCTCTATGAGGGAGGCCCCTTTTTGAGGGGTGAGACAGAATAGTATGTCATCAGACAAATATACATCAGGGGTGGTCATAAGTACTATGAAGAAACAGAAGTACTAGGATGTCAGTTGGCCCACCGGGTGTCTGAAGAGAGGGTTCCTGGAAGAGGGGCAGCCAGCAGGCGGAGGGCCAGCGCACTGGTGCGGCAGACACTACCTACCACGTCCCAGTGCGGAGAGTGAAGAGGGGCTGTGTGGCTTGGTCATAGAGTTTGTGCCCCTTCCTGAATTTCAGTGTCTAGGCATATACCCTCCAGGTGGGTGTATCCCACTGCTGCTCTGTCCCCTGAGATTTCTGCCAACGCTCCCGCTTAGCTAAGCTATTGAGGTACCAGAGGGGGAAGACATAGTGTGTGCTAAAGAGACGGTATTCCTCCTGAGTCAGCTACCCTTGAATTCTCCAGCCTTCACAACTCAGCAATATTTTTTTATTTTATTTTATCATCATTAAGTGCCTTTTGACAGAAAGCACCACACTAGCTGCTCTGGGAGAGGGAGGCATGAATTTCGAAAGAGCTTCTAAGCCCACAGTAGCAGGCGTCAGAGGCCCGGACACTGGACGGGATGGGCCGAGTGCGGAGCCTGGTCGGTTCAGGACTGTAAACTGAACCCTAGTGAAAGGCAGCAGAGCCATTCTCTTCCTCGCCGCGGGGCGAGATAACAGGCGTACTGAAGCTGCCCAACCCAGGGCCGGAGAGAGCTTCACAGTGACACTGAGGCTGATACTTTGCTCTGGTGATTCAGCCTGATGTCCAGAAGGATCCAGATGGCCCTGGCTGGTGTGGCTCAGTGGATTGAGCACCAGCCTGCAAAGCATAAGGTTGCTGGTTTGATTCCCACTCAGGGCACATGCCTGGGTTTCAGGCCAGGTCCCCAATAGGAGGCACGTGAGAGGCAACCACACATTGATGTTTCTCTCCATCTCTTTCTTCCTCCTAGATGAATGTCAAAAAGGAAATTAGAAAAATTGACTTAGTAACAAAGGAGTTTTTTAATCTACTTGTTTCGTGCCTAGACAGGATCTTTGGTTGAATCCACAGAATGTTGAAGTAGCACATTTAAAAATGTATATATCCATTGCCTGCTTTGCTCATTTAGAGTTCATGAGAATCCGCATTATTTGGAAGTTGAATGTGTTTTTGGAAGCCACATCCTTAGTGTTGGATATGGGGGAGAGGCAGAGGCTGTGGTCAGGGGGGAAGCTCGGGCACCATGGGGCTCATTTGTACAACCAGCCCAGGGTCTGGAAGGCTTGACAAATGTCAGTGAAGGGAGCAGGAGCAGGTGCAGTGACGCTGAAAGGCAAACATGTACGTAAGGGTTAACTTAAAATATCAAACACTAACTTGTACATTAATGACTGTCTACGATTTAAAGCATCTTAATAATCCATGAGCCAGTAACACTCATTTGTTTAAATAAAAATCCCACGAGACATTAATGATGGGGGTGGAGAATCAGGAGTCAGTGCCACTGGTTAGATGTAGCCCTGTCCTCAGAAGACCTTAGTTAGGTATGGCCTGACCTTTGCCCCTAACTCACCGTGTAAACTGGGAGACAGCACTTGCACCCTCTCAGCATCTTTTTTTTTTAATGAGGGTGCTAGACTAGGCAGCCCCTTCCAGACCTCATTGTCTAGGACCCTCTGTGTTTGGTAACCGTGGGGCACATGTGCCAGGTTGGAACTCTCCAGGGGAGGCCAGGATTGGAGCCTGGGCGGATCTGAAACATCAGATGGACAAAACATAGGCACTGTCGTGGGAAATGTTTGTTCATGGGTAGACAGACAGAAAACCACTCCAAAACTGGAAGACCAGTCGAAAGGCAGAGAACGAGCTGAAAACACTGTAAGAAGAGGTCATGCACAATCCAAGGTCCACTATGGAACGGAAGAGAAAATCTGTTATGGCAGTAATTTGGATATGTGGAACTTTTAACCCTTTGCTGTACCTTAGAAGGGCTCCCAGCGCGTAGAGGTGCTCAGAAGACATTTGTTTTTTGTTGTTGTTTGTTTGTTTGTTTGTTTTTCTTTTTTTAAATTTTATTTAGTTATTTTTCAAGTACAGTTTTTTGTCTATTTCTCCAATCCCAGCCCCCCCACCCCGTGCTCCTCACCTCCCTCCCATTTCCACCCCCCTTAGTCCTCATCCCTGTGTCCTTCCTGTTTGTTCCTCCAAATCCCTTCCCCCTTTTTCCCCCTTAAATTCTCTTCCCTCTCCCCTCTGGTCACTGTCCTCTTGTTCTCTATTTCAGTGTCTTTGTTTTTATTCTGCTTGCTTGTTAGTTTTGTTGTTTAGCTTCCTGTTAAAGGTGAGATCATATGGTATTTGTCTTTCAACACTTGGCCTATGTCACTCAGCATAATGCTTTCCAGTTCCATCCATGTTGTTGCAAAGGGTAGTAGCTCCTTCTTTCTCTCTGCTGCATAGAATTCCATTGTGTATATGTACCACAATTTTTGATCCATTCATTTACTGATGGGCACCTAGGTTGCTTCCAGCTCTTGGCTATTGTAAATTGTGCTGCTATGAACATTGTGGTGCATAGGTTCTTTGAAATTGATGTTTTAGGATTCTTAGGATATAATCCTAGCAGTGGAATTGCTGGGTCAAAAGGCAGGTCAATTTTTATTTTTCTGATAAAATTCCATACTGTTTTATGGACATTTGTTGAATAAATATGCAAATCTAGCTCGTCCATCCAGTTGGAGGTCAGGTGTGGAATCACTGAAGACCCAGAAGCCAACATCTGTCTACGTTAGGGGCTGAGCTCTGGTCAGTGGGAAGAGAAGGGCTGGGCCAGAGTGGGATGAAGCTAGAGGGAATCTTTAGAGATCTTTCTAGCCCCCGCCTGAGTTTCTGGGACATCTTCCTATGTATTGTGGCATCAGTATGTACCAGGCACTTCACGTTAGAGCTGCCCTTGCCAGAGAGGACTGTTGCACGCGTGGGGAGCCAGGAAGAGCATCCACACAGTGACGGCAGGTGCTGCGCTGGTTGAGAAGGCAGAATGGAAGGGGACAAGGGCCGAGGGCTCCAGAATCAGCAGAGAGACCTGGGTTGAAAGGATAGTGCAGGTGACAAGGGGCAGCACCACCATCTCCTAAAGTTTTACCCAAGTTACTGCATTTCAGAGGATTGGAGAGGGAACTTCATAGCCCATCTTTATATATTAAATTGGGCTGTGTGTTCTATATGTATTAAAAATGGGTTATATAAGAAATGACAGCTCAATAAAACTGGACAATAAAGTGAATAAAAATGAGCTATGCTATTTCCTAAATTTGATAATAATAATTTTAAGGCTTGGTTTTCAACACCCTTGTACTGTCCAGGTGTGTGTGCGTGTGGACCCCACTGCATTATTATAGTCTTCACTGCACAGACAGACAAGTTGGGCTGAACATTTTCTCCCTGCCATTTTTCTTGACTTCAGGCTCTCCGCGTGTCCCGTTAGTCCACCCAGCACAACGCCTTGGGGTTGCTTTAGAATCTGCTCTCAGGTACAGTTAGTACTAAGTGTCCACGTGGGAAGCATACCATAAGGAAACATGGTCTTGCAACCTCACCTTGGGTCCAGCCAGTCGTCCGCCTTCCCAAGCCGGCACCTCCTTGTCTGAAAGCTGCTGCAGAAACGCACGCATCCCAGCAGGAGTCGTTTTTGTTCTCTGGAGACTTCTTTTAGCAGCTTTTCTCCTGGTTCTCATGGTACAGAGCATACAGTTTTTTCTTCTGCTCTTTCATTGGTTCTTTCATTTCGCCCAACTTGAACTCTTCGCCACATTCCTGTCTCCCCCGGTTCCTCATGGTCATTGCCTCAGCCTCTGATTTAGTGAGGAGTTAGTGCCCATAAGGCAGGAATTCTCCCCCCATCTTGCTTCTCCCCCCAAAACATTCCTGGGTACCCGTGTCCTTGTCCATACATGTATTATCTTGAAAACATACATACATGTTATAATTAATAACATATAAAGGTCATTTGAAAGCTTTGTAACTCATAGCAGCTGTTTCATTACATGTTCCTTTAGGGTTGGGGCAGGACCCAGCAATCTACACTTTATCTTGGCTCACCGTGGTATTGACCACCTGCTGTGCACCCTGTCTGCAAGGACAGAACGGCCACAGACCCTCCTTTCAGGGGGTTCACACGCTGGCGGAGGTGTTCTGAGGGAGGTGTCCCTCGGGAACGCTTCTGTAGTTGGGGGAGGCCGCATGTAGCCGTTTACCAAGTCCTCCCCCTGCTCCCTCAGCCACCTCCTCCTCCGTTACCCAGACATGTCTGCGTTTCTGCTTTTATCACCCCCTTTCCTAAATCACTGCCTCAGCACCCAGGGGCCTCCTCCACAGGACACCAGAGCCATCTTTGCACCCCCAGATCTGAACATACCGCTCCTCCTCTGCCTTAAACCCTCCATTCTCACCACTGCATTGCCTTCCGGGTGAAGCCCAGATGCCTGCAGTTCGCCCTGGTGGCCCCTGAGGCCTCACCCCTCCCACACCCTGCCCTGCAGCCAGACCCATCCCCGCCTCCCAGTTCCTCCACAGAGCCCTTTAGGGTTCCCTCTCCTTCAAACACCCTTCTCTTTTATTTGTCTAACACTCTAGTTTTCAACAATCAACCCACATATTTCCTCCTGAAGAGCCAGTTCTGGGTGTCCCGCAGCCGGGATGGGTGGTCTCTTCCCACCACCACCCTCTTCTCTGTGAAGGTCTCTGCTGTCGCTGGAGGTGGGTTAGATCAGCCACTCCAATCAGACTGGCAGCTGCCTACAGGCAGACACCGTGTCCTTTACCTTCGTATCTCTCGGACCTAGCGCAACGCCCGACCACGGTAGGAATTCAACAAATCCTGTGTTGAATGGAAGTGAGAGTATTCCGACATCAGGAACACGCCGTAAGGATCACCATTCATTTGCCTTCCACTTAGCTCACAGTTCATTCTCGGTCTTGCCAACGCTCTTATGCCCAGGAAGGTGGTAATGCCCTGGGAACCGTTCCTGCCTGGGACGGCAGCGCAAGCCACCGGCTCCCAGCTCCCAGCTCCCGTTATGACTGCCTACGGCACTCGGTGTTCACAGCTAACGGGATGGTTCTGAGAGCCCTAAGTAAATGCAGATCTTTGAACGAGGTCGTATTTTTAGCCTGCAGAGTGGCATTCCTTAAAAATGGTTTTCTTTTGGCAGATGCTTGCTCAGAAATCTGGCAACATTATCAACATGTCGTCTGTGGCTTCCAGCATCAAAGGTAGGCCTGCTCCGGGGTGACGCGCACACCCACACGCCGCCCTCCGAGCTGAGGGAAGGAGCGCAGCCCAAATCATAAACCCAACGCCCAGCTCCGGCACCGCTTCTTAGAAACCGGTTTTGCGTTCCTAAATTACAGTCCTTTTGCCTGAGATGTCAGCCAGTCATAAAATGAAATAAAAGAATTTTTGCTTTGTCCTTTTATTTCTCCTAATGAATATGGAGATGAAAATCAAGAGCGGGAAGAAGGAATCAAGAGGGGGAAGGAAACATTTACCCATTCAATTAATCAGAAAAGGTTGTATTAACACTCACTAAGTGCCTCTGCTCCCGGAGAATTCCCAGTCCTAACGGGAGTGAGTGTCAGGCAAACACACGCTTCCCACAGTGTGACAGTCTCAGGACAGAGAGAGCTTTGGGCAAAGTGCCGTCACAGCGCCAGGAGGTATCTGCCTGCGGCCGTGGGGACTGCCTCACAGAGAACACTGGGTCTGGGCCCTACTTGGGGAAGAAACCCTGGCAGTGGTCACTGGGACACTTCTCTGTGCCCCCTTTCTAAAGGAGACTGTTTTTTTTTTTATTCCTTCAATTGTCAAACCCTCCCCCACCCCCAGGAATGGTGAACAGATGTGTGTACAGCACAACCAAGGCGGCCGTGATTGGCCTCACCAAGGCCGTGGCGGCAGACTTCATCCAGCAGGGAATCAGGTGCAACTGTGTGTGCCCAGGTGAGTTCCGCCCCGTGGGGCTGTGATCTTGTCCTTGCCGACATCTGGTTGCCACTGTGGGAGAGATCTACATAAGCTTGTTTACTCCATGTTTTATTGTGCCCTCTCATTGGGAAAAGTTCAAAAGAAAAGAGCACAGGCTTATTAAGATAATTGGGATAGAGAGGCTAAGTCATTAGGAATAAGCCACAGATGCAAAGGGGTTAACGTTACTTATGTGCATGAGGCAATTCCAAACCACAAGGTTAAGAGACAGCACCGGCCAGGTCTTGGTGTCTGGGATGACCTTTTCAGGGGGAAGAGGGAACATGGACGTACTGTTAGGATGGCGGGAAGAAAGTTAAGAGGAGCTTTTCAGAGGACAGGGAGCTGCTGAGTCCTGTAAATCACCTGGGGTGGCCCATAAATTAAAAGGAGGGATTAACACCTTCCTTGGTGCTATAAAAAGGGGGGGGGGTCAGCAAACAAGGGCCTGCAGGCCAAATCTGGCCACCACCTGTTTTGTGAATACAGTTCTGTGGGCACCCATCTGCACCCAGTCTGCTGTGTGTTGGCAGGGACCCCCACTCAGGCAGAGCTGAGTAGTTGTAACACACCAAATGTTTCTCAAAGCTACAAAGGTTTACCAAAAGGTATGCTGACCTCTCATATAGAGGAAAGAAGAAAAGCAAAACTCATTATCTGTAGTAAGGACATTCCATTTCTCTAAACGAAAGCATTCAATACATTATTTCTCGGGAATAACTTCTTCTCTTAGTCACTGTGGGCACGTCTATTAAGTAGATGTGGCCTTCCACCTGGCTCCACCCACCCCAAATGAATACAAGGTGCCTGTAAACAATTATTTACTTTGTCTCTGAAAAGAAATTAAACACTGCATATGCAGGATCAAAGTCTCTCTCAGTAGTTCACAGCTGGTACTCAGGAGTTGGGGAGGGATATAGTTTCACAGTTACCTGTGGTACCTTTCAAAACCTGAAGGGCATGCCAGCATTTGGGGAGGCAGTTGATGGAGAAAACTGTGTACCATGCGGACATACCTCAGGGGTGCCGAGGGTGCGTTCCGGACCACGGCAGTAAAGCAACTCTTAATCTTTTTGCTGGAGGAGGGTCTTGCAGTCCATTTGTAAAAGATTTAACAGGTGCGAGACACAATAAAGTGGAGCGCAATAAAACGAGGTATGCCTGTGATTTGGCCCGCCCCACAGGGGACCTGATGTCTCTGTCAAGGTCTCCCCTCAGGGTGAACACCACCAGATACCCTGCAAGCTATGGAATCTCCATGATTGAGGTGTCCTGCTTAGTTTTGTTTTGGGTTTTTTTTTTTTTGACTAGAGAGGTAAACATAGGTAACACTAACAAAAAACAGGGACACACAGGAGACAGTTTCACTGGGTTTTACATACTGCTGGTATGTGGAGTCCAGCTATTTTTGGTGCTATTTACCAAATGGAATAAATGGCAAAATGATTTGGAAAAATAGGGGAGTTTTAGCAGCTGGACTTTCCAGGAGCTTGGAAAATAGGTTTCAAACTCTCTGGAACAAGGAACCAGCGTGACTCACTGAGCCAGTCACAGAAGAAAACCTGACTGGGAACGGTCATGTCTGGGATGGCACTGGAGGTGGTGCAGTCACAACTCTCCAACACCAGGCTCGTGCAGACTGTGGCACAGCGTGTCTGTCGGTCTGTGCCATGGACACAGCAAATAGAATTAAATAGGTTTCAGGCATGCGGTGCTATGACATGTCATCTGCAGATTGTATGGTGTGTTCACCACCCCAAGTCAAGCCTCCTTCCCTCCACCCTGTATCCCCCCTACACCCTCCTCCAGCTCCCACCACCCTCCTTCCTCTCTGGTAACCACTAGGTTGTTGTCTGTGTCTATGAATTGCTGTTTGTTTGTTTGTGCTTAATCCTTTAAGTGAAGGACGCAGGTGCCTTGAGCACAGCTGGGAGAATGTACTTTAAGGAGGCTATTGATGAGAGAAGTGAGGAAATACTATTGAAAACTGATACAAGGGGACCTTTGTTACGCGGTTTCAGAAAGTTTTTTAACTATTCCCTGCAGTAACATGGAAGGTAGAAAACACTCCAATGAACTGGGTTATCCAGCTAAGGCAGTTTCCACCCAGCGTATTCAAAAGTGCTGCCCGCTTATAGTAAAATGTGAGGAGACAGAGAAACTAAAATAGGGGCTGTTAACCAAAAACAGCCAGGATTTGCTGATTTTGAAGATTCCCAGCCTCTCCAGAGAAATGGCAAATGATGGTAAAACTAAGAAGTGGTTCCCAAGGAAGCATCACATCTGTGGCATTCTCGGGAGCATGGTCTAAAGCTGAAGCTGAAGATATGACTGGAAAATCATTTATTACGATCTTAGAAAGATCATGTGACCCCTGGAGTACCATCACAGGGAAAAAACAGCCCTCTACGGAGAGTTTACAGACACATAAGTAAACAAAAAAGTCTGAGAAACTTGCTCTGTAGGAACCTGAACTGAGTGGAATTTAAGACTTTTTAGTGTCATTCATTTTTTTAAGTGAAACAATTTCAAATTATATTTTTGATGAGAAACATGAGACAGGGATAAAAATAGAAATCTGAAACCAATGAAAATAGGCGAGATGAGGAGGGAAATTTAGAACACCTGAGTCCCTCAGGACAGTCATGGAGCTGTCCCTCCGGATCTCCGGAGCAAACCCGACAACAAGAACGGCTCCGAGGGAGCCGAGGCGGTCTGGGTCCTCGCACTGGCGAAGGGCTTCTACGATTGTGGCTGCATCTCAGGGTGATTGTGAGGATGGATTGGGATAATACATGCAAACGTGCTTAAAATCCATAAAGTATCATGTTAATGTAATGTGACTGAAATACAGGGTCCAGCCCAAATAATGCCCTTTTTTATTACAAAACCATAAGCATGTAATTCTGTAACATAACAATATCACACGGAAGCACAACATGTGACATTTTAGGTGAAATGTTCAAATTCACACTGTAAATTATTGCACCCATTTTATTACCCTACCAACTACACTCAAACAGACATTACTTCTGCTGGACCTTGTATATACTCGTATATATTGGGAATGCTGGGCTATTCACCCAGAGTATTTGCCTAGCATCACAAAGAACTATAGTCTGCATTTTAAAAGTCATATAATGTTATTAAAGAGGTTCTAAGCCTATTAAATAAAAAGGTAGGCAGGCGGAAGAAGTCATGGAGAAGGATTTCACTGATTGTCATATCACATGGAAAAGAAGTTTAATTGTCGATTTCTTTTTTCAGTTAAAGTAAGTAACGAAGCTGAATGTCTCCCTTTGATTTAGGAACAGTTGATACCCCATCTCTACAAGAAAGAATACAAGCCAGGCCAAATCCTGAAGCGGTAGGTATATCTATTCTTTTAAATGTGTTTGTCTTCTGGTGAGAAAACGCCCTCTTCCTCACCTGAAGTAGACAAATTCAGAGTCAGAAAGTGGAATGGTGGGTGCCATTCCCACCATTGGGAATGGTGGGCTGGTGGGTGGGACTGGGGAGTTGCTGTTCACTGGGTTTGGCAAGATGAACAGAGATCTGGAGACTGGTGTCACAACAGGGTACTGTACTTAACACCACCGAACTGTACATTTAAAAATGGTTAAGATGAGCCCTGGCCAGGTGGCTCGGGTGTTTAGAGCATCATTCTGTACACCAAAAGTTTGCATGTTTGATCCCTGGTCAGTGCACATACCTAGGCTGCAGGTTTGGTCCCCAGTCAGGGAGCATAAGGAAGACGACTGATCAATGTCTCTCTCCCTCCCTGTTTCTCCCTTTAAAAGCAATGAACATATCCTCGGGTGAGGTTCTTTTTTATGTTTAAAAGTGGTTGAGATGCAACACACCAAGGCCACATAGCTAACGCATAACAGAACCAGGATATCCTTGGGCCATTCAACTCCAGAGTTATACTACTTCTTCTGCACTATGGCAATTTTGCCAATAATCACAAGCATGAACTGAATAACTCCTATATGCAGTGCTGTTGAGAATAATAGTTCAGGATATGAAGCTTGGAAGCCAAACGTTGTAGAGGAGGATGCTTAGAGACAGACACTAAGGAGATTTGTAGGCTGAAGGGAAGGTCCCTGGGCCCTGGGCCAAAGAGCAAGGCTGCTGCAGGAGCTTTGGAGGAGGGCCAGGGCAGGGATTGCAACTTAGCAGCTCCCTCCCTTCTCAGAGTGGGGAAGTCACAGACAGGAGCCAGCAGAGAGACCTGGATGCTTAAAGTCACTGGGGGGATAAAGACGCAGTAAGAGACACACAGCCAGCAGTGTACCCCAGCTGGGACAGTGGGCACTGGCCAGGACAGTGCCAGAGAAATTGGGGAGCCAGGTGACACCTGGAGATTGGAGAAGAGATGGGCTTCGACTGGCTGTGACCCAGATAATCCGTGCATTGGTAAGAGAGTTGGTCTGTGTGGGGAAAAAAAAAAGCCAGGTGCTTGTTAGGAATGGCCATCCGCAACCAAGGGGAATTCACTCAAAAGAGGTTCTCAGCCACTGTGCTAGGAACTCTCGTGCTCAGCGCCAGCCCAGGGAAGAGGGAGGAGTGGGATGTGATTTGCTCCCACTCAGGACACCACACAGATTTGATCAAAGGGGAGCAGCAGGGCCTCAGAGAGGTAGCAGAGCCCAGAGAGTCTTAATTCAACAGGAGAACTGAACTGAGCCGAAGGAACTTAGTGTGCACAGTGCATAGCGCCTAGGCTAACAAAGAGGGAGGGAAAGGAGTGCAGTTTGCTCCCACTCGGCACCTCACGCACTAATCAAAGGGTTGCACAACGAGGTGTGTTAGAGGCGCTGGCCTGGTGCATATGTGCCGAGTGGACAGTATGGGCCGCACAGCGCTCTGAGGGTGTGGGCTGGAAACTGGGCACCTGCGATTATTGTGGACCAGACTCAGCCCCTGTCCTGGGGGAACCAAAGGAAAGGAAAAAAATGGAGCCCAGCTCCCTCTGCCTGTAGCATCGGGAAGACCGGCAAAACCCGCCTAGCAGGTTGAAAGTCAGCAGGAGAATATTTTGTTTTTCCAAGTGTAAGACAAAAAGACCTGGAGCTGGGAGAAGAACAAAGACAGATTCAGAAAGAAATCAGAAGGCGAACACCAACAGCTGAGACAAATTTCACTTTACTCTCTTTCAGAACTTGCATTTTATTTTTATTTTTATTTTGCATTGTATCTTATTTTTATCTTGTATTTTCCATTTAATTAGTTTTTTTGGTTTTCTTTGTTTGATTTCATTGTTTGATTGGTTTTCTTTATTCTCCCTCTCATATTGCATTTTAATTTTTCTTCTTTCACTTTAATCATATTCCAGTAACACACTACTCTTGGCCTTTTACTTTTTATTCTTCTTATTCACATTATATATTTCTTATCATATTATTGTTATTCCAAATCCCACACAGCACCTTTCCCTGGTCTTTATCCATTTCACTGTCTTCCTGGGCTTGATTACAGTTGTGGTTAACTCTATTCTCTCACACACTAGGCCAAGTTTCCATCCCTTACTCTCACTGTATTTCACCATCTAACCTCACATAAGCGCTCTGCTTTCTAAAGTCAGCTCACATTCCTTTTTCCTTCTAATAAGAGTCTTGTGTATTTTTCACCTTTTATAAAAAGTGGCTAGTTGGGTGCAATATCACAGTTATTGCTATACTTCTCCAAAGGACCTCCTATTGGTTCTCTGCTTGTTAGTACTTTAAATCCCATAGAATGCCCTCCCACTGTCTTACTCCATTTAGCCCTCACCCTGCCCCGCACCACTTGAGTAAGAAATTTTATCTCATTATTTTCTCTCTCCCCCCTTTTCCTCTCTCTTCTTCCCCCCTCCCTCAACCTGGGCTTTACTCCTCATTCTTATTGGCTCGCTGCCCCTATCCTCTCAAATCGTTTTTCTTTATTGTAGACTTCTCACATTCACTTTTCACTCTCTCCAATATTCTTATTCCCATTCCACCTTTATTAATTTCATTCCACTGGTGTTGCTATGGACCCTGCTGTAGGTTTCCTGCAATTTTGCTTCTGTCAGTCCAGCACCTTTTCAATTTTCCTTCAAAACTCATAGTGTGCACTTCCCTCTTCTTACCCCATTGTTCCCATCACCCTTTTGTGTTTTACTTATGTTGTACATTTTGCTCTCTCCCTTACTTCACCTCAGTGCCAGCCCAACTCTTATCAATTCTCCTCTCTCTTACCACACAACATTTTCTTCTCTTCTAGTCATCTTATATTTCTTTTGTCATACCATATAATATTTGCAATCCCTCTTCACATTTATTAACATTAGTTCTATTGCAGTAGAGACTGCTGATGTGGTAGAGGGGTTTTTTTTTTTTTGAGGGGAGTTGTTTTGTTTTGTTTTGTTTTGCTGGCATAGGTTTGGTGGTCTGGTAATATTGCTCTGTTAACCAAAACCTGTACAACACCATACAAGACAAGGTGGGAGTTGTGAACACCAGTCAATCTGCTGGAAGGGACAACCCACCAACAGGAACAGCCCAAGTTTAACAAGAGAGCCCACACAAACAAGAAAGGGGAACTGTAGAGCATCCAGACAAGGAGATCAAAGAGACCACATCACTGAGTCCCACATAAACCCTACCACAAAAGTTTAGCCAACAAAGCCAGTAGGCAAAGCAGGCCATGTGGAATCTCAGAAACAAACAAAAAGGGTCACCTAAAATGGGGAGGCAAAGAAAGAACCTCCAGTCAAAAGGAATGGAAGACCACTCAGTAAAAGAGCTAAATGAAGTTGAAGAAGAAAACTATCAGATATAGAATTCAAAAGAATGGTTATAAGGTTGCTCCAGGAACTCAAAGACCGCTACAAGGAATTGAGTGGGAACTACAACAGTATGAAAAAGGAAATAGAAAGTATAAACAAGAACACAGAAGAAATGGAGAATAAAATATCTGAAATACACTACAAGGAATTACAAGGAGGCTGGATGAAGAAGAGGAACGAATTAGTGAGCTGGAAGACAAAGTAGATAGAAATACCCAGGTACAGCAACTGCACAAAGAAAGACTCAAAAAATTTGAAGATAGCTGAAGGGAACTTCAGGGCGACATGAAATGCAACAACATTTGGATCATAAGAATACCAGAAGGAGAAGAAAAGGAGCAAGGGATAGAAAACTTGTATGAAAAAAATAACAGCAAAAAACTTCCTGAACCTGAAGAGGAGAAGAGCCACAGAAATTCAGGAAGCACAGAGGGTCCCAATTAAGATGAACCCAAAGAGGCCCACTCCAAGACACATCATAATTAAAATGCCAAGTTTTAGGACAAAGAGAGAATATTAAAGGCAGCGAGGGAGAAACAGGAGATAAAATACAAAGGAGCCCCAATAAGGCTAGCAGCTGACTTCTCAATGGAAATGCTCCAAGCCAGAAGGGAATGCCATGAAGTATTCCAAGTAATGAAAACCAAAGTCCTGCAACCGAGATTACTGTACCCAGCAAGGCTCCCAATTACAATGGAAGGCCAAATAAGGAGCTTCCCAGACAAAAGAAGGCTGAAAGGACACACCTCCATGAAACTGGCACTGCAAGATATGTTAAAGGGATGCTTTAAGAACACGAAATAAAAGTGTGAGAGAGAGGAACACAGGCATCAAGGGAGAAAAATGAATAAGTACCTCTCAATAATAAGCTTAAATGTTAATGGATTAAATGCTCCAATCCAAAGACGTTCAGGGCAGCTGAATGGATAAGAAAACATGACCCACACATATGCTGCCTATAAGAGACCCACCTCGGAACAAAAGACCCACACAGACTGAAAATGAAGAGTTAGAAAAAAATATTCCAAGCAGATGGACAGGAAAGAAAAAGCTGGTGTAGCAATACCTGTATCAAACAAAATAGATTTCAAAACAAAGGCCATAAAAAGAGACACAGAAGGATACTTCATAATACTCAAGGGAAGAATTTGTAAAGAATACACAAAGATTATAAGCATATATGTACCCAATGTAGGGGCACCCATATATATAAGAAAAATCTTGGAAGACTTCAAGAAAGATATAGACAGCCACACAGTTCTACTAGGGGAGTTTAATGCCCCAACTGTCAATAATGGACAGATCTTCCAAACAAAATATTAACAAGGATGTTCTGGCATTAAACAATGCCCAAGATCAAATGGACTTAACTGATATACAGAGGGCCTTTAATCCCAAAGAAGCAAAATACACATTCTTTTCAAATGCACAGGAAACACTTGCAAAGATAGACCACATGGTAGAACACCAAAAAAGGCCTCAACAAATTCAAGAAAACTGAAATCATATCAAGCAATTTCTTGGACCACAAGGGCCTGAAACTAGAAACCAACCTCAAGGAAAAAAACTCAAAAACACTCAAATTTATAGAGATTGATTAGCATGCTATTAAACAATGAATGGGTTAATAATGAGATCAAGGAAGAAATACAAAAGTTTCTGGAAACAAATGAAAATGAACACACAAAAGTCCAAAACTTATGGGACACAGCGAAGGCAATCCTGAGAGGGAAGTTCATAGTGACACAGTCCTACCTTAAAAAGACAGAAACATTTCAAACAACAACCTAGCCCTACACCTACAAGAACTGGAGGAACAACAAAGACAGCTCAGAGCAATTAGAAGGAAGGAAATAACCAAGATCAGAGCAGAATTAAATGACATAGAGACTAAAAAACAATTCAAAGGATCAGTAAATTCAGGAGCTGTTTTGAAAAGATAAACAAAATCGACAAGCCTTTAAGCAGGCTCATCAAGAAAAAAGGAGAGAGGACCCAAATAAACACAATCAGAAATGAAAAGAGAGAGATTACAACTGATCCCACAGAAATACAAAGGATTGTAAGAAATTACTACAAAGAACTATATGCCAAGAAGTTTGAAAACCTGGGTAAAATGGATAAATTTCTAGAAACACGTAATCTTCCAAAACTGAATCAAGAAGAAGCAGTAAGCCTGACCAGACCAATAACAGGCTGTGAAATCAAAGCAGTAATCAAAAAACTCCCAGCACAGAAAAACCCTGGGCTGCATGGTTTCACAGGAGAATTTTATAAAACATTTAAGGAAGAGCTAATCCCTACCTCCACAAACTATTCCAAAAAATCCAAGAAGGAAGACTCCCAAATTCTTTTTATGGGGCCAGCATCAACATCATCCCCAAACCAGATAAAGACGTAACAAAGAAAGAAAACTACAGGCCAATATTGCTGCCAAATATAGATGCTAAAATACTCAACAAAGTATTGGCAAACCACATCCAGCAATACATCAAATACATCATACACCATGATCAAGTGGGATTCATCTAATGGATGTGAGGATGGTACAATACTCCCAAATCAATAAGTGTAATACATCACATAAACAAAAGGAAATGTAAAAATCACATGACCATATCAATATATGCAGAAAATGCATTTGATAAGGTACAGCACCCATTTATGATAAAAATATTTGGCAATGTAGGAGTAGAGGGGGCATAGGTCAACATAGTAAAGGCCACATACAAGAAACCTGCAGCCTACCTCATATTCAACAGGCAAAAACTAAAAGCTTTCCCACTAAGATCAGGAACAAGACAAGTATATCTGCCTTTACCATTTCTATTAAACATAGTATTGAAAGTCCTAACCACACAGAGCAGACAAGAAAAAGAAATAAAAGGCATCCAAATTGGAAAGGAGGAAGTAAAACTGTTATTGTTTGCAGATGACAGATATTGGACATAGAAAACCCTATAGATTCCACAAAAAAAACTACTCAACCTAATAAGTGAATTTGGCAAAACAGTGGGTTACAAAGTCAATGTTCAGAAATCAAAGGCATTTTTGTATGCTAACAATGAAATATCAGAAACAAAAATCAGGAAAAAATTTCATTTCATATAGCAACAAGAAAAATAAAGTACCTAGGAATAAATCTAACTAAGGAGGTAAAAGACCTGTACACAGAAAACTATACAACAATGAAGAAAGAAATTAAGGAAAACACAAATAAATAGAAGCACATACGATGTTCATGGATTGGAAGAATTAACATCATCAAAATGTCCATTTTACCCAAAGCAATTTATAGATTCAATACAATTCCTATTAAAATGACGTATTTCACAGATATAGAACAAACATTTCAAAAATTTATATGGAACCGTAAATGACCCCAAATAGCCACAGCAATTTTGAGAAAGAACAAAGTAGGAGGGATCACAATAACTGATTTCCAACTATATTACAAGGCCACTGTAATAAAAACTGCCTGTTACTGGCATAAGAACAGACAGACAGATCAATGGAACAGAACAGAGAGACCATAAATAAACCCAACTCTGAGGTCAATTAATATTAGTCAAAGAAGGCAGAAGCCTAAAAGGGAGTAATAATAGCCTCTTCTACAAATGGTGTTGGGAAATCTGGACAGCTACATGCACAAATACGAAACTCGACAACCAACTTACACTATACACAAAAATAAACTCAAGGTGGATAAAAGACTTAAACATAGGTCACAACACCAGAAAAGTCCTAGAGGAGAACATAGGGAGGAAAATCTCAGATATTTCATGCAGCAATATTTTCACTGTTATGTCCCCTAGAGTAAGGGGCATAAAGGAAAGAATAAACAAATGGGGCTTCATCAAAATAAAAAGCTTCAGCGCTGCTAAAGAGAACATCAGCACAATGAAAAGGGAACCAACCGTATGAGAAAATATATTTGCCAATGATACCTTGGAAAAGGGTTTGATGTAATATGTAAAGAACTCACATGACTCCACTCCAGGAAGGCAAACAATCCAGTTAAAAAATGAGCAAAGAACCAGAACAGACACTTCTCCAAGGAGGACATACAGAGGGACCAGAGACATATTAAAGGATGCTCAGCATCACTAGCCATCAGCAAGATGCAAATAAAAATCACAATGAACCCCAGCCGGTGTAGCTCAGTGGACCGGGCACGGGCCTGTGAAGCAAAGGGTCACCAGTTCAATTCCCAGTCAGGGCACATGCCTGGGTTGCAGGCCAGTTCCCCAGTAGGGGACACATGAGAGGCAACCACATATTGATGTTTCTCTCCCACTTTTTCTCCTTCCCTTCCCCTCTCTCTAAAAATAAATAAAATATTTTTTAAAATAATAAAATAAAACCACAGTGAGATGCCACTTTATGCCAGTGAAAATGGCCATCATAAACAAGTTAACAAACAAGTGCTGATGAGGTTGTGGAAAAAAGGGAATTCTAGTACACCATTGGTGGGAATGCAGACTGGTGCAGCCACTGTGGAAAAAAGTATGGAATTTCCTCAGAAAACTAAATATAGAACTGGCTTTTGAACCAGCAATTCCACTGCCAGGGTTATACCCTAAGAACCCTGAAACACCAATCCAAAAGAACCTATGTACCCCAATGTTCATAATTTATAATAGCCAAGTGTTGGAAGCAACCTAAGGGCCCATCAGTAAATGAGTGGATCAAAAAACAGTCCCCACTGGTGTGGTTCCATGGATTGAGTGCTGGCCTGGGAGCCAAAGGATCACTGATTTCATTCCCAGTCAGGGTACATGCCTGGGTTGCAGGCCAGGTCCCCAGTTGGGGGTGCATGACAGGCAACCATACACTGATGTTTCTTTCCCCCTTTTCCCATCTTTTCCCTCTCTCTAAAAATAAATAAATAAATAAAATATTTAAAAAAGCTATAGTACATTTACACAATGGAATACTACACAGCAGAAAGAAAGAAGGAGCTGCTACCCCTCATGACAGCATGGATGGAATTGTCAAGAGCATTATGCTAAATGAAATGACAAGTAGTGAAAGACAAATACCATATGATCTCACCTAAAGTGGAATTTAATCAACAAAACAAACAAGCAAGCAAAATATAACCAGAGACATTGAAGTAAAAGACAAACTGACAGTAACCAGAGGCAGGCAGGGATAATGGGGGAAAATAGGGGAAGAGTCACCAAGGAACATGTATAAAGGACCTATGGACAAAGTCAAAGGAGGTAGGATTGAGGGTAGGAGGTGAGGGTGGGTGGGGTGTTAGGAAGGAGTAGGAGGAAAGGGAGACAACTGTCCTTGAACAAAAATAAATAAATAAATAAATAAATAAATAAATAAATAAATAAATAAATAAACTAAAAATGGTTGAGTTGGTAAATTTCACATTAGGTGTATTTTACTACAACTTTTAAAAAGCCTTCTTCTTTAATATCACCTTTCTGATGTTTCACGATGTCTGTAGTTCACAGTATAACAAAATAGTTTGAGTGGATGGGCAGTGACTGTAGCCCTGCTTGCTCTGCTTACTCCACAATTAATGATGGTAATGATATTCTCACATATTTTGTATCGTGCATGATTATGGCTCCAAGGTAGCGATAGCTCTGTAGACTCACTGCCTTTTACCCTCAGAAGGAATTGCAGGTGAGTGCATACTTCAGCTCAGGTCACTGATGTCTGGTATGGTTTCTGGTCACAGGCACTGAGTGATTTTCTGAAGAGACAGAAGATTGGAAGATTTGCAACTGCAGAAGAAATAGCCCTGCTTTGTGTGTATTTGGCTTCTGATGAAGTAAGCATTCCTCCTCCCAAGGAGTTCATTATCTTAATCATATATAGCCACTATTTGCTTATCAAAAATGTCGCCTTAGGCAGTTATGGCATATATACATGCTAAGATGCTGCAGTTACTAGATAGAGATCCGTTCTGATTTAATTTGCTCAAAGAAGGCTACTTTGATCTAGCTGCCAACTTTTCCTCATTCAACTTTGCATGTCACTAAATCTTATAACAAATGAAATAGAGGAGTGAAAAAAGTGCTCAATTTTATAAAAGATAATTGCTTTCAAAAAATTGCAATTTAAGTAACCCTGGTTCAGGGTAAGTCAAACAAATGAGCCTCCAAAATTATGAGAGTTTCAGGCGAAATGGAAAGAGTTAACCAGATTTAATTGTGTGTAGGTGTAGGAAACACAAAATTGGCAGTTAGTGTTTTTCATTCTCCTGGTCCCTTGTTTAAAAGACTCCCACTGGCTCTTTTTTTTCTATGAACTCTTCCTTGCGTGTCATTGTGTATGGTATATTCCGAATTCTGTCTCTTTCCACTTTGCAACTATTTAGGAACTGGTTTCTTCTTTAACAGCAATTGTGTGTTTTAAAATGGTAAACTAATGCAAAAGCAGAAACTATATTTATAAGGCATAGAGCACAAGAACATCCCGCTTTGTTTTGTCTTTGAATGTTACATGATGGGGGGAAGTACAATGTATGCAAAGAGACAGGAAAGGGAAGTAGGTAGGCAGGAAGTGAGGAGGTGTTAGTAATTAACTAGTTCCTCTTTACAGGAACTTGGTGCACACCAGGTGGTTGGTGAATGTGACAAATACAGGGTTTAAAATGTTTTAATGACAAAGCAGTGACTACTTCAGAGAACTATTAACAACAGTTGTTAATAGCAGGGGAACTTGTTAGACAAATTATTAATTAAGCAAGTATGTTGGCCTTCGTGATTTCTCTGAATGCATATCTTCAGAAGAGCTCATTTAATTTTAGGATACAGCTGATTAGTTAAATTGCTGTTGTTCATCCACAGCTTAGGTTGCCAAATATTTGGAAATGTTTGGCTTGAAATGTGCAACAAAAGAACCTTTGGGATTTTAAAGGGGCCCAGAGGAGTCTATAAGTGTAACAGACAGCTTGCCTTGTAAAAACACTTGGGAGAGTTGAGGTCATTTTTTGGTCAAGTGATTAGTAAAGCCATACTTCATCTACATTATACAATTGGTTTTCAAAGAATAAACTTAAAATTTCTGTGTTTATATTATGATGCCTTTCCTTGCTCCCTCTTCCACTGTCTCAGGCTTTAGATAAATTTAAAATTAGAAACACAAATTTGACTTTTTACTATCCATGTTTAAGTGAAAAGAGACTTTTAAACTTGTACTACAAGGAATCATTTTAGCTTTAATTCCTTGGACAATGAAAAAATTCTGTGAAAAAAACAGTTATTTGTTTTAACTCCTTTAGTTTAGCACAGATTTGTATCTAAAACAAGTATAAATTTTTCATAGTTTAATAGATTATAATGATTATTTTCATGCAAATTTAAAATTAAAGTTTTATCCTCACCCCAGGACATTTTTCCATTGCTTTTAGAGAGAGGGGAAGGAAGGAGCCAGAGAAACTTTGATTGATTGCCTTCTCGTGCACACCCCCAGCGGGGTATAAAACCGCAACTTGGGCTTGTGCCCTAACCAGGAATCAAACCCATGACGTTTTGGTCTATAGGACGATGCTCCAACCAACTGAGCCACACCACCCAGGGCCATACAAATTTTTAACATACATCTAGTGTGCGCCAGTTCCTGTAATTGCCTGTGTGTATTGATCAACTGTATATACGGTATCATTTTTAAAAATTTGTTTGATAATTGACATGACCATTTTATGACTGACACACTTGGTTGTATTTAAAAAGTTTATTAGTGGCATAAAATTCAGCTATTTAGAATAGTTCTGAGCTTCAAAATGAAAATATACTGTTCTAGCCTATACTTTATTCTGAATTGAGGAATGACCATATGTTACCTAACTTCTTAATTTCCTGATTCTGAAACCAAACACCTGACAGACCTTGCTTAGAATGTGACATGTGCTGAACTATCAGCCAGAGGCCAGACCAAAAGAATGCTTGGCAGTTTTAAATCATCCCAAATGTAATTCAGAGTTACATAAATTCTGTTTGTTAAGTGTCATAGAAGAACTGAAGAAACACAACCTGCGTTAAGCCTGGTTAATTGGTGTGTCTCCTTGTGTTTATCATTACAGTCCGCCTTCATGACAGGCAATCCTGTCATCATCGATGGAGGCTGCAGCTTGTGATTTCAGGATCTCCTTGTGGGGAAGGCAGGCCCTTCATGTCCACGGTGAACCTGCTTTTGGAGAAAACTCACCATTACGTCCTTCTTATTAATCATGTAGGAATGAAAACAAGCCCTTTCTAATGATGTCATTGCTCACCAGTCCAGTTCTTTAAATACATTAATCTCTTTCTAATCTCCTCTACAATCATTGTAGATGACATAAAAGATAACAAGCTCACGGTAAATGGGTAGTTTTAAAAATAAACTGCAAGTTATAAGCACATAAAGTCAAATGTCAGTATGAAGAAAAAAGGTTTTTTAAAAAGTATTAATTTCTATTTTCCCAATATTCAAATATTTTATACAGCTCTGCACTTGTTAGTATATGGGAACTAAGTTTAAAATCTTACACCTTTATAAATGAATACCAAGGCTAAGAAGTAGTTTGGCTTCAATAACTTACATTAAAAGGAGTTTAGTCAGACTACTGCTGATCTGTTACATAAAATAATGAGCAGGTATTTGGACTTACCGGATATCATCACTTAGAGTTAAGTACTATTTTCTTACAACTTAACTTCTTGCTCTAAATAAAAAATCCTTATCAAAATAAGCAATGTTTGACGTAGGCCTACGTAAATATAGTTAACTAACTGGGCAGTACTGTCAGTTTGGGACATATTTCTTTAATTATAGATTTTCTTCACCAAGTTCCAGGATAACAGATAAGAGGACATGGAATTTGGAAATAGTCTCTAGACAAATAAATATAAGTGAACCATGTAACAGAAATAAATAAAGAGGGAAATTAAAATTTTGAGAAAACATTAAGTAAATCTATGAATGATAATTCTATCAGAGATTACTAGAAAGAAGTTTTTTCTTGTTCTTTTGGCTACAGAGTTTTATTTTTATTTTACTTGTTCCTATTTCAAAAGATCAAATGGTATGATGCACATATATAGTAGCTACTCCATAAGTAAGTGGTTATACTTAGCCTTTTCTCTTTAATAATAACCAAGAAACTATTGAAATGGACAATGAACAGATAACATTTTACAAATGAGGAAGAATATTTTGCAGTTGATAAAAGTGAGTTAAAACTGACAGCAAACGATATTTTGACTAGTATTCCCAAAGAGTCCGTTAATGATAAGATTCAACTTGCGGCCTGGAGCAGGCACTAGTCCACTGTTTCACCTAGTCCAAGTCACTGAGTTCATGTTGGATTTTAGTTTTCCAGTTTGTGAAATTAGGGAACTGGGCCAAATGGCCTGCACTTCTTTTAGGTGTATCATGACCAAAGTGCTGTAACTTCTTATCAAGTGAGGTAGGGAACCCCAAAGTTTGTGTTATGGAGTACTTTATGCTGTGAGTGCTTACACATGTATACGTATAGCTGTGAATAAATGAATTCTAAATAAAAACATGATGATGCTACAAAATGCATTCTTAATTTTAACAAATGTTCCCTCACAGTTAGTTCTCTCAGAGCCAACTATAAACTATAAAACATTATAAGCAATAAAAGCGAAGTAAAATTTAGCCCAGTAGTTCAAAGTTCTCCAAAGTCATGCTAATCGAATCAGGTGATGTATCAATAAAGAGCATATGACCGAAAGAAATGGAAAACTGTGTTTCACTCCTGCAATAGGAGGAAGCTGGATGGCACTAGAAACTTGAGCAAGCTTTAGAAGAGGAAGGGCTGGTTCAGTTTAGGAAAATCATCATTTTAGATGCTCTGAAAAACCCTATTGGGCAGAATGTAGGTTCATCCCTTCTTTCCGCGAAGGAGGACCTGAGAGAGTGGTTTCTGGCTGGTGGAGGTGTGTACTTGGTGGAGAACACTGTGACTTCACATTGTTCTTGCCTGAAAAGAGATGTTAAAACTGGCACTCGCTTAAAGGAGTGAAAAACAGGTAAGAAATTTATTTCAGTTGGAAAGGAAAATTACCCCGAAAGGCACATGTGGGCGGGCACATGCACACACTTAGTTGCAGGGGTGAAATACAGAGGAAAGGAAGGCGGAGGGGGGGGGGGGGGCCAAAACAGCTGATGGAAGGGTTAAAACCTAAATAACTAAGAAGGGCACATGTTAAAGAAGCGGTAAAAGGGGAGGCACAAGTCTTTTATCCTGCTTAATTGGTCAATGGAAGAATCTTGTTCTTCCCATCGCGCACGGAAGACCCCTTTACAAAATACAACTAAAAGGCGGCATTAACATCGAGAATACAGAGGTTGGTGTAGGGAACCATAACCCGGCCACGGCCGTTGGGCCTCCAGTCTGGCTCCCGAGAGCCAGCGCTGCGCGTCCTCGCCCCGGGCCAGGGCATCTTCGAGCACCACCCGGCGCTCCACTCTGCGCTCCGAGGGGGGCCTTTCCTGGCCGCTCCCGGGAAGGACGCGTCCACTCGGGCACCAGGGGTGGCGAGAGCGGCCCTGCGGGAAGCAACAACTGAATCGTGCACGGGGCCGCTCCGAGATCCCGGGAAGTGGCCTCCCGGAGGTCTGCCTTGCGAGCCCCGCTCCCGCCTGACCTGAAAACCAGCCGGGGTTTGCCCGGGGTCTGCTTCCCCGATGGTTGCCTGGAGGCAAGGCCGCCCCGCGCGGTTGGGAAAAGGCTTGGCCGCAGTCACCGCGGCGCGCCCGCGGCCGGACGCGCAGGGATCCTCACCGCCCAGGCTCCGCCTACCGCGATGAGCGCCCGGCGGGCCGGCTCGCTGCGGCTGGACCAGGCTCCCTGGTGGAGCTTTTTAGCCCGTTTCCTAGTCGCTGGGCAGAGCCGGCTGCCCGCACCAGAGACCGCGAGGTGAGTGTCCCTGGAGAACACAAAGGGTGCAAAGAATACCCGTCAGCCGGGGAAACCTTGGTGGCTCAGCCAGGCCAGAACTGGGAGCGAGCCTCCAGCTGTTTCCGTTATGTTGTTGTTGGGCTGGGTTTCTCTCGGTTTTGTTTGGTTCTGAAATCAACCTGAGGGTGCTGCTACTGTGAGCTAGGTTAGCACTCGGAGGTGCTAAGTACCTTCAGATGGTACTGACCGGAAAAAAGAACCACCTGTCAAAGCCCACGCTGAGTATGCCTGTGGCTTCTCTAACTTTAATACCAAGCATCAGCTTGCTATCTCATCCTTGTTATCTCTCTGGACTATGTGAAAATTGTGGCCCTAATAATTAATAGCAGAAAGACACCATTTCCTGATAGCACCCAGATAGAGACCTTTCTCACCTAGGTCAACCTGTTTTCATTGAAAGTAAAACTACCTCTCTAATTGGGTCTCCACTGGACATCATTGCTGCTGCACAGTACTCATGAAATCCTTTCTCTCCAAATCAATAGTGAACATTTCTATTCAGCAAATACCTATGTGTCGTCTCTGGGCCAGACAGGCATGGGGACAGGAGACACAAATATGAATCAAAGACAGTTTCTGCCTTTAAGGAGCTCAGAACGCAAAGGATCTAACTATACCAAAAATCATTAGATAGTATAATTCATGCTATACTAAAGATATGAGCAAAGTGACTTATGCACACAATACATTTCTAGCCTATTAAGATCTTTAGAATTATAACCCTATTGACTAAGTTTGGGGCCCATTTTTATTTTTTAGGCTTTCCACAGAAAGCATTATAGAATAAGTGGAGGACAGTCAGTGATGTAGGGCTGAGTACAGGGTCTACACTTAAATCTACTTTGCTGGATATGGAAGCTTGGCACTCAGATCCTTTCCTGCCTGCTTCTAAGCGTGCACTCTTGTACTAGAGGCACTGGGGAGCTAAACACATTTCCCGTACTACATTCCAGCTGGCGTTCTGGATGTAAAATTAAGGTCAGTCATCTACTTGCTCAGGCAAGTCATCTACTTGCCTGAGATTTCAAAGGCAAGGGTGAGGGAGAGGTCATCTCCCTGCTACTTTTGGCTGTTCTCTGGGAGCAAGGAAGGTCCAGGAGATGCCAGTGTCCGGTCTCCGGAGTTGTGGGTGTTGGCAAGGACTCCAGCACCAGTGACAGACACGTTCGGCACTGTTATGTTGAATCACTAGCTCTGTAGCTATCCAAAGGCAGTTGAGGGATGTGTGAACATATTCAGTGCTCCCTGTCCAGGCAGCTCCCAGATCCCAGCCTCTTCGGGTCACAGCTACAAGTGGTGTTCTTGAACTGCGCAGTCCCTGAGGGATCTCCTGATGGTACAAAAATCTTCGGTTTACTCAGTTACTCATATTTTAGAAATCGTTCCTGGAGGCCCAGCCTAGACCCTCCTGTACTTCCAGCCCTTTCATCAGTTCAGTTAATTCCCTGTAAAATCTCTTTCTGCTTAAAACACCAGCAGTGGTTTTGGTTTTCTGCTTTCCTTGACTCAGTGAATGTGTTTGGTATGTAGCCTCTAAGAGGCACCTTTACCTAAATCTCTTCCATTTCTTTAGGTGAGAAATGAAACCATGAGGGCAGATCCAGAGACTGGCAGTGATTTGAACGCCTTCAGTGGGGCTGTGCCTTCTCCATTTGCCACAGACCCCATGTTTGAGTTTGGCCCTGAAGACACTTGAGTTTGTTACCTATAGACTAGATTATCTGTGAAGTCTCTTGCTATACAAGTATAATGTAAAATGTTTCTTTGTTTAAAACATTTACAGAATGTCCTATCACAAGAGATTGTTGAATATCTGGTTCATGACCAATTATTTGCTAGTTCTACTAGTAATCAGTAGGCCACTGACTCTTTGGTCTGCACCCAGACCCCAATGATGAGAGATTTTTCCTCTGTGGAAAGGGGTTTGCATCCATTTTTCACAAAGTCTGGGAGCAAATGGAGCTGCCTACATGTGCGCTTGTGTAATGAGAGGGTGTTTATGATAAGTTCTAAAGAGTGTTTAACAGCCTTATAAAATTATTAAATACATCTTGTCAATATAATAAAAGTCCTTTGTCTCTTTAGAAATCTATTCTTTTATTTACTTTTCTGTGGTTTATATGAGGGACTAGAAATTTTGAATTTCCCTGTGCTTATCTGTGCTCTTCAGTACAGTAGATGCATGCTTCTTTTTCAGACAAAGTCTTATAAAAGGAAGATAAGACATTGGGAGGACTCCATGGGGACGCTAATATATACCCTGTACTGCTTTTAAGGTTTTCCATGACAAAAGCACTGTCACTGCTTTACAGGTGAAGAAACTTAACCAGACTGGTTAACTTGCCCCAAATCCCCACAGTGGGAGGCGGCGTCACAGGATTTACACTCAGGGTTTTCATCTCCATTTCATCTGACCACGCCACTTCTTGAACACAGTACTCTAATTAATATAGCCGTGCACAGAATTCCCTATGCGTACTTTTCACCTCACATCCTGTAATTGTGTGCTCCTCTGCCTGTAATAGTCTTGGTTTTCTTTACAAGACTGAATCATCTTTCAAGGCTTTATTCAAGTATCACTTGACCCCAGCCAAGCAAGGCAATACTTCCTTTTCCTTGTTTAACTCTATACCTACACTTCCCACATTGCAATTACATTA